AGATGGAGCACCGGTAGATTCTACACTTGTTTCAGTTGATGGAATTGGACAGTAGGTGGTATAGCTGGTCACGGTTTCTGAGGTAGTAACAGTAATCACAGTAAGACCAGTGGTGATGGTAGTTTCAGAACAGCCATGATGACCACAGTCAGTAGTAGTAATAACAGTGGTAGTGAAATCAGTAGTAGTACTGTAGGAAGTAGACAATCCACCAGTTGGAGTAGTAGATTCAGAACCAGATGGAACTGGAGCAGATTCAGAACCGGATGGAGCACCAGTAGATTCAGCACCAGATGGAACACCAGTAGATTCAGAACCGGATGGAGCAGATTCAGAACCAGATGGAACTGGAGCAGATTCAGAACCGGATGGAGCACCAGTAGATTCAGCACCAGATGGAACACCAGTAGATTCAGAACCGGATGGAGCAGATTCAGAACCAGATGGAACTGGAGCAGATTCAGAACCGGATGGAGCACCAGTGGATTCAGATGGAACACCAGTAGATTCAGCACCAGATGGAGCAGATTCAGAACCAGATGGGACACCGGTAGATTCAGATGGAACACCAGTAGATTCAGCACCAGATGGAGCAGATTCAGAACCAGATGGAACTGGTGAAGTTTCGGAACCAGATGGAGCAGATTCAGAACCAGATGGAACTGGAGCAGATTCAGAACCGGATGGAGCACCAGTGGATTCAGATGGAACACCAGTAGATTCAGCACCAGATGGAGCAGATTCAGAACCAGATGGAACTGGTGAAGTTTCGGAACCAGATGGAGCACCAGTGGATTCAGATGGAACTGGAGCAGATTCAGAACCGGATGGAGCACCAGTGGATTCAGATGGAACACCAGTAGATTCAGCACCAGATGGAGCAGATTCAGAACCAGATGGAACTGGTGAAGTTTCGGAACCAGATGGAGCAGATTCAGAATCAGATGGAACATCGATAGATTCTGATGCAACACCAGTAGATTCAGCACCAGATGGAGCAGATTCAGAACCAGATGGAACTGGTGCAGTTTCGGAACCAGATGGAGCAGATTCAGAACCAGATGGAACTGGAGCAGATTCAGAACCGGATGGAGCACCAGTGGATTCAGATGGAACACCAGTAGATTCAGCACCAGATGGAGCAGTTTCGGAACCAGATGGAACTGGAGCAGATTCAGAACCGGATGGAGCACCAGTGGATTCAGATGGAACACCAGTAGATTCAGATGGAACACCAGTAGATTCAGCACCAGATGGAGCAGATTCAGAACCAGATGGAACTGGTGAAGTTTCGGAACCAGATGGAGCAGATTCAGAACCAGATGGAACTGGAGCAGATTCAGAACCGGATGGAGCACCAGTGGATTCAGATGGAACACCAGTAGATTCAGAACCGGATGGAGCAGATTCAGAACCAGATGGAACTGGAGCAGATTCAGAACCGGATGGAGCACCAGTGGATTCAGATGGAACACCAGTAGATTCAGAACCGGATGGAGCAGATTCAGAACCAGATGGAACTGGAGCAGATTCAGAACCGGATGGAGCACCAGTGGATTCAGATGGAACACCAGTAGATTCAGCACCAGATGGAGCAGATTCAGAACCAGATGGAACTGGAGCAGTTTCGGAACCAGATGGAGCAGATTCAGCACCAGATGGAGCACCAGTAGATTCAGATGGAGCAGATTCAGAAGTAGATGATGTCGAGGAAATAGTTTCAACAGATGTCAATGGGCAGTAGGTGGTAATTACTGTTATAGTTTGTGAAGTGGTAACAGTAATAATTGTTATTCCAGTGGTTATGGTAGTATCAGTACAAACATGATGATCACAGTCAGTAGTAGTGATAACGGTTGTCGTGTCAGCTGTGTGTGTAGTGTAGATGGTAGAAAAATCAGCAGTTGAGGAGGTGATTGCAGAGCCATTAGAAGTAGGACTTTCTGTGTCGGAAGAAATTGATGATTCATTAGATTCAACATTTGAGTTGGTGTTAATGTTTGATTCGACACTAGAGAAAGACTCATTATCAGAACCAGAAGATGGAACATCCAGTGCAATACTGTCAGGTTCAGTACTTTTAGTGCCTGAAACAGTGAAAGTACTTGTAAAGCCTCCCGATGACAAAGTTGTAACAATTTCACTTTGAGAAGGAGTGGTTGGGCTTGTTTCAAAGCCGGAGGTCAACAAAGTAGATTCGGATTCGGAGCCTGGGACAGTAAAGGTACTTGTAAAACCTCCAGATGACAAAGTACTGACAGTTACACTCTGGGACGAAGTTAAACTGGCTGTAGAAATATCAATTGAGGAAGATGAACCAGCAGTAGCTTCGACTTCAGTACTACTTGTTTCAATACTAGATGATACAGAAACAGTAGATGGAATGGAGGAAGCAGTAGGAGTAACAATGGTTTGGGTAGAAGTCAAAGGACAATAAGTAGTGTATTCAGTAACTACGTCATGTTCAGTAACAGTGATAACGGTAACACCAGTAACAATAGTGCTATGATAACAGGAATCAGCTCCACATGAGGTGACAGTAACAATTGCAGTTGTATGAGCTGTATGAGTAACATACGAAGTATCAAGATATTCTTCCGGAACTCCTGGGTACAAGTTTGTTGGAGCTTGAGCTGCAGTAGAGAAAGTGGTAGTAACCAATGATGGATGGACAATTTCAATACTTGAACTGGAATCAACAGACATGGAAGCATCATTTACGACGCTAGAGCCAACAGTTTGTAAGTTAACAGAAGAACCAAGCGCAATGGAAGATTGTTGATCATTGTTTTCAACAGATGGAGGAGGTTGGATAACTGAAGTAACAGCACTGACTCCAGAAACAGGAGGGGATGCTGGGATAGCGGAAACAGTTAATACAGAGGAAGTGTCGATACCTGCAGGATAAGAAGTTGCAGAAAATAAGCCACTTGATGATACAGCCATGTCGTAATTCGTATCGTCTGACGAAACAACGACAGCAGTTCCAACGTTTGGTGAATGAGCAGCAGCAGATCCAATGTTTGGTGAATTAGCCAAACCAGGTGAAACTGAACTCAATTGGACAGTTTCAATGTTGGCAACGGTTCCAGAAGTGGTAGGTCCAGCTTCAATTAAAGTAGATTCAGCAGAATGTACATCCTTATGTTTAATTTGAATGGACTCAGGGTTTGACGAATAATCTCTCTTAGGAATTGTTGGGATCCAAAATCCTAAAGAAAGCGACAATACACCAGTCACTGGTAAGATTTTAGAAATTCTCATCTTTTTTCTTTCGTTCTCTTTTTCGCCTAAGAATTTCTAATACCTAATACAAAAATTAACTATGTGAGTTTGGATGTGTAAAAAATTCGTGTATATAGAGCAAAAGAAAGAACCCTTTATTCTTTTTTTTTAAAAAAAAAAAGTTAAAAAATATTTTGCAACTGTTGAAAAGTATAAAGATATTTATACGCTTCACGATTCTCTTTCATTGAATTATCATCTTTTTAAAAAAAGAAACGCAAATCCCATATGAATTTTGTTTAACATGAGACAAATTTTGAAACTATCTGAGACCTGATTTCTAAAAATAATAGCTAAATTTGTTTCACCAATTGATGTACTTCTTTTTTTTTTTATTTTTGTTCATTTTGTCTTTGTTGCCCCATACCCTTACAAAACAAAAGGTAAAAACCATGCGATGAAATTTATTGAAATAAGATATGTACAGATTTTTGAAAAGGGATAATAACTCTTGCGTTTCATTAATTGGAAACGAAACAAAATAATTTTTGGCATTTGTACAGCATCCCTGCATAGTCAACTGAGACTTCTCTGAAGATTAAATGGATTGTCCAGTCAATTTATGAAAAATAAGAATACTTTAACTGTTAAAAATAGTTCGTAATACAGATGAACACAATAGGAACTTTCTAAGCGCAAATTACTTGTTTGAATGGAACATTTTATGAGAAAAAGTAGTTGGATGAAGAATAAACTTTACAAATTTCTGAAGTATTCCCCAATTGTCAGATTTCCCATGTTACTTGTATTGTACCTTGATTTGCTGATCATTTTGAAAGGTGAGGTTTAACATATCAAATAGATCGAATCCATTATACTGCAGAAGGTAAGCTGTATATCTGATAAAAATCACTGATTCAATTTGTTAAACCATAATTTCAAATTAACATGCATTACTGAGTCAGCTTTGGCATTTTTACAATCAGGGCAGTAACCAGATACCATTGAAATTATCCTTCCCCCTTTTTGTTTCCAATAATATCAGATATTATCAGGTATGGTATCCATGATTTATTAGGAGTAAAGAATTTCATTGTTCCAGAAATATCTGTCGGTTTTGAAAGTACTTTGTGTAATGGTATTTAATGAAGGTGAAATTACTAAAACAAAAATAAAAAAGAGAGAAAAAGCACCCCAGAGGTCTTTGTGATTGTTATTCTTTGTCCGCCAACTCATTAATCATTAAGTTACATATTATTTGCTATGTTTAAGTTCCACACCGTCAACTTCTACCGTCAATAAAAGTGTAATGATGAGTGAATTTGCAGTACATGCTACTGTGTCATTTTTTTCACCTAATTCATGTCATGATTAAACTCTAACAAATGCAGAAATCAACGATAGTGAATAGAAATAATTAGAGTTTGGCATCACTAAGACCCTCTACCAGCATAAATACGTTATATTTTTTGCTTTTCCTTCATTTTAGACTCTGGATCTTGTGTGTGGAACACTATAATTGATTGACATGGCGATTTAAATTGAACAATCGTAATAAGCCAACAATCCCGAAAAAACAAAACTAATTGAATTCTAGAACATGTTTTATTCTCGTTATATTTGCTCCCATTGAGTTTCTATATTAGTTGTGAAATTATCCTAAAATGAAATTGTGAAATTACATGATAACAGTAGAAGAAGAAGAAAAATAAAAAAAAAAAGAAAAGTGGAAAATACTCAATTGAAACATCTCAAACATTCTTCTTTGCAACCACTACATTAAACTGAATAAATAGCTCACGACACAACATCGAAATAGTAGTTCAGTTTTTAATGAATTTCATATGGGTTATGTGACATTGAAGTACCAAGTTGATGTTTTCTTGAAGAATTGTTGGCAAGGGTCGCTTTAATTGGTTAGACTACTATTATTTTTCCTTAATGTATGTATATTTCTCTTTTGTGATTGCAACAAACGTACCTGCCGTGAGAATTGTCTGTACAACACTGTATCGATGACACTCTAATCAAAAGAAAGATGGGAGTATGAAATTAGAATAATTCGTATGCGATATGCACAACAGGTATATATCTTTATAAGCTGAGAACAGAGGGGTTAAATGGTAGTGAAGTCATGATGATAATTTAATATTATCATTAGATGTACACGAGATTAATAATTTAGTACTACAGTGACAGTAGCAACCCACGGTCAAGAAGAAGAACCAAGGGGTAGTTTTTTTTTTTTCAATATTCTACTAATTTATTCATTTCCCATTTTCAGGGATAATAATCATCACATCGCAATCTATATTTAGCAAAAAGCAAAACAACTGAAATCATTGCCAGGCGTGTAAAGACAGATTATAAGGTGACATATTTGCAGAGGAGAAGCGGTATGAAATTAAAACTCATTCACCTTCCGTACCATTCATGTACATAGAAACGAGTCGCCTACTTGCATATCACTTGCTTAAATCAACAATGAAATTCTATTTTTCTTCTTCATATTGTTACTTAGAGCTTTTCATTCTAAATTACCATTGTTATTGTTATTACAATGAGAAAATGCAAGAATTTCTTTGGAATAGAAGATATCGGTTGATAAATGAAGCATAGATAAAAGAAAATTAAGTTGTATAGCATTACATAGGTGTCGTTTAACCTACCCCCTTAATACAGGAACCAAATGTTTCTCATAGTCCTAGATACACTCCTTTTGTTGAGAAAAGCTAGTGTACTATATTTATTATATTTTCAATACAGAGGTGTAAGACTGAATGATTAACAAAAACAAGCAATGATACGCGACTATGATTACAACAATAAACAGTTGTACAAAAGAACGGTTTTTGTTCATTTGATGTTTTAATGATTAACAGTATTGCTTTTCTGTGGCTCAGTAGGGTCTCAATTTAATTTATCCAATCCTTTCTCTAAACATTCCAGAGGAAGAATTCCGTATGTAAGAGTTCCTAATCATTCACAAAAGAATAGAAAACTCTACAAACAAAAAAAGAAGAAGAAAAAAAAAGACCCTGGAAAGTCATCTGGCTAGTCTTGCTTCAATTTTTTGTTTATGATTCAAAAAGAAAATCATTTCTTGTAAGTTTACGAGTTGAAATTAAGTGGCAGTTTTATTATTATGATGTAGATGAAATTCGCAGTATAAAAATTATACGCCATCAATTCGCAACTTTCATGTATCTTTCGGAACTGTCCCCGAATTTAGAGTTTATTTATAAGAAAGGACATTTATAAGAGCTAATGAATTTAAATTACAATGTCTTGATCATTAATATTTTTCCAGAAACTTGTGATCTTTAGTAATATCAAATGATAAGCTGTTTTACATATAGGGGTAAAGGGATATTTAAAGGAATAGAAAAAAATAAAATTTGATGGATAGAGTACGTTTTTCATATAATTCTCCTCAGAATATGACCAATTTCTACTAAAAATAGAATCAACAAATAAGCTCTCTCTTCAGAAAATTCAATTATTAATCCGCAAGTAACCCCTAGAAATATCAAATCAATATTCAAATCTAGTATCTTCAAAATAATAATAACGATTCCTCTATACTGTTCTTGAGTATTGCACGTGAGTTATGCAACATACACGACCTGTTTTTATCAAGAGTACACGCCCATCTGGTGGAACACGAAAGAACGAAAAAAAAAACTATAGAAAAAAACTTCATCAATATTGATTCCAAAAAAAAAAAAAAAATACTTCTAGTTTTGATATATTGTTTAGTTTCATATTGTTACTTCCATTTTATATAATATATCATCAAGATGTCAGTGCAAATATTTAATGATCAAGCCACTGAAGAAAGGGCAGAAAATGCACGTATGTCTGCATTTGTTGGTGCCATTGCCGTAGGCGATTTGGTTAAATCTACATTGGGACCAAAAGGTATGGATAAATTATTACAAAGTGCCAGTAATCCTGATTCGGCTTTAGTCACCAATGATGGTGCTACAATTTTGAAGTCAATTCCATTTGACAACCCAGCTGCTAAGGTATTAGTTAATATTTCCAAAGTTCAAGATGACGAAGTTGGTGATGGTACCACTTCAGTTACAGTTTTGAGTGCTGAACTATTGAGAGAAGCCGAAAAATTAATTGATCAAAAAATACATCCTCAAACTATCATTGAAGGTTATAGAATTGGTAGAAACATAGCCATTGAAGCTTTAGACAAAGTTGCTGTCAATAATGGAGACAACCCAGCCTTGTTTAGAAAAGATTTATTAAGTATTTCCAGAACCACTTTATCATCAAAGATTTTATCCCAAGATAAAGAACTATTCTCAAATTTGGCCGTTGATGCTATCTTAAGATTGAAAGGTTCTACCAACTTGAACAATATTCAAATTATAAAGAAAGTAGGTGGCAAATTATCCGATTCGTATTTGGATGAAGGTTTTATATTGGAAAAGAAGTTTGGTATTAGTCAACCTAAAAGAATCACCAATGCCAAGATCTTAATAGCAAACACTTCAATGGATACTGATAAAGTAAAAATCTTTGGTGCAAAATTTAAAGTTGACTCTACCTCTAAATTGGCAGAATTAGAAAAAGCCGAGAAGTTGAAAATGAAAAACAAAGTCGAAAAGATCAAAAAATTTGATATCAATGTTTTCATTAACAGACAATTGATTTATGATTACCCTGAACAATTATTCACAGACTCCAAGATAAACACCATTGAACACGCTGATTTTGACGGGGTTGAAAGATTGGCCCTAGTCACCGGTGGGGAAGTTGTCAGTACATTTGATAATCCAGAAAATGCTAAATTGGGTTATTGTGATTCAATAGAGGAAATTTTAATTGGTGAAGATGTTTTCCTTAAATTTTCTGGTGTTGCCGCTGGAGAAGCCTGTACAATTGTTTTGAGAGGTGCAACTGAACAAGTTTTGGATGAAGCAGAAAGATCATTACACGATGCCTTATCAGTGTTGTCACAAACAACTAGGGAAACTAAAACTGTATTAGGTGGTGGATGCTCAGAAATGTTGATGGCCAAGGCTGTTGACCAAGCTGCTGCTAATGAAACTGGTAAAAGGGCATTGGCAGTGGAGGCTTTCAGTAGGGCATTGAGACAATTACCTACAATTTTGGCTGACAATGCTGGGTATGATTCCAGTGAGTTGGTTACTAAATTAAGATCTGCTATATATAACGGTATCACAACTTCTGGTTTAGATTTGAATAATGGGATTGTTGCTGATATGAGAGAGATGGGAATTGTGGAATCTTATAAATTAAAGAAAGCTGTTGTATCTTCTGCAGCTGAAGCTGCTGAAGTATTATTAAGAGTTGATAATATTATTCGTGCCAAACCACGTACCGCTGATAGAAACCATTGAGCAATTGAATAAAATTTTTCTATTTCTTATTAATGATATATATATATATACATACATATCTGATTTCTTGTCACTATTTATTGCTCTCAACTATACAGCTCGCTAGTGATTTCCCTCAAGAGAATCAAAAGAAATTCACAGTGGAAAAATAAAACAACAAAACAACAAAATCCGAGGTACGAAACACGTGACCACAGCAACCCCGGAGGTATTTTGTAACATATTACAGTAACAAAAAAAAAAACAAAAGACTGCTGTCGCCTGGCTTTAACCAACCACAGAAAAAATAAATAAGAAAAAGAATTTTCAAAACCATCGATACTTTTTCTTTGGATCTCCCACGAAGAAGAAGAACTACAAATAGTCAACCTGAATTTTATTTTCTATTTATAATTTCAATTTAGGGTCCATTCATTAAAATAGCATAGACGAAATTTTTTCTCATTCACTTATCTTAACTATTCGCCTGTTATTGTATATTTCCTAATTTGTTTGGTTAATATTCATTTCTTCATTAAAATTCTCATATTTGTAAGAATTGGTTTCTATTTTCATTTTTTTTTTTTTTTTTTTTTTTTTCAAGTTTATCATTTATGAATAACAAGTGTTAGCATATAATATCCCAACAATGTCAACAATTTCACCGACGGCAAGTAGTAGTGGCAGTGGCAGTGATAGTAGAGGACGTGGAGAGACCTTCACAAATGAAGTGGTAATTCCAGCAAAGCCGAATGATTATGAAACATTGTTTAAAAAACTAGATATTGAAGATACTGGTGAAATTTCATTTCGTGATTTCAAGAAAGCCGTAAAGAAATTTAACCATCCCGTCAGTGAAAGCCCAGAGTTATTGAAGAAGGTTTTCAACTCGTTTGATTATAATAACGACGACAAGATTGATTTTCAAGATTTCAAAAAGTATTTAGCAACTACTGACGATCAGATTTTAAAAGGGTTCAACAAATTAGATAAAGATCACGATGGAAGACTAAATAAATCTGATTTCATACGATACCTAAAAGAAACATTGCATGTGGAACCTAGTACAGCAAACGTGGATTTATTATTTAAACAATTGGATGCAAACGAAGATGGTTACATCACCTATAATGAGTTCAGAGAATATTTGATGTTGATCCCTAGACTACAAGGTTCAAGAATTAAAACTGCTTTTACATTTTTATTTGAAGAATATGATGTTAATTCAGATGGTGATGTTACATTAATCAACCAATTTTTGAATGGTTTCAAATATTTTTTAGCAGGTGGATTTGCTGGGGTTGTTTCAAGATCATGCACTGCACCATTTGACAGAATAAAAGTATTTTTGATTGCCAGAACTGATTTGTCTTCAACTATTTTGCATTCCAAAAAGGAAATTGCCCGTCAAATTGCTTCAGGTGCAGAGACTCATGTGATTGAAGCATTGAGAAAAAAACTTGCACACGCAGAGATGGAAAAGGCTGCAGAAGTACAAGCTGCAAAAGCTACCCCAAATACACCTATCAAGAAAACTATTAGATCACCTATTGTTCAAGCTGTTCGAACTATTTGGAAACAAGGTGGATTAAGAGCATTCTATGTTGGTAATGGGTTAAATGTCATGAAGGTTTTCCCAGAATCAGCCATGAAATTTGGTTCTTTTGAAGGGGCGAAAAGATTTTTTGCCAGGATTGAAGGTGTAGATGACCCAACTAAGATTTCCAAAGTTTCCACCTATTTGGCTGGTGGGTTTGGTGGTGTTGTTGCACAATTGACAGTTTACCCGATAGACACATTGAAGTTTCGATTACAATGTTCAAATCTTGATCACCCATTAAATGCAGTTTCAACAGCAAAGGAAATGTTACGTGATGGTGGTGTTAGGATTTTTTATAGAGGAATTGGCGTTGGTCTTGCCGGAATGTTTCCTTATGCTGCCTTAGATCTTGGTACCTTTTCATCAGTTAAGAAATTGCTTGTTAAAAAATTTGGTAACGTTGAAGATCAACTGCTACCTACATATATGACCTTGAGTTTGGGTGCATTTTCAGGTTCATTTGCTGCAACAATAGTTTACCCAGTTAATTTATTAAGAACTAGACTTCAATCACAAGGGACTTATGCACATCCATTCACATATGATGGTTTCTATGATGTCTTCAAACAAACCATTGCACGTGAAGGATACTCAGGATTATGGAAAGGTTTAGTACCTAACTTGGCAAAAGTTGCACCAGCTGTGTCTATCAGTTATTTCGTATATGAAACGTTAATACATAGGTTGTAACAGAGTTAATACATATTTAAGCATGGATATATTACTTTTGTTTTTTATTTACAGTGGTTTGAGTTTGTTCCTTTTCCAGTTCATCTAATTCTCTTTTGTTGGCTGGCTTTACAGCGTCCGAGGTAGACGCTATTAAATTTTCTTCACCGGCCATTTTTAAAAATGAAGTGTTTTGTTTAACACCATCGACTCTTCTGAAATAAGGTTGACATCTCCAGTATGGAACTTTTTTATAATGACCACCCCAAACCTCTGTAGGACCATCTGTGATGACATCTAATTCTTTAATATCTGGTTTATCATAGATTTCTGCAACCAATTTTTCAATTTGAACAACAATTTCTTCCCAAATTTCCATTGAATCATTAACACTTGTCTTACCAATTATTGGACGTAATTCTTTATGAACTTCTAAAAATGGATTCAATAATTTAAATATATGCCCCTTCATCGCATGTTTACTTGCTATACTCTTCTCATTCTCCTTTACAATTTCAAAATATTCTCTTAATAACTTGTCAACTCTTGGAAATTGCATGTCAATATCATCAGTTTTGGTCCAAAATGTTCCTGGGTTATATAAATTACCTTTCTGCTGACATGACAGCATCACATTCAATTTGTTCTTCACATCTTTTCAAATCTGACGGATATAAAATATTTCCATTAGCAAAAAAAACTTGATCTTTTGGTAAATTATCTCTTAAATATTTCAAAATTTTCCAATTTGCTAATCCAGTTTTTTGACCTTTCATTTCTCTTGTTCTTCCATGAATAGTTATAAATTGAGCTCCAGCATCTAGAACCATCTTGGCATATTCTAAACTTTTTTCATAATCATCATAAATTCTAATTTTTGCAGTGACTGGTATTTTCAAATTATCATGAAGATTTCTAATTAACTTATGAATTAATTCCCAATCATCCATCAAAAATGCCCCATATCTACCCTTTCTTGCAATTCCTTGAGGACATCCCAAATTAATATCAACTGCATCACATTGATCTTCAATAAATCTTGCAGCAGTTAATAAATAATCAGGATCATTAGCACAAAACTGTACAACTAAAGGACGATCAAGTTTCTCATTGCCATCCAATCCTTTAGTCCACATAGAATCACGATATTTCTCTTGAGTTGCAAATAATTTAGCATTAAACATTGGGGTATAACATAAGGCTGCTCCATATCTACGTGATAGTATTCTCCATGCTAATTCTGAATGATCTACCATAGGTGCCACAATAGTTTTTGGTCTACCAATAGCATCATATAATTCACGTCCTGTGAGTTTCTTAGATTGTGTCATGTTGAATTTGATCACGTTCTTAATAATATTCATCGATCATGATGGGTTAAGGAATTTTTTTTTTTTTTTTTTTTTTCAAATTTTTTCTTTTTCCCATGTAAAGTTTATCTCTGCGCAATCTGCCTCATCGAAATACGTTTCTTTTTTTTTATTACACAGTTGGCTATTGATTGTTACCAATGTGCAGCAGTTCATATAGATTGCAATTGTAAAGAATATAATACTTGTGATTACTTCACTAATCATGTATTGATCCACATGATGCTCTAAATTGTGTTGATATAATACGTTCTATCTCTGTCTTTCACTACACTGATTTATAACAGTAATTTACTAGTTCTTCTCGCAGTATCTATTCTTTTATTCGAGCCTATAACAATAAATAGAAGGATATATAATTTATCTTTAACTTCCAATAAATAACCCATGGCAACAGGAAAACCTCTACAACATTGAGTGGCAACTCCAGTTTCATTAGCAACATATAGACTGGAGTGTCATATTTGACTACTGCATATTTCAATTTGATTACATTATTCATTCCTATGACCCTGTTCGACGACATGTCTAATGTGGAGGTGGAGGAACGAACCAAATGATGATGGTTTGCCTCCTCCACTCCACTTACCACCTCTCCTAAGTAAAGGAGAGGGACGAACTGGGCCCACATGTGTGTGTGGGGCCGGCCCAGCGAGTCTATGGCCCTCTTCTTGAGTTGCCATATCGCGTCCCCCTACTGGCCCAAGGAGGAATAAATAGAGGATGAACCAAGAGAGAAGGGGAGTGGCCAAATTTCGACGCCCCCCAATTGCCTGGTCCTCTACAAGTAGTGGTTTGTCCTAAACCACCACTACTACTCATCGGGATATTCGACTAACCTATCCCGATGAGTAGCTTTTAAAGATAGGGACGACCAGTCACTATCTTTTGAAGAACCTTCACTAATCAACATTGCTCCTTTTTTGTATATGTTGATCCCTTTTACAAGGTTCAAGATAACATGTATTTCCAATTTGCTATCTTATTTGGAAGGTTCTTCTAATGTTTGTGCATCATACCAAAGGAGCTATCAGTTGGTAACATTCTTTTCAATGACTGAACCAAGTGACACAAGCAAAAACTAGAGTGAAGCATATAACAATAATTGATGGGGAACACATAACTTTTTACTTTTTGTAAACTTGTTATGGATAATGGATTGCAGTTCCTTATATTGAGGTTAGTATTTGCAGCCATGAATAAAACACATCAATTGATACACACTTGTTAAATTGATATCATATAGAAAGTGATGGATACTAATTGTTTATAAAACAAAAAGGAAAAAGAAAAAGAAAGTAGCATAAAAAGATTTTTTATTTGTAAGTTACTTTTTTGTCCTTTTATAGTTGGATTTTTTTGGGATATTTGTGTAGGTATTTTTTATTGTACCTTATATGTTTAATGCTACCAAATGTGGAGAAAATCAAACAATCCTGGAATGGACTAGTATTTGTGTATGCAACAAACTATCAAGCACATATGATAGATTTAGTCTGATAATGCAGCTTTTTATGACTGTTTACCAACGTACAGCAGTTCATATACAACCGCTTGCAAATAATGAACTACATGTGTTTCCTTGATCAGTAATACATTCACCTAGTTGGATATGTCTGTAATATTTATGAAATCCTCTCTTTCTCCGTTTGCTACTACACAGCAATTCTCTTATTTAAACCTATAGAACTAAATAGAAAACTATATCCTTTATCTCTCTCTTCCTTTAAATTATGCGTAGTAACTGGGAAACTTCCACAATGCTGAGTTATGATTCCTGTTTTATCTGGAATCTAATATTATTTGGTTTGTGCTGCAGTGATTTGCTTATCTATGACAATCATTGTCATGTGTAGAGACTTTGTCGATGCTGTACTGACAGGTTTTGGGAATAACTTGGTACTCCCTTGTACTCATGTGCAACAAAACCCTATTTATATATAGTAGCACCAAACACATATATACACATATATATAAAGACAAATTATAATTCATAATCTTGATAATTATAAGTCAAATTTTTTGATTCAATTAAATGTCTCATGGTTGGTCTTCCATGGGGGCAATTCCAAGGCTTATCTAAAGTACTCAAGTTCTTGACAATTTCATTCATTTTGGATTTTTTCAAGGATGATCCAATCATTATACTACTTCGACATGCCTTCATAGCAAGAATCTTTCTTATTTTAGAAATTTTCAAATTTTTATTATTCGGCTGTTCGTTAATTAGATTTATTAGTTCATGGAAATCGTCAACAGTAAACATGGAGTTCTTGTAAACAGGTAAACTAACCAAAGAAATCCTCTTTCCTGCAGAATTATTATCATTGATTGTTAACTTGAATCCATTATTATTGAAAATCTCTTGATTATCCAATACCAACATTTCATCAATTATGTTTAAATCTAAATTAATGGGCATCATTAGTGGTTGGTGTTTGATTTGGAAATTTGACATGAGCTTTTCGAAATTAAATTTCTCATCACTTGCATGTTGATCTATGATAAACAAATTAGAATTGTGATTAACCAAAATAAATCCAAGATTAAATTGTCCAATTAGTTTCATATCTAGAAAATCCTGTTTACTTATATGATAAATTGCAGCTTCTTCTAAATCAGGATTAACCTGTACCTCAGGTTTGGTAATTGGGGATGTAGTTTCAAACTTTTTCAAATTCTCCAAAGATCCAAGAATATGCTGAGATGAACATGTTGCCTGCTGTTTATACAAGGTCGATCCTTTATTCTTTTTAAACCTTTTTGCAGGTCGCTCATCTTCGAATCTCTTTTCACCAATATCAATTGTTATATTATCAACCGATTGATCCTGGACAGGGAAAAAATTCTCCCCATGTTTATCTTCGTGATTGCACGTATCGTCTTCAGCACGCATCGAAAATTCCGTTAAATTTAGGGAAGAAGATTCATGAGCGTGGCTAAACTCTTGATTTACATGATTCAGTGATTGTACTTGACTTTGTGTTTCCAAATCTTGATTTTCCGGTAACGGTTCACTTTGTAAAGTTTGCATTTCTAACCTTTTATCCTGTTGAAAATCCAAAGGATCAATGAGTGTTATACCTAATAGGTTTGACGCTTCTGGGGTCAGTTTTGGGACCAATTCAACTTTGTCTGGAGTTGTAGACTTTTTAGCAACTGGGTAATCAAGGTCAAGATCATCATCAACAAACAATTTTGGCTCTTCTTCTTTCTCCTCATCTTTCTGTTCGAGCTCTAGTTCTGCACCTTCGTTATCACTAACAAAAGACTTGAGTTGGCTATTTTCATTCTTCGGGATGATTACATTATCTTGAGTATCATAAAACTCTAACAATTTTTCGCGAATCAATTCCAACACTTCAGATTCATTATGGATCAAAATGTTTGTTTTGTCTGGAATTAGATTGACATCAATAAGGTTTGGATTTATCACCAAGTTAATAATAAAAGTAGGATATTGTACATGGTTGAAACTCTTATAGATCTCATTAATAATTTTGCTTAATTTTTTGAATACAATTGGTCGTTTGTTAACATAAAGAAATTGACGATCTGGAGATGATCTACCCAATCCAAATGAATATGAAGAAATAAACCCCAGTAAGTTAATATCTTCACTTATTTCAATTTCCAAGGGCAATAAATTCTTGTTATTATTATTTCCGAATACCGAAATTAGATTATCAATGATTGTGGTTTTGTCACCTCCCTTGGATGATAGTATTAAATTCTTTTTACCATTTACAATGTTGTAAACAGTAAATTTAATTTCAGGGAAAATAATCAAGTAGTTGATGACAAAATTGATTGCTTTGTGAAATTCTCTTTTGGAAGTTTTAATAAAATTCTTAAGACGAACCGGTAGATTATAGAACAATTTATCAATTAAAACCAGACATCCCGATTTATAGTTCATACCACCAACTTTTCTATCATGCTTGATTAATTTCCCTTCATTATCGTAGTGTAATAGATGACACTTTGGATAAAATTCACCATTTGTAGTTGTAATTGTTAATTTATTTGATAATGAACATATGGAATTCAATGCCTCCCCTCGAAATCCCAAGGTAGATAAATTATTTAAATCTTCAAAATTTACTATTTTAGAAGTATGACCTCTTAAACATATGGTTTCAAAGTCACCTTGCTGAATCCCTTTACCATTATCTTGAACTTGTATTGAATCAATTCCATAATTTGTGAATGTTATGTCAATCTTATCGGCATTGGCATCAATTGAGTTTTCAATCAACTCCTTGAGAATTGATTTCAAATCAATAATAACCTGACTCGATGTTAATTTGGAAATATCAGCCTGACCTATACTTTGAATAGATGGCAAACTCATGTCAATTATGTTGATATCGTTGTTGTTGAACTGTTGATCTAATGATTAAACGCGTCATTTGAAAGGTGTAACTCAGTAATCGCGTCTGGGTCAAATTTATAATACAACAAATAAATAAAAATACATAAAACAAGGTCGTGTACATTGGCATATATTTTCCCCACCAATGAGCTGGTCTACTCAAACCAACTGTATCTATAGACTGGACTCAATCCTGTTGAAACTCAAAAAGTATGTTCACATTGTAGATTTAAAAAGATAAGTTTATTTGTAACAATGACACTGTCAAACAGCATTTCCAGAATGTACACCAAGGACTATGTTAGACCTTGCAACTACATGAACTTTACATGTTCAATAATGCCATGTATGACGTTATTGATACTATGTCTCTGATATGGTAATCAAGTACTACTTTTCCAAGCCAAAAATATCCAATTTTTGTTAGTGTATCCTGCTTAAGTCTTATACAATATTTTGTTATGCCGATTTCATTTTATAGTTGTGACATATCATAAAATAGAATATCAATTTAAATAGGAAACTTTCAACTTTTAACCAGAAACTTAATTGAAAAATCTTCTTTTTTATATGTATATAGAAACTACATTATACTATCATTCTTATTTATCGAACTACTGAACTCTTCTCAGAACAACTTACATCACAGTGTTGCTAATTGATGAAACATATATTCCTATGTGGTGACTTTACAATGGTTCCTGTATTATTTGTTTGAAACTTTGGAATTATATTCAGATTCATGGTTTTACGTATCACCCAGGATTTGGAAGCATTGTGAAGTTGCAAACAGAAAATATATATTTCTGATCTTGGACAAGATTGTGAACATGGCGAGATATAATATAACAATCAGTTTGAGTGTCGACAATGATTCAACTACAATATCATCTTGAAAACTCTATCACGTTTATAGACCTAATAAACTATTTTCTAGTAATTACTATAAAAAGTCGTCAGCAGTAATATTGGACTTTTGGCACATTTGTCTGAAAATACTTTTTTCAACTTGGTACAACTTCTTAGGAGCATCAAATTCCTCAACTTGACCCTTATCCATAACCAAAACTCTTTCATAATTCAACACTGTTTTCAATCTATGAGCAATGGTTAAAATAGTACAGTGCTTAAACTCCTCAGCAACCAATTTTTGAATCATAGCATCTGTTTCATAATCGACACTAGAAGTAGCTTCATCAAGAATTAAAATTTTACTATCTCTAACCAATGCTCTTGCAAAGGCGAGCAATTGTCTTTCACCAAGGGAGAAGTTTGAACCATCATCATCGACAATTTGATCCAAATGGAACTTTTGATCTAATCCCGATCTTCTTAATGCGTCCCATAATGACGTGTCGGAATGCTCATTGAATGGATCTAAATTTCTTCTAACAGTTCCTTGGAATAACACTGGATCTTGTGGAATGATGGACAACTTGGATCTCAAATCATACAAACCAATTTGTGATATATCAAACACCATCGATTTCAATTCTTCCCTTTTCCAATTCAGTTAATCGATACAATGCAGACATGATGGATGATTTACCAGCACCGGTTCTACCAACAATACCAACTTTCTCTCCAGGATAAAAGTTAACACTTAATCCTTTCAAAACCAATGGCAAATTTGGTCTGTATCTCATGTGCACATCCTTGAATTGAATATAACCAGATTGGGGCCATTCTTCAGGGACTTTAACCTCAGGTTTGAAATATTCCTTTTCTTGAGGCAATTCAAAGGCATATTCATGAAGTCTTTCAACAGAATTCATTTCATTTTCAACTTGAGTCATTGATCTGATAGTCAAAGATAAAATACCAATCAACTGAAGTACATAATTGATCAACAACCCAGTACTAGAAGCACTTATTCCAAATTGACCAGTAATACACAAGAGGCAAACAATCAAGGCAACCAGACAGGTAACAAGATCCAAGTGAACACACAACCATCTTTGAGTGGCAATAGACAAGTAATAAGCTTCATTCATCTTGTTCAAATAGTGATCATTCTTTTTGATGAAATCCTTCTCAGCATTGAAGGCTTTAATTGTACTCATACCTGTTAAAGTTTCATTGAAATTGTTGTAGACAAGGGATCTTTGCGTTGCTTCTAATCTTTTGATTTCTCTAGATGAGCCTTGATAGAAGTTAGCCAAAAATATAAATGCAAATGCCAAGAACGGAACAGCAATGGCAAACCAAGGCAAGTAGCAAATGCATAAAATAACAATTCCAATCAATAAGGCCAATGGGAAAATAAATAATCTCATCTGTTCACCAATTTCATTGTCCAAAGAATCAGTATCCTTCGTGAATCTATTCAATATTCTACCCAATGGAGTAGTATCCATAAAACTCATTGGAGCATGCATTATCTTGGCAACAGCTTTGACATTCAAGATATGAGCAGCATTGTTTTGAAGATATTCCAATGTCATAAATTCCAAACCAGTGAAAATAACAGTTAAAATTGAAAACATAACATAGATGGAAACATAGATATTATCAGACATGTTCTTGAATTTTCTTTCAACCCAGAATGATAACCAAACATTGGTGAAAATTTGACAATAAGTAGCAACGATAATAACACCAAACAAAACAGGAAGAGCATAATTGCCCAATTTTCCAGTACCCAATTCAAAGTATTTCTTGTAAACATCCCACGAAATAGCGTTGGTGGATCTTTCTTCGTCGGTGGTTGTTCTGCCCACAAGGTCAGATGTTGAAGAGTGAACTGTATTATCGTAATGCAGTTGCTCGTGTTGTTGTTGTTGTTGTTGATCTTGATTGATTTGTCCTTCAATACCATTTTGCTCTCTGTTCTTGTTGTCAGCATTATCCAGATCAGTATTGTATTGAAGTAATCTTCTGAAACCTTCATTAGACATCTTCAAATTTGAAGGAGTACCAACATCAACAGTACCATCACCATTAAGATAGACAACTTTATTAGCTTTATTGACTAGGTTCAATTGATGGGTAGCAAGAATAATGGTTTTATCAGACAACAACTTCATAAGACACTCTTCAACTATGTGCTTACCAACTTTAGCATCAACAGCAGAAAGAACATCATCTAAAAGAATAATATCCTTGTCAGCATACACAGCACGAGCCAAGCTGATTCTTGCCTTTTGACCACCACTTAAAGTGACACCACGTTCACCAATTTCTGTTCTATCACCTGCTGGTAACAACTTCATATCATCAATCAAAGCACAAGCATAGATAATTTTAGCATAACGTTCAGCATCAAATGGCTTACCAAAAATAATATTTTCTTTGACAGTGGCATTTTGAATCCATGGTTGACCACAAGATAACAAAGATCCATTGACTTTAACATAACCAGAAGTACATTTCATTTGACCAGCAATGGCATTTAACAAGGATGACTTACCAGAACCAATTTTCCCAGTTATAATGACCAATTCACCTCTAGTAACACTGAAATTGACATTATGCAACCCATCAAAGACATCTGTGATAGTAGAACAATCAGAGTCACTTTCAGAATCAACAACCTCTTTACTGGACACATGAACTTTGGCTTTAGAATCAGAATCATATTCATAAACAAAACGAGCCTTGTGCACTTCAACAGCATTAGGTTGTGTTTTCTCATTATGACCAACATAGAATTTATCTTCGTCATCAAGCAATTGCTGAAACACTTGTTCACTGCAATCTTCTTGTAAGTTTAAAAATATGTTCAACCTTCTAAACCCGATCATTGCATCAGCACCACTAGATAAAGCCAATGGTAACAACATGATACTTTGAGCCAAAATAGCATACAAGGAAAGAGAAGAAAACACTTCCCCTGGTGATTTCATGGCATCGGTTGCCCACATGGTGACGAATGAAAGCATTGAACTTAAAACTGGTAAAGTGACAGCATAAGCAGTAATAAAGTTTCTCATAGCCTTAATGCTAAACAAGTATTTCATTTCTTGATCTCTAACATTTGTAATTGACAACTTGTAAGCCATTTCCCATGCATAAAACTTGATGATCTTCATATAGTTCAATGCTTCTCTGATAAGTGAAACTCTTTGATCAGTGAATTTTACAACCTTCTCACGGTTCTTGAACAACATCTTAGTTAACAATGTACAAACAACCAAGGAGACAAAAAATAATCCAATCCCAGCTAATGATGCGACGCCAATGTTGACCAACAATATAGTAACTGAAATAATCACTGGAATTGGGAAACACAAAATCAAAGGTTGGAATCCGATTGCCAAGTCGATTCTACTCAAATCAGTAGCCATTAAAGATGTGATTTTACCAATAGGATAAACATTCTTAGCTTTGTTTGATATTTTAAATGACTTTTCCAAAAGAACCTTTGTCAAAACCCCTTTGGACTGGGCGCCAACAATCATGGCATTATGGAAGAAATGATTTAATAATAATCCATTGATGAAAATCAAAATAACTGCCAAAAATGTGAACCCTATACCTCTGTTGTAAGTTGTGTAAACACCAAAGTATTTGTACTGAACGAAATCAATCAACTGCCTTGTGACCAATGGACATAAAGAAATAATAACAAATGCAATACTTAAGCACATAGTAGCCAAAACGTACTGTTTTCTAAAAGTTAAAAATAAAGCCCAAGGAATAGCATATTTCGGCCATTTAAAATTGGATAAGTCGTGGTTATCTTCCAAATGACGCATTTCTGCTTCTCTTAAAATTTTCTGTAAATGAGAATTAAAGATCTTGTGCATTTCCTGGACGGTTAATTCTGGTGTCAATCTATACAAATCATCTGGATGTAATGTTCTTTTGTACCCTGTTTTTAATACTGGCCATAACCACCAAAAACCCAATCTCATGATTGGGTTAGTTTTGTGCCAAGGATATTCTTTTCTTTCTTCTTCACTTGGAATGGTAGGCACTTTTTTTGAAAACAACCAGGAAAAGAGTCTTTTTTCATTTTTCAACTCCGATTGTGACTCCAAGGAATCGTTTGTGTCATCGTATCTTGTTCCTTTGAGGTAAAGGGAGTTGTTGTACGATTTAGTATTGGTACTTTGGGTATACGGGTTGTAGTAGTTGTTGTATGAATGGTTTTCACTGGTGTATGAATAGGATTCAGAATTATTGGAGAAATTATCTTGATATGTGGTATCATGAAGATCAATGGTGTCAACATCTGGTTGGTATGTAGGTGATGGGGGTGTGATATCTGCAAGTGGAGAATAAAATTCTTTGCTCTCATTGAGGTACCTGGAACTATTATTGTAAGTATTATATGGATGAGTCATATCTATGGGTATAAAATCGTAAATCTAAGGGAATCCAAAACGAAATATTAAAAATAAAAAATGGAATATATAAAAATCAAAAAAAAAAAAAAATGAAATGAAATAAAAATCAACGGAAAATGATAACCCAAAAATCAAACAGATAGAAGCTCGTTAGAGACCAGTTGAAATAAACAAAACGAAAGGAATGGAGTGAATACTTTAAATAGGAAAAAACAACAAATAATCTGTTAGGAATACTTGTTTGAATAATACAAAGTAAAAAGTAGGAAGGAAAGAAAGTTATGGATACTTTTTGGAAATTTAAAAGAAAGCCAATATAAAAAAAAAAGAAAATCTGAATTTGAAAAACAAGGCTATCCAAATGGTTTTATATGAAATAGTTATTATGGGTAAGTATAGCTAGAACAATGCTCGAAGCCTTTTGCAGTTAAAATTCAAAAAAAAAAAATTGTAGTATTAGGAAAGTCTCTCACACGACGCAGTAAAGAATGAAAAAAAAATATTCAGTAAAAATTCTGCATCGGGGAATCAGACGAACAGAAAATTTATTTCCCAATTAGGAAAACAAATATATTTAAACCCCATTCTTAAATTTCTTAATATGGACATACCATATATGGGCTTCGCCAAAACAAGCTCCAAAATTCATTTTCGATCCAGTTGCCGAATTAGTGAATTGTATAAAGAAAAAAAAAATAGAATGGGTATAGGTTCGAGGATAATTGATGAGCGGATTTTATATCCAAAGCATAAATTGAAACATGATTTTCTCCATAGGAAGCATCGTTGGATTGTTTTGCAATGGTATTATACGACTTCATTAAACACAATCGATATGGTATAGCAACATAGTTATTAGATATAGTGTAATTAGCAAACCAAGGAGTGGTTGGAAATTAAACGTGGCTTTTGAATTGTTTTCTGTTCTCTGTTCTCTGTTCACCGAAGCTAAGCCACATTAAGTCATTTGTATCTTCACTACCCTCCACTGATTTTCCTCTCTCACAACTTATTAAACTAAAGAAATGTAGAGTGATATGCCATATTAATGGTGGTGGATACGTTTATCACGACGAAGAAGAATCGGAGTTTGATTCATAATAGAATTTCTCATTTGTTGGTTGGTTGTTTTTTTTTTTCTTTTTTAAGGGTGGGTTATCTGCAGGAAATTGTTAGTTTTTACAGTGTTTCTACTTTCAGTTCGTACCAAGTTCAAAGAAATTATTAATACTAGTGCGACAATTTAATTCATAGTAAGGGAGATTAATTGTTCATAGTAAATGGAGTCAAAATGTTCACACCAGCGGAAATAATACTTTCAAACTAGCTGCCCTTTTTTGTTCATACCATATATCATACATTTTCAGTATGAACAAATAGAGGTCACGTAATATGAACATTTTTTGCGTACTAGTATCAAAAATATTGACCGCCTTAATATGAACTTTTCTTTGCAAATAGTGCGAATAATTTTGACTCACTGATCTGAAAATTATGCTCAAACTAGCGCGAAATAAAACTGCAACGACTGTATTACTTAATTTGTATAAACTACCAAGAAAATAAATACAAGGGTAAACTTCTGCCATGATGTCTAAAATTTGAATCGCAAAGAAATCAGATTACGAAGACAATAAGGCACATCGGTTGATGAAACATTAAACACGAGATGAAGAGGGGGCTGTCAAACCATTGAGTATTCAGTATAGGTACATATATATATATACAAAATAAATTGACGCATGCTGTAAGGAGAGAATCGCTTAAAAGTTTCTTTGAATTACAGTATTGTTTAAAAAAGAATCAGTTATTTACAAGCCGCCTTCGTCGTTTACTATATACAATGAAGTACAGGTTTTATTAACCATCACAGGCTATTTTATCTCTTCCTTAACAATAGACCCTGCATTCTCCTTTACGGTAGTGCTCTTGGTGAGGGTTTGGTCGTCTACATCTATGATGTCATGTATCTCTTTGAGAAGTGCCTTTAATTCAGATTCATCAGCATCAGTTTTCGTATGAGGTTTCATACCTCTTAATTTTCGTAAATCATTCAATAATCGGAGGTTCTCTGCCGTCAAGTTATCCATATTTTGTAAAGTTTTAATCAAGTACGAAAATGAAACTTGGATACAACGCGGGTATGTGATGTCAGCTTCATATGGTTTGACAAACAGTTGAGGTTTATAATATTTAATACAGGCTTTGACGAGCAACTTATGAATATAGATTGTTTGTTCTAAAGTGACATCTAACCATTTGGTTCCATACACTCGTTCAAGAACTTTATTCATATTATCATAATAATCCAAAGGAACTCTTCTCAGATTGGTGAATTTACGTGCCCAATCACGTGTCACGGCATTCATCATGACTAAATTTCTTGCAAACTCTTCTGCTTGTTTATATGACATACCTGGAATCTTGTCTTGTGTCTGGAACCTCTCATTGGATCTATGATAATAATTAATGTCTTTATTGAGAACGGGCCATAAACGTTTCAATGTGTCGTAACCTAGAATCACACCATTAGAGTTAAATTTCTTGTTCACCAATAATTGAAACAATTCTAATATTAAACGGGTTTTGGTTGATCCGTTTGCCACTCTGCTTTGATCTTCCCATACTTTGGTTATAAGAAATCTTGGCATCAACTCATCAATAATCGTTGGGATTGCACGTTTGTCACTTTTGGTTGGTTCTAACAGCTCACCTTTTTTCAAAACCCCAGTCACCACGTTTGGTCTGTCATGGAAAAGGGTCAAGTCCACTTTCAATCCACCCCATTGAACAAACGAATACCAATATGCAATTACAAGTTCGTTCCATCTACCCAAATTCACTAAGCAATCAAAAGTCTGATTCAACAAAAATTTATTTACACCATATTGATTCTTGAGATTACTATCATTACCCGATTTTCTGGTGAAATCAATCATTGAAACTGAATTCTTTGGAAAACCGGAATTTCTTGGAATTATTACTTGTGGGTTAAAATTATCAACATTTAATTCAGCAACAACGTTTCTAGGATTTAATGATTTAAGATCCTTAACATACTTTATTTTTTCTAGTCCATTTCCGGGATTCTTCGCCGCATCGTTAAAACGTGCATCAGTGGTTTTCTTGAGTTGTTCACTTGGTTGGCAAACAGGAGCATTAGTTACCTTTTCAATAAAGTTAAGCAATCCATCAATTTCAGGTGAAACCTGTCTCAAAATAGATAATGCCGTTTGGTTATATAAATAGTGAGATCCCAGACGCAAATCAGGACCAGTACCTGAATTTCTAGAAATTAACGAATTGATGTACACAGAAACCAATGGCATATCAATTTCCAATTTTGTTCTATTCCAATACCTAATTGCCTTTTCATCAACTTCTTCATCTCCAGTTTTTTTTGGTGGTGTTGCTAATTGCTTGGCTCTATCCATCACAAGTTGTGCAATCTTGATATGACCAGCTTCTAAATCCATCAACAGCAAAAGTCGAGGATTCTTACCAATATTTTTATCTTTCATCAAGGTGTTTCTTTCAACATCGGTGTATTTCTTGATACCTTGTAAAAGAATAGTGAATGTCTGTGCATCGGCATCTATTCTTCGGAAACCTTGTTCTTTATCTTCTTCCAACTCATCAAAAAATTTCCATGCAAGAGCTTGTCGGTTTGTAAAGTCTTTAACAAGGATACTCAAACAAGCATTGAAACCTTCAATCGGAACAGTTTCCCCTTTCTTGGCCAACTCTGCTCTCCAATTTTTAAATATTCTAATAGCTTTCCAAATATACTTTCTATTTGGGTACCCCCATTCAAGCTGTTTTGCTATTCCATCAAGCAATGTAATATAAGTAAATTTACTGGAAGGAATTCCTGATGATTTTCTAGAATTAAATATTTTCAATGCTTCTTCTATCTTACCCCTTGCTAACAACCATTGCATTATAAAATTCATACCAACAATAGCAGCATCACTCTTGGCAATACGACACAAGTATAATGCTCTAGAAATATCCCCATCAAGTGACAATAGTTCATTGACGTTATTGGAGACATAAAACTCATCCGAAAGTTGTGCACCATCGGTTCCCAACAATGCTAGCGCCAAATTTCTATCTATTTGTCTCCCGGTAACCTCTTTAATTCGAAGTAAATTATCAAATATCACTTTTGCCATGGGACTATTATACTTTAAATCCACAATCTTTAACCTGTGAATATTAAAGGCTTTCTGGTCGTTGTCTATAAATGCAACAGCGTCGTATCTATCTTTCAATGATTTCAATGCTTTATTTAAATTATATGATGTCTTTGCAACTCGCTGATATTTCTTTTCTGGTATTTGGGCATCTCTTGTATTATAAATATCGTGCTCCACGGCATCCTGTAACCTTTTACCTATAGGCTTTATTGCAAATAATCTTTTAGATGAATGTAGCAACATTTGACTTCGACTATAAGGTCGAACATGTTGTATTGCTCTAAACATTATTGATCTCTCTGGGTGGAAAATATTTGATTTAAGATTAGTTAGTAGTTACAATGAATTGATAATGCGCAGTTAGAAGTAAGAAAATTTTCACGCAATTTTTTTTTTGTTTCTCTGCGGGAAGGGTACTATTTCATGAGAAGTCACTTTCTTCCATTCAACAAGTAAGCAACAACAACAGAAACAACAGCAACATGAATGGTCCGACTGAAGATACATCGATTAAAAGTGATGCCATATTTCAGAGACAGCAATGGATACACGCCAAGGAAACCATCAATGGGTTAATCACTCAACTCAATAGAATAAACATCAAAGAAATAGTACTTGAATTATTTCAGATCAACTTGATACGATACCGTGGGTTATTAGCAAGGCGTATAATGAAACAACAATTATTGCATCCAAATAACCACGAAGATGTACTTGCCAGTTTAGTAGGTGTGATAAATTCTAAAATCCCCGAAGTTGGAGAATTGCTAGTCAAACGAGTTGTGTTGCAATTTAAAAAGAATTTTACCACCAAAAACAACCATCGCAAGACAAGGTCATCACTTTGTTTCTTGTGTCATTTGGTCAATCAGCTGGTGACTAGTGAAATTGTATTACTTCAAATATTACAAATACTATTAGAAGATCCTTCAAACGATAGCATAGATCTTTCCCTCGAAATAGTAAACTTATCTGGAGGGTATTTGTTTAAGAACTCTAAGAATGCATTGGTAATGATATTGAACAGATTGAGAGATTTGCTACAAGAAGATCCTTCATTGAATCAGAAGAATAGAAAAAATATCAATCACGTTTTGAAATTAGGCAGATGTGATTTTAAAGGTGTTCAGATTGTAGATAAAGATTTGGACCTAGTTGAAGATGATGATAAAGAAGAACCCCATGTTATTGGATTAGATGATGATGAATTATTATCAGAAGACTATTTAAATGTATTCCATGTAGATGAGGAGTATGTTGAAACTGAAAAGGAGTACATGGAAATACAAGAAGAAGTGTTGGGCAGGGACAAGAGTGAAGAACAAGAAGAAGAAGAGAAGGAATCACAAGTAATCGAGGTGCCAAAAGAGACCAAAGTTACCGATTTAGGTAAGTCTGATTTATTGCAGTATCAGAAGACTGTTTATTTAACAATAATGTCGTCCATGTCATCCGACGAAGCTGTTCACAAATTATTGAAGTTAAATATTGGTAAGTCCAAAGATGATCGATTACAAGATACTGAAACATTAGCTGATATGATTATCAAAGCTTGTTCACAAGAAAAGACATATTCCAAATATTACGGAGTGATTGGCGAAAAGCTTATAGTCAAGAACCATTTCTGGCATGATACATTTGTATCATTGTTCAAGCACTACTATGACATTATCGACAATTTTGAAACCAATGCATTAAGAAACTTGGGTAAATTTTTTGGGCATTTATTGGCATCTGATAGATTTGCTCTAGACAAAGCGTTGAATGAAGTGAAATTAACTGAAGATGACACTAACCCAGCAAAAAGAATCTTGCTCAAGTTTATATTCCAAGAAATGATAGAAGAATTGGGTATTAAGGAAGTGAAGGCAAGAATGATAAATGATAGTTATGTTAAGCCGTTTATCAATGGGATATTCCCTGTGGTCAATTCCACATGGAAAAATGCAGATGATTTGAGGTTTTCAATTAACTTTTTTACTGCTATTGGTTTAGGGGCATTGACTGAAGAAATGAGAAATGTGTTGAATAATTTGCCTGAAGACCGTGGTAGAAGTAGGTCTCGAAGCTACTCCAGAAGTGGTTCTGATAGTAGTCGGAGTTATTCAAGGAGTTATTCCCGCAGTCGATCTGTCAGTTATTCTCGTAGTAGATCTGCCAGTTATTCACGAAGTCGATCTGCAAGTCGATCTCAATCCAGAAGTGCTAGTCCAAGAGGACGTCAAGAATTTCGTAGTAGGCAAGCCAATGAATCAAGAACTCCTTCCCGTGAAAACTTGAAAAGGAAACGAAGTTCATCGGATGATAATAATAATAGTAGTAGTGGTAACAACCCCAAACTTCAAAATATTCTTGACCAGTTGAAGTAGATAAAGTTATCGTATAGTTCATAAATAGACGTCACCTGAAATAAAACGGGGTTTGCACATATGAAGTAACAATCATATTACGATTTGATCGAAGTAGTTATTTTTTTTTTCCTCGTGGTCTTATAGCACCAAATCCCGTATTATTTATGTAATTGAAATCCTAGCACATTATATCCCACATTTCGCTAATATCGGTAAATTTCAATGACAATTTTACACAAAACTACAAATCTGTGAGGTGCAGCAACAGTCATCTCATTTCATGTTTTAATTTTGAGAACAATTTAATAGAGAAAAGTCACGTGTCGCGTTAGGAAAATTCCGGAACTCAATTGTCCATTTACACAGCAACAAGGGTATTTTATTTTTGTATGTAACCATTTATTTCAACAGCCAATAAGCTTAAACCTTACTTTTACCTAATAAACTGATCTTGCTTGTGGTTTGATGAATAAACAGAAATGCAAGTCAAGTCAAATAGAGAAAAAAAAAAAGCCCTCGGAAGAAGGCAAGAATATATAAAAGTCACTCATTTAAAGAGATGCACAAACTACTGTTTAGATTTTTTGTTTTGATGTTGTTGTTGTTGATCATGTCTGGAAGCTTTTGTGAGCACTTTTTCTTCCATGGTGACCAACCAATGAGAAGAGGTTTGTTTGAAATAGACAAAACAAAATTTGATTGTCATAGAGAGGAAATTATTTTTTTTTTTTTTACTTGCCATAGAACAATTGCACATAAACTGAGAATTACTGAGAGTATGAAAGTACCGAAAAAAAAACTTTGATATATAAATAAAATTAATTCTTCCTTTTCTTGAAAAATTTTTATACCTCTTTTCCCTTTTTCTTCTCTTTTTTTTTGTTTTTTCTTTTTTGGTCAATACAATTTATATTTATTCAATAATCAAAAATGCCAGCTCCATACGAAAAAGGTTCTGAAAAGAAAGGTGCCACTTTATTCAAAACTAGATGTTTACAATGTCACACCGTTGAAAAAGGTGGTCCACACAAGGTTGGTCCAAATTTACATGGTGTTTTCGGTAGAAAATCCGGTTTAGCTGAAGGTTACTCTTACACTGATGCTAACAAAAAGAAGGGTGTTGAATGGACCGAACAAACCATGAGTGATTACTTGGAAAACCCAAAGAAATATATTCCAGGTACCAAGATGGCCTTCGGTGGTTTGAAGAAACCAAAGGACAGAAACGATTTGGTTACTTACTTGAAGAAGGCTACTTCTTAAGCAACTAAAAGTTAATGATTTGCTATGAAACATTAAAAAGAAAGAGATTACAATAATATTATTGGAAAGAAAATGTGTTTAAGGGAAATTGATTTTTGATTTTTTTTTTTATTATTATTATTACTTTTATTACTTTGATAGATATCAAAAGGACAATTACTTGTTATTAGAAAATGAAACAACAAAAGATGAACTGGTTTTTCAATGATTGTCTAACTTTGCACCTTTCTTTTTATGTATATTACTATTAGTATCAATTTTTTTTTTATATATTCTTTCTACTGTATATATATATATTCTTTTATCCTATTTATATTCATTGGAATAATGTAGTTTTTGACGATTGAGAGTAAGTGCATAAGTTCAGTCTTGTAATTTTAATTGCTCTTGGTGTTTATACTTTATTATGGTCATTTCGGGGAGAAACAAAAACTTGAGTTTCTAGGAACCTTACTGGCTGAAATTTTGACTCCGACACGACCATGGCTGCGGTCGCGCATCTTTTTAGACTAAAGGAAATTGAATAGGAAAATGAAAGAGAGAGAAAGTGAGAGAGAAAAAAAAATTTTTGATTTTCGGTGTCAATTTCTTCGATCTGATTCTAATTATTCTACTTTTAACCCACTACACAAATAATGAATAACGATCCTAAATTTCAAGTCCAGGTGGATCCTAACAAAGATACCGAATGGAATGATATATTGAGACTGCATGGGATTATTCCGGAAAGACCACCATCACCAACCGCTGAATTAGAAGCGGCATTAGAAGAAGCAATTGTAAAGCAACACGATAACAGATTAGAGAATAAAGATTTAGATGAGTTGGACGAATTGGAAGATGAGGAAGATGAAGATTTTTTGAACCATTATAAACAAAAACGTATGGCTGAATTAAAGAAAATATCTGAAAAAAAGAAATTCGGTCACGTGTTGCCAATCAATAAGAAAGAGTATGAAGATGAGGTTACCAAGGGATCTAATGATACATTTGTATTAGTACATTTGTCATTACAATCAAGCTTACAAAGTAGATTATTAGGATCTATACTAAGTACCTTGGCAACAAAATTCCCGGAAATCAAGATTTGTGATATACCTGCACAGAGATGTATTGAAAACTATCCCGAATCTAATTGTCCGACATTGATTATATATCATAACGGGAATGTTGTAAAACAATATATCACATTAACTCAATTGGGTGGTAATGCTACAACCCTTAAAGATATTGAACAAGTGTTAGTTGATGTAGATGCTGTGGGTTTTAATGATAAAAGATTAATTGTCAATAATGAAGATGAGGATGAGGACTTAAAAGAGGCTAGATCATTAAGATTTGCTAAAAAATCCATTCGAAATGACAAGAGCAATCTTCTGGACGATGATGATGATGACGATTTTTATGATTAGTATGATTAATAATTTGTTGTTACTGCCCCCTACAAAAAAAAAATAGACGATCAATTTTAATTTTGTTCTTTTCGTGTACAAAAAAACTATTTTGGCAACAATCCCAAAAAAATGTTCAAAGATCCTTCTCTGAATGAATACCAAAAAAAAAAACCAACGGCTCTATAATACAATAGAAAAATGTACATGTAGATTTGTTTTGTTTTGTTTTGTTTTACAACCATTCATATTTTGATTTTGTTTATATTCTTCACAAATATCAACCACTGTTTTTTCTGTTTCATTAGTAGAGTTCTATATCCTTTTTTTTTCTGATCAATCTTGCAACCAGTTTTTTGGGATCCACCATATCAAAATTCTGAGCAATGTCCATGCTTTCATCTACAATTGATACATTGATAAGTGAAGCTGGTGGTATGGTTGAACAAATACTTCCTTTATCCAATAATTCTAGCAAGTTAAATGGGAGTCGGGGTTCTTTATCAAGCACAGCTGAAGAAATGACACCAAGTGCAAGTATTGAAGAACTTTGTACTGCAGTTGACGAATTACCTGTGGAAACATCCCTTATTGAAATTGACGTTAATTCAATTGGTTCAGATATTAATACCATCCACCGTTCTAATGAATCTGGTCCTCCTCTTTTTGAAAGAACTGTTTTGCAATATCATGATATTCAAGTAAATATCCCCGAATCACGAGTTAGTTTAACTGCTACAGAAGTTGATACTGAACCTTCGTTGAGCCATTCGTCAACTGGTGTACTTGAATCTTCTGCCATCAAACCTCAAAAAATGCCTTCACCTAAGAGAGATTCCGTTCATAATGTATACGATATTGAAGAACTCATCCACGAACGAGAACTTCAAGAGGAAGAAGGTGGTGCTGCCGTTGCTGCTGCTGTTGCTGCTCCAGGTACTCCGGAAAAGAAAATTAATCCAGTTAGTCAAACTTTAAAGATGAATGCGCCGATTAAAAAGTTCAAACTAAGTAATGCTGCAAATGGATATGGCGATATTGATGAGGCTCCGCTCATTATTAATAGCCCTATTGCTAGTGAAACCAAATTGCCAAGTAATAATGCCTGGGTATTGCATGATTATGAACATTTATTTGGCTCTAAGAATTTCCAAAGAGAAATCGATTTAGCTAAATCATTAAGATTTCATTGACGAGTATTCAGATCCGATCCCAGATTTAAGAGATGAAACGTTGATTTATATATCAACCAGGATTATCAATCCGGCAAAAGTCATGGCTTTATTTTTGGAAGCATCGCTGCATAAAAAAGATTTGTATCTTGATTTGATTATGAGCAATAATGGTTGCAACATTTTATTGCAGTTGATGAAATATTTCCGAGAACATGAATCCACAGTGATGAAACAGATTGAGTCTGTTCACATAAGAATTCTGGCTTCTTATGTTCATCAAATTAAAGTTGTTTTAGGCATGTTTACTGAAATGAATAGATTTTTTCAAAAAATTAGAACTTTGGGATTATTCATAGGCATCCATCAATATGAAAATGGATATGTGTTGGGTGCTCCCCAGGAGGAAAGAATTAGATTACCTGCAAAACTAGAAAAAATATACTTTTCCAATGGGTTAAAGTTGAATGATTTTTCTCATTTACCTATTTCAGTTAAACACATTGGTTTGCATAATGTTCACATGGTGACTTTTAGTAAGTTTAATCTAAGTAAACACTTAGAAAGTCTTCATATAAGTGGTGAGCAAATAGAATTGAATGCCCATCTGGATAGCTTCCCTCCGGGTTTTTACTGTCTCAAGGATGTGAAGTTTGATGCGTCTGTGGTTGTTAATTTTAATTTTGAGAAATTTGTGCATTTGAGTTCGTTAAGTTTACTGAAGGTTGGTTTTGAACAGTCTAGACAATTGGAATTCCCTCTACAGTTGAGAAAATTGGAATTTATCGATTGCTCACTTTCATCGCATGTTCCAGCATTTCCTGACACTTTGAAAGCATTGATTATAACCGGAGGTAAATGGAGCCGTAAGAAGAATGCCAACATGTCACGTTTACAGCGGTTAAAACTAAGTAACGTTCAGGTGAAGGATTTGACTGAAAAGGTAAATGCATGTCGGGGATTATTAACACTTGAGATTAGCAATTGCCCATTCAATGATGTTGATGCATTAAGAATTCCTTCAAAATTAACAGTATTGAAATTTGTGAATGTCAATCTTAGTGGGTTCAAGTTTTCTGGGTTCCCTGCTACATTAGAGCAAGTTGATTTAGAAAATAATGATATTTGTGTTCTTGTTCCCAAGAGCAAATTGAAATCATTAAGAATTGCATCGAATAAGTTGGCAGGCAGAGTAGACATGACTAGTCTTCCAGTACGGGATGTGAATTTAGAAGGAAATAAAGAGTTGGAATCGTTGTATCTACATGATAAGACAACAGTTTTGATAGCAAATAATACCGCTATCCATCATCTCACTGGATCTGGATTAACCAAACTAGTATTAAATGGATGCAGCAGTATTGATTGGAAGCTGTTCCAGATTCCGCAATTTGTAACCCAATTGAGTCTTCGTAAGTGTGATATTGTTAGTTTTGAATCACAAGAGGATATAAATCATGTTAAAATGTTGGATCTTGGTGATAATAAACTAAGAAGTATCCATTTGGGTAAATATGAACATTTAGAAGATGTTGAATTGTCGTGTAATGATTTGACTACGATCGTAACAGAAAACTTCCCACTAGGGATTAAGTCAATTAATGCTAAAAAGAATCGGATAGCCGAAGTAAGAATATCAGAACTTGTACAATTGGATTGGTTACAATTATCTGAAAATAAATTGACAAGTATGCAAAGAATTCAACTACCAAGTAATCTTAGTACCCTTATTTTGAGTAATAATAATTTTGGAGAAATCAATGATTCAATAATTAAATTGCCTGAGAGATTACGTCATTTGGAATTAAAGAAGTGTAAGATTGCCAAATTGGATCTAACCTTGGGTCCAGAATTGATGTCATGCTGTTTAAATGGAAATAAATTATATATGAAGAATTTCCAAATTCGATTTGTTAAAGTACCTTGCAATCTTAAATTTCTAGATTTGGGTAGTAATTTTTTCAAACTGTTTGATTTTGGAATGGTTAATGGGATTGAATTAGCAGAGATTAATTTGGCTAATAATATGTTTGACGAAATTCCAGATCTGATTCCTGATAATATTTTATCAGCAATTATATTCAAAGTTCATTAGAACAAAACAGAATTTGAAAGGAGGATATTGCTATGAAATTTTACTATTGGTATTTTAGGGTAGTTTAGATAACAATAATAAACACAAGGGTTAAACTTCTTTACACGGTGGGGAGGAGGAGGTCTTGTAGCAATCGATGAGTTTTGCATTCCGCACGCGAGGTCGGATTATCAGGAGGAAGTGTGCGGATCGTTGTAGGTTACTACGAGAGGAAGAAAAAAAAAAACAATACATCATTCTCTGTCTTATGTATAGTTGAATTGACCTCTTTTCATTTGTCTTTCTTTTTATAAGGACGTGTGGTTTTTGTTTTTATTATTATTATTATTATTATTATTATTAATCAACACTCATCATCTACACGTCTAAACCAGAACAAAGTGTTTAAAAGACCTGCTTGATAATTATCATTCTTCCTGTTTGCAAACAAGAAAGAAAAAAAAACAAAAACAGAGAAACACTCTCGTACACTACAGTAGTACACTCCCAAGTCCACTACCGCCAAGCTCTTCCTTTTGGATTTTTTTTTTTTTTTTTTTCTTTTGGATTTTGGATTTGAAAAATTTACAACCACTTGAAATCAAGTCAAATTAAACAAACTTTGTTGCCTCCACATTCACCTAATACACAAGCAAGGTTATCAACAAGTTACCAAGAGTACACTATCATCCAGGTCTTACTCTCACGTACCATCACTCCTTTCAGTTGCTATTAGTTCACTATTGTTACTGGTCATTTCCTTTTTTTTGTCCCTCCTGTGTAACTAGCTTCTCCCTTCTTACGCTGTCAGTTTTCCACCTGATCAACAAGTGAGAAGAAGAAGAAGAAAAAAAAATGTATGCCGATAAGACAGTACCTGGATCGAATGGCAGCCCAAATCACAGAAACGGGAATACGATGAACAATAAGTTTGAAAAATTAAATGGAATGAATAATAATTATGATGTTAATCAAGATTCTAAATCAATTCATACTATGGAGTTAACTCCACAACCAGATAATTATTCATGTATAAAATCATGTCCTCATATTATTTCTGTCTTGGAATCCAATGCCAAAAATACTGTTTTTGAAACTTACAAACAAGCAGTACTAATATCACAACCAATATCAAATAAAGTTTATCATTCTAAAAAAGATCATTCATTGATTCCTCAAAGTAAAATATTATCATCAAAGATTAAATCATTAAAATGTAATGAGTGTCATTTAAATAATTTTGAAAATTCCATGATTTGTTTGCAATGTCCTCATGTTGGATGTTGTTTCAATAATCATAATCATTCATATTCCCATTATAAATCTACAAAGCATCAATACTCCATTGATACTGGATCAGGTTTGTTGTATTGTTATAGATGTAATGATTTTATTAATCATCCTGATTTGGAAAGAATCCGAATGTCGGTAATAGATCTGGATTATTCGACTAGTGGAACGTACAATGAAGATAGCAATGAAAATTATAGAGAACCTGGAAAATTGGCAACCAGGGGTTTAAAAGGGTTTGTGAATTTAGGAGCCACCTGTTTTATGAGTTCAATCTTACAAACATTAATTCATAATCCAATTATTAAGTATCATTTTTTCAATAATGATTTGCATTATTTCAATTGTGAAAGAGGTCATAACCAAGATATTAATAATGGATTTATTGATGAGAATAATGCATGTATTACATGTTCAATGGATAATATTTTCAAAACTTTTTTCACTTCAGATAATTTAGATGGTTTTGCATTATCAAATTTTTTAGCAACTTCATGGCATAAAAAGAAATCATTAGCAGGATTTCAAGAACAAGATGCTCATGAATTTTTTCAATTTTTATTGAATGAATTACATATTGATCATGTGAGACTTATGGATACACTAGGTGAAGGTGCAAGTGAAACCCATGGAAACTCTCCGTGTTCATGTATTAGTCATAGTGTTTATGGATTTCAATTGAAAAGTTCTATTGAATGCGATTCCTGTGAGTATGTGAGTAATACAATGGAACATGTTAATGATCTTTCATTGGAATTAAATAATAGTGGTGGCTTATCTGATTGTTTGGATCAATTTACGAAAGCTGAACATTTAGAACATTATACATGTACGAAATGTTCATCAGTTAAAACTACTACTAAAACATTAAAAATTCAAACTGTTCCAACAGTGTTGACATTACATTTAAAAAGGTTCAAGCATGATTTAAATTCTACCAAGATTGAAACCAAGATAGAAATACCGATGTTTTTGAATTTATCAGAATATTGTGTGGAAAAACCACAACCTGATGTTAAACAAATTTATGAATTATTTGGTGTTGTTGTTCATGAAGGTTCTATCTCAACTGGTCATTATACCGTTTATATTAAAAATTCGGGACATTGGTATAAATGTGATGATTCAGTTGTTTCATTGGTTAATCAAGACGAAGTATTGAATTCGAATGCTTATTTGCTTTTTTACATTCTATAGGTTTAATATTAATTTGCATGAAAAGGAAAGAGATCTCTCCTCCTCCCCCTCCCCCAACAAGATATCTTTTCTTTTATTTTATTTTCTAATTCATTTTTCAGTGAAATGTAGACATTTCTGTGATTGGATGGTTACCTTATAAGGATATATTAATTACCACACTGCCTATCCACAATTTGATAATAATTTCTTCACAGAGATGGTTATCGGAATCACAGCCGATCCAAGAAAATGACAAATTAGGCGAAGCATTCAAAAAGAAAAACCCTTCGGTAAAAGTTTATGATTTCATGAAATAGCCTTCTTATGAAACTTGATAAAAGAAAAAAAAAAAAGAAAAGAAAAGAAAGAAGCCAACGTGTATTTCGTATCAGTGATATATTAATTTACATTGGTATACATATAAATCAAAAGGGCTATGTTTGATTGGAAAAATGAATTTAGTACTTGGTCGTGTGAATTGGTCAGGTTTGTAGATTTTAGTGGTTTGGGAATCATATTCAAAACATGATGCATAATGTTATTCCAAGAAACATTACTTGGTAACGAAAGAAATATTAATCAGTTGGATTAGGTGTGTGTTATCTAAACTAGGTAATATATCATGAATGAATAATTACACAATATGACGATGTTATAACTCTTCTAAGATGTTGAACTATTTTATTTGTAATAGAAAATTGCTTTTCATATTAGTACTAGTGTGTGCCTTTATGAATTAAGACGAGGATTTAAATTTGGACTAGGCTATGATATCATGGCAGTGGTGATAAGATTACTAATTAATACTGCCAAAGTTTTTTTTATTTTATTTTATTACATCTTGTTTCTTGTCTTTATAAGAAATATAACAAAGGATGTTGATATATGTGGTTTCAAGTATTGTCATGTGAACTACTCTGTTGTTGATGACGTAAATTTTAATACATTTCCCGTCGTATTAGATTATTTATTATTACTCGATTAGCCCTCCCCCCCTTCCTCTTCCTCTTCCTCGTCGTTTCCTGTTTGGTTACCCCCTTTCATTAATATAAAATTTCCTAAAACAATAAATTAAATTTTTATGTTTTAAGGGGTCGTGCACTAACTGGGTAATTTAACACAAAATCAAAATTAAAAGAAAAAAAAAAAATAATTTTTAAGTTTTGCAATCAATTAGATTTGCAGATACCCACAACAACAACAACAACAACAACGATGAATGTAAACCAAAAAAAAAAAAAGAAATAATGGTTAGTAGAAATAGGAAGACGATTTTTCAATGTAGTTTTCTCTAATTAAGGAAATAAAAGAAGAAAAATTATCTAATTCCACTGGTTATTATTTATTCATGTCCCCCCTTTTATGTTTAACCCATATAAATATCAGACCAAATATTTCCTAAATCCAAAAAAGAATTTCAATTCAAGCCTCGAATAAAATCCTCGAGATGGTATAATCAAGAAATCATTTATTTCAACTTTAACAAAATATACCCTTGTACATTCATTAAAAAAAAAATCATCCTTTTCTTTCCTTTTTCACAATACCAATAAAGAAGATTTCTAAAAAGTTCTTTAATCAAAAATGATATTCATTCATTTATTACTAATGGTTGTATTTTCCTCTTTTTCAATAGGTATTCCAGTTGAAAAACGTGTTGATACTACATGGAATGATGCTTTTCAAACCACTTTAAATGCCATGTGGTCAGTATTTTGGAATGATCAAAATCAAGGATTTACATTTGAAGATCCATCATGTCCAGGAGCAACTTATACTGATGCATCAGTTTGGGATGTTGCAGTTGCTGGTAAAGCAATAACTAATTCTGGAGATATTTCTAGAATAAATCAAGTTATTACTACATTATATCGATATCAAAATGAACAAGGTTGGTTTGCTAGTCATCCTTATGGTCAAGATGTTTATGTTGATGATAATGCTCAAGTTCTTTGGGTTTTCTTAGATGCTTTTAAATTGACACAAAACCAACAATATTTAACAACGGCAATTAATCTTATGCATTTGATTCAAACACAATGGTCTAATGCTGGAGGAATAATTTGGCAAGTTGGTGATGATTATGTTGCTAGTATTTCAACCACTGAAGCTGCTTTAAGTGCTGTTAAATTATATGAATATAATTCTGATGAATCTTTATTAACTTTTGCAATTAGTTGTTTAACTTGGTTAGATGAACATTTAACTGATCCCAGTGATGGGTTTTATTATGATGGTTTAGATAGAAATAATTTTCAAGTTAATAGAGGAAAATTAACATATACTGTTGGTGTTGCTATGAGTACTTATGCGTATCTTTATAAATATTCCGGTGATTTACATTATGTATTATCTGCTGTTAAAAAAGCATGGGCTTCATTAAATTCTGATGTTTTTCTAAGAAGTAATTCATATTGGAATAATGATTTAAAATATCTTCATTTATTATTTGTTGGATTTGCTGATGTGATTAGTTTTTGTGGACAAGCAGGTTATATTCCCCATATAACTAAACAAGGATTATTCATTTATCAATATGATGCTATTGGTGATGGTCATTATATGGATTTTACTAGTAATTTAATCACTTATGATAATTATATCAATGCAACAAGAGATAGAAGTATTGCATATGAACCTGATAATGATATGTATTGTTCAAATGGTAGTGGTCAATTAAGAAGAAATTTGTTAAATGATGCTTCAGCAGCACAAATTTTCTATGAAATCTCAAGAGTTACTCCATGATTATACTATTCTTCTGTGAATATGAATTAGTATAGACAATATAGTAATAAATATGATATTAGACTGTAAATTTAGATGTGTATCCTGGGCCGTCATATCTCCGGTGCGGTTTTAAATCTCGCCCCCACACTCACTCACACGCTCACATATAAAATATTGAACACTCCCACGAATCGTTTACCCAAAGAAAAAAAAAATGAATTCTACTTGAGCCTAATAAATCGTCATCAACGACAATCACCATCAACATCATCAATATGTTAAATCCTGTTATATTTATAAACGATCCAGTTAAGAAAGATTATTCAGAATTTATACTTTCAATACTTCCTCAATTTTCCAATTGTTTTCAATTAGATATTGTTATACTTTCACCTATTTCAACATCAAATGATTTAAATTTCATATTATGTAAATATTATCAACTTGTAAGAAATTATATTGAATCAAATCTTGATTTATTTGATTATAGATTTGAAATTAATATTTTATTTAATTTATCCCATGAAAAATTATTAAAATTAATTGAAAATTCATGGAATAAAGGATATATTATTGATAATGAAGTTAATATCATTAGAAATTTACCAATATCATTAATTAAATCAACTAATATTTCCCTTCCTAATGAAACATCATCATCACCATCATCATCAATTATTTCAAAAAATAATAAAAATTATCAAGAATTTAATATATGTGCAGTTGGTGGAACATTTGATCATTTACATGATGGTCATAAAATTTTACTTTCAATGAGTTTATTTTTAACTTTTTCAAAATTAATTATTGGTATAACTGGTTCATCATTACTTTTAAATAAAAAATTTAATCAAGTTTTACAATCTTTTAATATTAGAAAATCTTCAGTTTTAAATTTTATTCAATTAATTCATCCTTTAATTTCAGGTGGAAAATTAATTGAATTTTATGAAATTAATGATATTTGTGGTCCTACTGGTTATATTTCAAATATTGATTCTTTAATAATATCAGAGGAAACTACTTCTGGCGGAGTATTTGTAAATAAATATCGTAAAGATCATGGTTTTAAACAATTGGATATAACTTCAATCAAAGTCATTGGTGATGATCAAAGTAATTCTGATAATTCTTGGAAAGGAAAATTAAGTTCAACTGATATTAGACAAAGAGAATACAATAGATTACATATCAATAACTAATTAAATATATAACTATTGCCCGTTAGTCTTTATCAAAATTAAGCTATTTCTGTATATATATATTTGAATTTTTAAAAAAGCGAAAGTAAATGACGTATATATATATATATATATATTTCACAAATAGATGTATATCTCTTTATTTGATGGAAATACCTTTATCAAATTGACTTTGACGTCTTGGAGTTCTATCTGGATGATCAAGTCCCAAACTAAGACGTTTATTGGCAATTTCATCAAATAATATCAAATTATCTTTGCCTTCCAAATACAGTCCTTTAAAGTTAATATCTGCTAAGGCTAATCTAATTTTATCAAATGCTTGTTTACCCAACCCTAATTTCTTTCTTAATCTTTCCTTGGTTTCGGAAAGTGGTTCATTTGGTAAGACAACAAATACAAATGGTATTCCATGACGTGAATCTCCTGCCTTGTAGAAATGGAACGCAGGTAAGAAATTAAGTTGGTCTCCAGCTGCTTTAACAGCTAAAAATTCTTCTCTATCAACTGCATCAATTTCATCCACTTTAATCTCTTGTGGGAAAAATCGTTTATACATATCAAAGTGACACAACAGTTCAACTTCGGTAGGGAATAAACCACAGTAAAGATCAACACCATCAGGAATTTGATTTAATGGAGTGTCTGCCTTATACATATCCTGATAATTATGGTGGCTACCAGACCAGACAAACAAGTGAGGTAAATCCTTCTTCTCAACATTCACTTTATGTAAAAGCTTAGTGACAACATCTCCGATAGTACCAAGTTTAGGAACCAACACATCAAATACTTGTGATTGCAACAATGTGACAAGCCAATGGATTTTAACAGCCTTCATATTCTCATATTCAACTAATGGAATATTAAGTATTTCATATTCAAACTCAAAAATTGCTGAAACGGGAACAGATCGGGCAACATACTGTGAAACATAACTATTTGATTTTAGTGGGAATCTTTCTCCTGATGATGAAAGAGCAAATATTCTTAAATAAGCTGGATCAACATTTAATTTCACGGCAATTGCCTTGGCCAAATCATGATAACTATAACTTGTGGAAATCCAGAAATCAAAACTTCTACTCAAATTTTTGGCCCGTTGAATCTCTTCATTAGTTACTTCGTTATCTTCAGAATGTACACCATCTTGATCCATATCATCCTCATCATTAGCAACAAAATCCGAATCTTCTTCATCTATGTCTGCCTTGAATGGCCTGACATTAACATGTAGTCTAGTCAATAAAAATTTATAATACTCTCTCAAATCCTTAAATTGTCCATCTTTATTCAATTCACCTGGATTTACAACTTGAACTGTGAGTATATCGCCATGACTCAATTCTTGCTTGTTAAATGTCAACTCAGGGTCAATCTTATCAACTTTAGACGGTGACAATTCCTCAAACATTTCCAACTCAACATCATCTTTAAATCCAAGTAACTTCTTGATAGGATCAATAATTGTTTTGATTTGATCGGATTTAGCAACTACTATATGGGATAATGATCTAATCTCCTGAGAAATTGGATCAAAATACTTGATGATGATAGTAATGTGATTAGCATAAGCTTCAGTGTTTTCAAAACGCATTCCTTCGCCAATCTTATTGCCAGTGGATTCAATTTTGCTGAAAACTTGTTCAAATGTAAAATCTTTTGGTTCAATATACTCAGTATCCACTAACTGGATGATGTTACGAATATCTTTATTCAATTCTTCCACATAAAACACCATTTCGTCATATTTTCTATTGAAAATCTTAAAGTAAAAATCACTAATGGTATAAGACTCCAATTTCTTTTCCACACAAGCATCCAATCGATTGGAATGGTTATTTCTATGACAAATAGTAACCAATCGGAAGAGGTTAACATCGTCATATCCCAAACTTTTTCCCACTGACTCGATAAGTTCGGACATTTTACTATCCTTTTTAACTTTTAAAACCACTGGGTCGCATGCAGTGCCTTCCAACTCTTCATCATAAAATTTGTGGACGGTGCGGTCTAATGCAAGATCAAAACCAACATGTGCGTTGATGGTAGCTGTTGTGACTAATTTAGCTGTGGTATAATACAACTCTTCTTGTCGTTGCTTTTCCAATCGCTCACGTTCCGCAATCTCAAACTCTATTTGCTTGGGGATATGTTCAGGAATTGCTGACTCGACCAATGAATCATCTGTTGGTAAAATCTTGTCCAATTCTGATTCACGATAGTACACCAACATATAAGCGGATGTCATTCTTCTCATTAAATGTTCTTGTTGCTCAGCTCTAGTCATTTTATTCAACTGTGCTTGAGAGATATCAGAAGCCCCGAAATTTTGTTGGAAAACTTCCTTTTTAGTGACTTTCCATACTCTGTCATCATCAAATCGTAACCATGTATTATCTCTAGAGTTTGGTTTAATCATGGCATAGTAATGCCCGTTTGAGATACTTCCTTGATGGACCAATACCCCATGTAATTTATAATTCCAATTCTGGTTTTTCACATCATCAGGTAAATCTTCATCAAGATATGGCTTTAAATCTATCTTATCTGGAAATTCATAAAAATCGTCAATCTTGACTAAATCATCAACCATAAAGTCATATTCAAAACGCTTCAATTGCAAATGCAATACAGGAGGGAAAGACTCAAAGACAACACCTTTTTTGGCATCCTGATATCCATATTCATCACCAGCTTGATACTTATTTTCCCCTTCCAACATTTCAATTTCAATATAGTTTTGAAATGATTGCTCAAGATTTTTGAAACCTTTGACATTCAATTGAATATCCCAGAAATCTTCCACTCTTGACGATTCGTAAGGTACATTGACACATTTGATGTATGATTTCATTTTACCGACAAAAATATCATTCAATGCACCTTCGATGTCAGATCCTTTCATGGCTGTTTCCAATTTATCCATTAAAATACGATTCAATTCTTGAACATCATGTTGAGTGAATGCATCTGATGAATCCCAACCAAAGGATCTAGTTAACTCCAATGTTCCCACAGGATCGTTGGATTTCGTTAATAAATAGAAAATTCTTTGTAATGACAAAGCAACACCTGAAGATTTCAGATCCGTGGGGATTTTGTACACCAACTTTCTAAACAATTTTGTTGTGAAATAACTTTGTAACAATGAATTCAAATAACAAGTGGCACCTTGATTGTTCAAGCCGACAAACCCTGCATTTTTCTTGGAATCATATTCAACAAAATTATGCCACAATACACCGGTGGAAGAATCATCAATAACTCTAACATAACCAGTTATATTCAATTGATTATTTTCCAAAAGTGCATGACTAGAAGATTGGTTTCGAGGTGTTCTAACCATGGACAACTGTCTTAATTCTATCAATGATCCAAAACCCCAGTCGGTCTCATTTTTATTAAATCTATGGTGACTCTGACTTGGCGAATGGGCATCTGGATGTTGTGGGTTCCAGATATCCAATCCAAATTGGGCACAAACATACCAGTCTTCATCTATTGGTTTATCATTTTCATCAACGGGTGGGTGTGGCTCCATATAAATAGAAATTTGGTTGTTGTGGGTATTACCACGTGGAAAAAGTAGAATGTTCCATTCAAACCCTCCACATTTGAATCTTGGTGATCTGACCTTGTCTTCTTTTAAAATCGAATGCCAATCTTTAATTTCCCAGACATAGTGTGCTTCATCTTTTATTGGATAGTCATCAATTGGTTTCATTAGTTTTGCTGCAAGATCTTCAAATTCATTAGCTAGTGGATAAGCGCTTTTGGTATTCTTGGAAATACCGCGATCCTCAACTATTTGTACATTTCCTTCAATTTCATCATCATCGTCGTCGTCGTCGTCGTCATCATCTTCTTCTTCTTCTTCTTCTTCTTCCACGAGTTCTGAATCTACTACTTGACCCTGATTGTCATCTTCGATTGGGATCGGTTCTGGTTGGTTTAAACCATAATCTTTATCAACAGAAATATCGTCAATCTCTCTAGTATCTAAACCATTAGGGTTGTTGTCTATAAATTCATCAGTAACACTATCGATTTCCATTGATTGTTGTTGTTGTTGTTGCTGTTGCTGTTGCGTCATAGTGGCAATATTTGATTTTAATGCGGGATCAGGTTGATTCTCCGTCAATTGCTTTTTAGAATCCGGTAATTCATCAATATTGACAGATACATCAGAAGGATTGTTGTTATTATTTGAGATCATCTTGATAAAACTTCTTTTAGATCTAAGATCAATTGAATCGAAGTTTATATTTGAATTGTCTTGATCGTTCACTTTAAATCTGAATGAATTTATGAATTTAGGGGGAGAAGGAAAAAAAAAAAAAAGCAAAATAAAAAAATTATACCAAAAAGAATGAAATTTGAAATCCTTAATCCAAATTCAACAGAAAAACAAAAAAATGTGTGAACAACAACAAAAAAAAGGACTAAAAAAAATAATGTTGTAAACAGAGGGGGGGAAGGGATCAGAGAGGTAAGAACTATGAAATTAAATCAGTAATATGAACAGGTAATTGTATCTAATTACAAGACAACCCACTGGCAATATCAACGTCTATATATTTTATTTTTTGTTTAAACCTTGACTTCTAAATTGACTTGATTGTTTTATTTTTTTTTATATTTTAGACTGTGTAATTTGGTCGGCAAGAATAATATATGTATACTATGGGTCGTGCAATAAACAACAATAATCATTTGACTAATGTGTGATTATGTGGGGGTGTGTATAATTGTACAAAAATAAAGAAACTCAATCTGATTGTCGGTGCGTGCTTGTCTTTTTATCTCTACAATGGTTGTAAAGGCAAGATTAGAAAAACGTGAGTTGGCAGAATATACAATCAAAGCATAGATGGTTCTCTTTTGTTTTAGTTGTTTTCTTCAATGCAAGTGCAATGATAGTACAACATAGAAGTAGGAGTTTCTGACGACCTATATCCCATCTCTTTTCTTTAGTTTTTACACCAATTTTGATCAAAAATAAATGGCACATCTAAAATCTTAAAACAGCAAGAGATATCCAACAATAGTAAACACCATCCAAACAGCAACCAACTTCCTTTATATTTACACATCATTAGAAGATTAGACAAGGTGGGGGCTGATTTTGCACCCAGTTTCTACTAAACCGTCACTGAGGAGTAACAAATGGATAAAGAATCAGAAAAATTGCAACCATTCTCATTGAGGGAGATACCGTCAGAGTTACAAAATTAACTTTCAATTTTCGGATAAACTGGAAACGGGTGGAAATTCACATCTAACAGTTAATATTCTCGATCTACAAAGAAACAAAGACATCCCCTCATTAATTTTTAATTTTTAGGGAGATATCGACTAATAGATGCGTATGATGAACATTATTCAAGGGTTAAGTGCAAAAGTAAAAGGAAAAAAAAGAAATAAAACTACTAAAGCTTAAGCCAAACATATTGCGATGATCCGATTCCTCCAATGAGCGATGAGTATGAGTCTTTGAAATACCTTCGTTCCCTTAGAAACAAAGAACCAAGAAGAAGATCAGCGTAATTTGTAGTATTTTAGAGAATTTTAATAGTTTGTGCATAAACAATATTAGACACTTTAATATGCAATTCATTTGAAATTTATGAAATTTTTCTTTACCCAAAAATTAATGTTACACTTGTGTTAAATTGCATTCCCTTGTAGAAAAGGTATGAACTACAGAAAGATGAACAAGTCTGTTCAGTCAAGGGGTAGACAAATCTACCAGATCTATGAAGGAGTTTGTTCATTCCCTACTGCTATGTTTTGTAATTGTTTCATCGCGGTGCGGTTGTAAAGTGTGAGCGTGGCTTCCTTTGTTTGGTAACCACCTGGGCTTAACCGCACAAAACTCGCCGTGGTGGGATCAGTCGAATAAGGGGAGAAAGGGGAGGGAGGAAAAAAAAAAAATACAAAGAAAGCCTTGCGCACACCACCATCTCCTGTGAATAACAATTAATACTGTGGAAAAGTCGAACCCGAAACATTACGTAACGAAGTAAATTAAAGCCCTGAAAGTAAAGGAGGTGAAAGAGTATAGGGGGAATGTGACTGTGTGAAGGTGTTAGCATGAGAGATAGAGAGCGAGAGAAAACGGGATGCCGTTCATTTGTGTATCCATTCGTATTCAGCACATGACTAAATGGTTATGAAGTAAACGACAAGTGGCAGAGAAAGGGTTGTGATAAATCAAACATTGGCTGGAGAGAGAGATAGAGAGACAGATGAGGAATAACATTACTTCATCAGAGTCAACCGTAGTACGGGAATTCGATGGCTTGAATGAAAAAAAATTTTTTTTCAGAATTTGGGCGTTTGCACACGCATTATTTGCTGCTACTTAACTGTATAGAGTAATCTGATTGCTCAATCAAGTTAAAATGAAAACCCTAAACCGTGCACTTTAACCAAAAAATCATAATTGCTGTTGTTCAATAACAACTACCAACCAATGATCTCTCTTTTCAAGCAATGGCCAACCGTTCTTCATCTGATGTGGTTAAGGAATATGATAAGATAGGGATTGTATGGAGTTGCAGTAATTGAAAATCTAGAATCGACCAATAGTTCATTGTTTGTGTAAGGTCTATTTTGTTTTGTTTAGTTTAAACAACACAGACTCCCAAGAAAAAAAAAAAAAATATTTAGAATCAAGTATAGTGATTACATAATTTGCGAATGAAAATAACACAAAGACATAACAATTTTCAGGCTAATTTGTATAAAAAATAAACACAGTCGTGTAGATTATGCAGAATTCGTTTTTGTGAGTGTGTACATTTTGGGTTATTTTGTGTAACAACCCACACGACCTCTCCCTTTCGAGTTATTTATTTTTTTTTCTCTCTCACTTTTTCTTTCTTCACCTCACGTTTCATTCTTTGTCGTCTTTTTTTTTTTTTCTTTCATCTCCTTCATGGATTGGCAGCTCAGTTGTTTACGTTTCCTCTCTCTTTCAATACAAAACTGCAACAAATTTCCCACCAGTTTTTAGTTTGTTATAAAAATTTTCCTCTTCTTTTTTTTTTTTTGAAACTTCTTCTTCTTGTTCATTAAACAACTTAACATAAACCAAAGTTATTTCTATCAGTCTTTCCTTCTAATCCTTTAGAAACAACTTTATCCATTCTTTTTGTTCTAGTTTTTGTTTATCCAACTATCATTTATTCATAATGTTATTCAAGTCTCTCGTTACTTTTACTGTTTTAGCCCAAGCTTTGGCTGCTCCATTGGCTCAACACCAACACCATCAACACAAAGAAGAAAAAAGAGCCGTTCAAGTCGTCACCAAGACTAACGTTGTTACCGTTGTCTTAGGTAACGGTGAACAAACCACCACTTTTGCTGCCCCAACCGTTTCTGTTGCCAACACCGTCAGCGTTGAAGAAGAAACTCACGTTCCTCAAGTTCAACCAACTACCACTGCTGAACAACAAACCGAACAAGAAACCACTACTGCTTCTCCAGCCAGTACTGGTTCTTCTTCCACCGATTCCGTTGACACTGGTTCTGCCGGTGCCAAGGGTGTCACTTACTCTCCATACAGTGACGATGGTGGTTGTAAATCTGCTTCTCAAATTGCCAGTGAAGTTTCTGCTTTGTCCGGTTACAGCATCATCCGTTTATACGGTGTTGATTGTGACCAAGTTGCTCAAGTCTTGAAAGCTAAAACTTCTAGCCAAAAGATTTTCGCTGGTATTTACGATGTCTCTGACATTTCTGGTGGTGTTGAAACCTTGGCTTCTGCCGTCAAATCTTACGGTTCTTGGGATGATATCTACACTGTTTCTATTGGTAACGAATTGGTTAACGCTGGTTCTGCTACTCCATCTCAAATTGGTACTTATGTTTCTGAAGGTAGATCTGCCTTGAAATCTGCTGGTTACACTGGTTCCGTTGTCTCCGTTGATACTTTTATTGCCGTTATTAACAACCCAGACTTGTGTCAATACTCTGACTACATGGCTGTTAATGCTCACGCTTTCTTTGATGGTCAAATTGCTGCTGCTGATGCTGGTTCTTGGGTTTTGCAACAAATCCAAAGAGTCTGGACTGCTTGTGGTGGTGAAAAGAATGTTTTGATCACTGAAACTGGTTGGCCACACAAAGGTGACACCAACGGTGTTGCCGTCCCATCCAAAGCAAACCAACAATCTGCCATCTCTTCTATTAAATCTACCTGTGGTGACTCTTCCATCATCTTCACTGCTTACGATGACTTATGGAAGACTGACTCTGGTTCTACTTTCAATGCTGAAAAATACTGGGGTATTCTTTCCAGTTAAATTTAATTAACTGTCGTCGTTATCGTCGGTGATCTGAATTTTTAAAGAAGCCGTTTTTTTTTTTGTTTTATATATGAAACTTTTTTGTTCTTATTCCACTGTGTTTATTTCCAAACTTTTTTTTTTATTTATATTAAATACAATTTTATACCATATTTTTTTTGAAAGAAAATACTTTGATGATAAGTGTTGTAGTTTTGAACCTGAATTTGTAAACAATACGAGATTGGCATTGTATTCGTTCAGCGGTGATCTTATTCTAAAACATAACAATCTACAGGCAATACACACCCCTCAGGGAACAACAAAATATTGTTTATTTTTTTTCCAACTATTTATCAATTTATAATCCTGGTGGTCCAAAAGGATCATCATATCTAGCACCTGGAGGAGCACTACCAAAACCTCCTGATGATCCTGGAGGTTTAGGTTGACCAAACATTGGATGTTGTGGATCTGGATACATACCTTGATGGTCATTTCCACCACCTTGTAAAGGATCCAAATAAGGCTTTAAAGTAGGATGAGCACCTATTCCAGGAGGATTTAAATCATCGGATCCAATTGGAGTAACTTTACTTTGACCTAAAGTATCATTGACCGGAGCTGGTGGACTTTTAATTTCATATTCATCATCAAATTCAGGCATATCTGATGGTTTCTTCATTTGATTTACTGGAATATCAGTGGACGGACCCTTGAATATCGAATTATCTGGTTTTACACCAGCAGTAGGAGGAAAATAAGATGGTTGACCTTCTTGTTGATTTGGATGATATGGAGTTTCTGGAGTTGGAGATCTAATACTTTCACTATCAGTATGCTCTTCTATAACTGGACCATCATAACCTGGTTTTGTAGAATGAGAAAAGATAGAACTACTCTTTTCATCATCAACAATTAATCTAAATTTTGTATTGAATTTTTCAACTAAATCTTGAGGGATATTGGATTCTTCAATTGGGAACCTTATAGTTTCCAAATCAAACCATTCCCAATTAATCAATGCATTATCTAATCTACCATCAATATTTAATAAATTAACTAATGATTGAATCTCGGAAATTTCAGTAAAACTTAAAAATAATATCTGTTCTTCACCTCTATATAATTTAGATTGCTTTAATTTTGATTCATTGGTAACTTGAACTAATTTGAAATCTGAAGATGATGGATATATTTGATTCACGTACCGTGAAACTAATTCAAACGTCAATTGAAAATAACTATCAATAGTCATGGATGAGAAAAGTAAGTTATAACTGAATTGATATTAGAAAATATGAGCTAAAATAATAAAACAAACAAAAAAAAAAAATCCAAATGGCAAAGAGGTTATAGATTTCCGTGATTAAATAAAGGAACATGTTCTCCCTCTTTCCCCCCGTATTTTCCATTTTTTGCCTCACTAAAACAAAATAATATCATTTTTGGTAAATACACGAACATGAAAATACTAGTGAAATATGCACGCCCCCTTATAGTAGCAAGTGATGGATTTTCAAAAAGAATCTTCTATCAAATTCTTTTGACAAGTGGTGTGAGTTTCGAGAGAGATTCAAAAATATCTTTCTGTAGAAATACGGTAGAAGTTCTAGTACTTCTGTGAGAATTAGTCTATCCCCGTTGGGTAGTCACGTTGATTCATTTTGTAGAGAAGAACGTACTTGTATGAATCACGTGTTAGAATTACTGTAGTATATACGACTATTCCTATGGATCTTAACATTCTATAGAAGTGAAAAAAAAGTTATATAAATTGATACCTGACTATATATATTCAACTGGTAAATACTTGTTTATTCTATTTCTGAAAAATTTTCAGTTATAGAATGTCCCATTTAAGGTTAATTTATGTTTCACTCCCACTTGTTGCGTTAGTATTATATGATTATGGAGTTTTGGCTCTAGTTTGATCGAGAAGTCAATTTCCAAAAATTGTCACTTGAGTTTCATTCAGTTTTAAACACTATTGTACACATAATTTGGCAGTAATTTACTCTTTTGATGTATTTATTTACATCTTTGTGAATTATAATAATCAAGTAATATCGTAATATTCAACATATATTATTTGACTAATCGTACCTATATTAGCTCTGTTTTGAAAATGTGTTATTTGTAATTGTGTATTTGTTTGATAGTTCAACATGAAATATGACTATTGCCCAAATGCATCTTTTGGCCAAATAATTAGTTACATATTTAGATTCAAGTTGTGAAAATTTCATTAAAAATTAAGACAGGTAAAATTCAAAGATTTATAATTAGAGTTTTATTGGTCAAATTTTGATAAATTTTACATTTGAGACAAATCATCGTATTTGGTCAAATTCACGTGCTACTGTGGTTTTAAAGTGTTGTCGTGAGAATACACCCTTAAAACTACCATCACCGAAAGATGTGGTAAATTAACGTCATTCTAAATTAATTTCAATGTATTTACTAGTGATATATCACCTACTATAGCCAAATCTTACTTTGGTTAAATCAAAACTCCTATTTTATATCGGGAATTATGATTTATGTAAAATTATCTATAATTGTACAATTGAGTTTGCTGAAAATTATATCAGCATAATATTCATATGTATACCATCATTTTAAGGTTTTTAAATATTGATAAGTAACAGTATTGGCGTATATAATGTTCCAAATGGATTCATCAGGGTCTCAAGTGACTTATTTCCGTAATTTTGATTTTGATTCAGGCACTAAAATTGACTCGAATCTTATTTCACCATACAAAAAGTAACAACTGTTATAATTTTGACAATTTAGGTTAAAAAGAAGTGAATAATGATGAAATTCACTATGAATATGAATATTCTAAAACAATTAAGCAATGTATGGAGATTTTCTACTTAAAATTATGATCTGCTTAAACTCTTCTATTAAGTGAATCGGGTTAGTAAATTTGATATGTTGCGAGAATAGTTCATATTCTTGTAGTGATACAGAAAAAATTACAGCATTTTAGACACTCTTGAACAATTTCCTTTTGACATATATTCTATAATCCATTTGAATATAATGGGAATCAATCAAGAAAATCTATTTGACAGAATTATGAATAAGGAAAGACACATAACAGTAGATCATTTTCATGAATTTGATGGCGGTAACTTATAAATCTACATTCCGAAAATAAATATATATATATATATATATTCAAATATTCCATCCTTGAAACCATATTTTTGAATGTCACTTTTTGTTGTACATTTATATGTTCCAGTGATTGCGCCATATATCTGTGTGCCACAATGTTCCATTCATTAAACCATTGATTTACATGTTCCTGATTTGGTGCGCATCTGTATGTACAAATTTTCCCTCCATATATCCATAGATTTAAATGTCCGTTCCATAGATCCATAGATTTGTATGTTGCAAATTTGTGGAATATTTGGATGCTTCAGAAAAAAGTAGCACTTATATTTCTGTTTTCTATGGTCGTCACAGTGCGACATGCAAATGTTCCACGATTTGAAACATTTGTCATTATTAGTACGATTTTTGCATTTTTGAAAATGCTATATGATTTGCAGTGATAAATTATGCTGTATAAGTTCATTCTGAATTGATCGACTAAGTATTGGAGGAGTTATCTATCAATCTTACTCTTGGAATTTGAAAGTATCTTTTTTTTATCGGGAATTATAATTTTTCCAAATAAGTCACTAATTGCAATATCCAGACAGCTCAAATTACATTCATTTCAATATTCATGCAAATAGCTTCAATTATATACTATCTTTATATTCAATTTCTAATTTTTAGACCAACTAGTATTTCTAAAGGGGTTCATCAGAAACCCAAGTGGTTTATTCCCGTAGTTTTAATTTTGGTTCAGACACGAAAAATCTCCAAAAATGACTTGAATCTCTTTTCCCCATACAAAATGTAACTGGTGATATATTTTCAGTTGTACTGGTTGGATACATGATCCTTTGTGGGTTTTATGTTTTTAACTCGATTATGTAATAAGCTGATAACATCATATATGGCTCTGGCAAGTACTAATAGTGGTATCAATGGAACTGAAGCCAAATTATACATTATATATTTCCTTCCTTCTGATATTTGAATTCTTTTTCTTTTTCTTCAGATTCTTTCGTACGAACCATGGTCCTAAATTCAAGAATTAGCGGAATCCGTGTGTCGATAATAGGTTGAGCATAACTAATAACCAATTTTAATCGGTAACTATTTGTAATGCTGATTCATTTCAAGCCATCGACTACTGATAATTTATTCAAATGATAAATTTCTTCTTTAAATTTACTTACAATGCACCTCTTTGGAGAATGAAGTATATACTGAATTTTTATATTGAATGAGTAGCTCCTGGATAGTTTCATTGATTGCCGCTGTTGAATATTTGTCACTATTTCATATATAATGATAGCCTATCCGAGTATTCATAGTATTGCGATGTATTGTTTATCGATATTGTTGTCTAACAAAAATATGATGAAAGCTGTTACCAGTCAATTGATCTTGTTGCAAATTTTTGGAAAAATAGGTGTATTCATAAAGTTGCGAAAAACTTTTAAAAATAACCTAAAGTGAGAAACCGCAATGTTCCTTTTAGTTAGTTATAAACCTCATTAAGTTGCTGAAAAATAGTAACATCATAAGATTGCCCAAAGGTTGCCAAAAGGTGGAAAAAAAGAAACCTCAGTAATTTTTAGAGAATTTCCAAAAATGCGATGACAGGAAATTATTCTCCTTATTCTATAAACTAAAGTAATTTCATAAAGTTGCACGTGTTTTGCTAGATCTATCGGTTCTAGCTTGATTCTTATCACTTAAACAACATGATGTTATTTATATCACTGTTTAATACTACCACACTCAATCCTGAACGGATTGGCTAACAATTGGTGGAGTTAGTGGTCAATTATTACTTTGGAGAAATTGAAATATCTTTTTTTTATCGGGAATTATGGTTTTCCTAAATAACTCAATAATTACGATATCCAGACCGCTAAAAATGTATTCATTAGAATATTCATATACATATTGACACATATATACCATTATCATATGCTATTTCTAGTTTTTGGACCATCTAATATTCCCAAAGGGGTTCATCAGGGTTACGATTGATTTATCTCCGTAATTTTCAAATCGGTTTACGCACGAAAAAATTTCAAAATTTGACTTAAATCTTTTTTTCCCATACAGAATATAGAAAATTGAATATTTTATGGTTTAAATGCTGAATATCAGGGATTATCATAAATATATCACAATTTTAAGGATATTAAGGCTCATTATAATAATTCTACATTAAATGAAATACCATATGATTTACCTGTAGAATGATACTTGTATATTTGTATACTATATAGAAAATTCATTATTTGGTTTTCATTTTTCAATTTTCAATTCTTTTTTAATTTCGCATTTTTTTCGTATCAATTCTCGACCTAAATTTTAAATTTGTCGACTGATTTACGCCGAAGAGGGAATTTCCAAGATGCATCCCTTATGATTTTCACTATCGAGACTCGAAATCTGCAAATTTAGTGGTAAATCGGTAATTTCAAACCAGAACATACAAAATACCACATCTATATTATTTACAAAGAACGCAATGGACATTGTATACTCATTTGATGAATAATATCTCCACTGTGAGTGATATTAATGACTAAAGTTTGTTAAGCCCCAGTCATTAACCCGAGCTACGCATTTTCTGCACCTTGGCTAATTTGTTTTTGCTTATCAGTTTAATAACCATAAACTGTCAATTGTTGAACTATGATAGTGAAATATCAATGATTTTCGTGACAATTGTTAACAACACCATTTATGGGATGATTCTAAGTGCACTATATTTTTCCCAACAGCTACATACAAAAACAAGAATATTAAAATAATTTTGAATAAATCATCTACTAATACTACGATACTTAGTTGCACCATTAATTAATGTAGCCAGGTCAACGGTTGTGGATCCAAACAACTGCGATACTACTAATTTATTATTAGAAGGACAGTTATTGTATTTCACCCTGAAATTTATATTGAAATAATGATAATAAATACATTCTCTTGCTTTGAAATTTTCATTAAAATGGGGTCCTAAACCCGGGCCCCATTTAGAATGAGTACCGGAAAGGTAGTCAACGAAGAGAAAAACCATAAACCATATTTACTAATAAGGTTTTCATAATTTAATTTCTTTTATATAGGGAACAATGATGTTCCATGTCATTCTCCTCCAGCTAAATGAATTAAATAGACAGTACGCGTGCAAATTTGTAACTCTACAATACAACACAATCTACCGTGGGAACATATAATGTAAGGGAGAGGAGAGGGGGTTAAAGTCGCTTAGAACTGTTTTGTGCATTTGTGTCCTTTTAGCAAAAGTAAATGAACCGAGCATGGTTGAGAATATTCTGCCCGTATCCCCATGGCCGGTTGAATTCTAGGAAAACTCACTTTAATTTTGCTAACCCGAGGACATGTAGGGACAACAAGGGTTACTATCAACCTTGATATATTAACATTCTCTCCCTATTAATAAAGGAGTTTAAATTAAAATATTAAAAAGAAATCCTACCTCTCCTTTGTCTTGAATTTCTAATTTAACATTTTACCCTAGGTTTCTCCTTTATTGTCAATATCAAATCTAAGGGGTGGGAAAGCAAAAGAGAGAGAGCGAACTTCATATAGTAGATCACTGCACTAAAATATAAATAGATCTGTAATCTCCCCCCCATTTGCAATTTGCAATTTCAATTATCTTATTGCTATTTTTTTGTTTCTTGTTTATCTTTGTAATTGAGTTATTTATTGTTTAACATCCCCATTGATAGATAGTCCACCCATTCATATAATTACAATTTTAAGTATCCATAACATTAAAAACAACAAAACCATATACCCTTCTCCTATTGATTTACTAGACTTGGACAGGTAATACAGGAGTTGATCTAAACCAATTTTTGTGCACAGGTACACACCTAAATTATTGTTTTTCTTTGTAAAGAAAATTTTTATTTGTTGAACTTTTTTCTTTTTCCCCTTGGGCAAAATAAAGACAGCAAAAGAAAAAAGTGAGAGAGGGAAAAAGAAAGAAAGAAAATTTAAACTGTAATAACAACAACAGCAATAATCGTCAAAGCTATCGGCAATCACCAAATCAAATCAAATCAAATCAAATTAGCAACCAATAACAGAGTGACAGTTCATATATATTATAGTTTTTCATTCACATATATATATAATCAACTTATCAATCCCAACCAGTTTCTGTTATTCTAATTTCTTTTTGTTTTATCTTTTGTTTTTGATAATATTTGCATTCCACCTCCCCTTTTTACTGAGATAATGACAACGACAGTGCCATTGATTTATTCATTCCCGGAATTCTTGGGAGTTGCTGATGCAGTTGCAGATCACATTATTACTGCTCAAAATCAAACTCTTTACAATACTACAGATCTTCAACAAATTGAATTAATCAAACAAGGTAAAGCAAACACTCCAATACATAGCCCAAGGCATAGTCAAAGTGGAATAGATTTAACTCCTTCCATCAAAGCTGCTCTTAATTCTCCACTACCAAGAAACGGATCATCACCAGCCATCAATAATGGAGTCACTAGTACTACTAGTTCCAGTAGTAAATCTAAAAAGGAAAAGAAAATCCAAAAGAAACAGGAACAAAGATTTAAAATTGCTATTTCCGGGGGGTCATTAATTAAAATTTTACATCAAGGTTTACTTCCAAGACAAGATTCAATTGAATGGGAGAAATGGGACATTTATTTTGCTGACGAAAGATTGGTACCGTTTGATAGCCCGGATTCAAATTATGGTCAAGCCAAAAGAGAAATCTTTGATTTAATTGAAGGTGATAAAAAACCAAAGATTTTCCATATAAATGAATCTTTGATTGATGATCCTCAAGAAGCTGCTGATGATTATGAGAAACAATTGATTAGTAATTTTGCCAAAAAGGACTCGGTTAAATTGCCATTGTTTGACTTATTATTATTGGGTTGTGCTCCAGATGGTCATATTGCTTCATTATTTCCAAATCATGGTGAACAATTGCGAGAAAAATTGGCATGGGTTTTACCAGTCACCAATGCTCCTCTGGGTCCAGAAAACAGAATCACCTTGTCTATTCCTATAATTCTTCATTCCAGTAGAGTCAGTTTTGTTGTTGAAGGTTTAACTAAGGCTCCGATTATCAAGATTATCATGGAAAGACCAGAAAAGGGTTTACCAAGTTCAATTGTTAATGAAGGTGCTGCTGGTAAAGTTACATGGTTTGTTGACGATGATGCATTAAATGATCTTTATGAGAAAAAGGTGAAGAAGTATGTATTCACTTACAAGTAGTTCCTGTCCGGATTTCTCCCCCCCTCCACACACTCACACCCCACACCCATTCATCCTCTCAAACACAAATACATTCATCTCATCACCTTAACACATTCACTATCTAATTTGTTTACTTTTAATTTTTTTTTTGTTACTATAGTTTTAATATAAATGTCACAGTTTATTAAATTTATTTTTTGTTTTGTTTCTTTGTCACTGCCTATATATAAGGAATCTATTAATCTTTAGAGAAATATCCTCTAGATATCTTTTTGGATGTATTCTGAAGGAGCTCTACTAGCCCATTCTGTCCAACTTCCATCATATACTCTAACTGGGACATTCAATTTCAAGATACAATCAATAGCAAATTTTAAAACAACAGCAGTTACACCAGTTCCACACATGACAATTATTCCTTTTGGATATTTCTTCAACAAATCATTTACATTACCATCTTCACCAATTAATTCTTGGAAAATTTGTTCAACTTGTTGTTTTGATTTATATTGATTATTATTTGACGGGTCTAAAAGTTTTGGAAATGGTAAATTAACTGCACCTGGAATATGACCAGATGATAATCCTGGACGAGGTTCTTCACCAGATCCTGTGAATCTATCATTTGATCTAGCATCAATTAATAAATATTCAGATAATCCACCATTCTTAACCAATTCTAACAATTCATCATATTCAATAACTTGTTTTTTATAATTTTCTGCAAATTCTTCTTGATTCAATGCAAATTCATATTCTCCAACATCATCATTTGAACCATCTTCCTTGACAGGGTTGGTATCAAGAGGATATTCACATTGTTTATAAGATAAATAATTATCTAATAAATAAACCTTTGGATGTCCAAATAAAGCAAATGTAAAAGCTGCCCTAGGACTCAGAAATATTCCCAATTTATCATAAATAACCAATGAATCATTTTGATGTAATTTTAATTCATCAAATGCTTGTTTCATAACGGATAAACTTGGTAACATATGAGGATATTCACTTTGAGAAACATATTTATCTAAATCAAAGAATTTCAGTTGTGGAATACGTTCTTGTTGATATTCAGCCTTGTTATCTCTTGGAACATTAGGCATAAACCAAGTAGCATCAATAGGTATAACTCGTGATACTGGTGTTGCAGTAGATAACAATACTCGGTATGCAGCTGGAGTAATCGTAGTAAGTAATGTCCGTGGCATTGATACGATTGATGATGATGATGATGCTGACTGTTCTGATTGACTTGAAATCATGGAGTTATTAAATTGTTCTATTTTTTTTGTTGTTGTCGAATGGAATTCTCCGGGGTTCGGAAGATTTAGGTCCTTATTTTTTGTTGGCAGCGTTTCACCCCATGCGGGGAGCGGAATTTGGGGCGATTGTGGCATGGAATTCGTGTTGGTTGTTATCAACAAATCAATACCAATTGCAAAATTGAAGCAACGTGAAAGAACAGCGAATAGAGAGAAACAAGATAGTTTCGACTTTTTATATGCGTAGATAAATGGGAGTTTGGCATATCTCAGAAGAAAGGATCATCTCCTGAGTGAATTGCATTAGACCTTACACAATGTGTTCAATATACAGTACTCTCGTATATAGGGTTTAGGAATCGTTAGATACAATCATCAATAATAGCAGTGATTGATTTCATTAAGGACTCTGCGTTAGATCTCCCATTTTAGTAACTCATTGAGTCTCTTCCTCCAACTGTTATTATGCATATCTACTTGGGTCTATTTCTAGATGGCTGAATTCACGTTGTTGAACTAGAGTCCATCATTTGCCTGGCCGAAAGAAAAAGCTACATCAGTGAGAACAATAACAGTTCTTATCTGAATTCTTAAACCATTTTGTTTCCTTCCTTCTTCGATTACACTGGATATCTTCACCATGCCATGCAGCAGTAAAGTTGATACGATTCATTGATACGCGCGTCACCACCATCAACAGAAATCAATCGGATGGCAGCGAGACAAACAAACAAACAAACAAACAAAAAAAAAAAAAAATTCAAAATTCAAAACATAAACAAAAGCGAACGGCAGGTTTCTTTTTCTATCAACCACAATATACTTTAAATTAATAAACATGACAGACACATCAGATAAATCCCTAGATCCACGAACAACAGCTATTTTAACTGAACATTTTGGATTTGCCCCATTGGTGTTAATCGATGAGATCATTAATGCTGTTAATGAAATAATGTATAAAGGAACTGAAGCAATTGAATCCTTTTTAAAAGAACAAAAGAATATTAAAACTTCTGGTATTTTCACTGAAATATCATTAGATGAGATAGAAACTGGTGTTGGGAAATTAGAAACATTATTGGAATTTACAGTTGATTCATATTTTGATAAATTTGAATTATACTGTTTTCGAAATGTTTTAAATATACCTAAGGATTTAATTCCTCATGTTGTGCTAAATCATCAACGTGGAATAGAATTTAATAATGAAAAAATTAAAGACAAAGATGAATTAGATAAGAAGATAGATGATTTACGAAATAAAATTGCCTTGGAGTTACAACTTCGGAAAATATTGAAATTTGAAATAACCAAGGTTTAATAGCTTATATCAAGTCTTGAAAAGTATACAAACTAGCTTGAAGTCATTAGAGGAGTATGAGAATAATCCAGAATTAATAAAGAAATTAAAACCAATTGATGAAACAATGTATTTTGTAAATACTGAAATCAAAAACTTAATGGATCAACTTGAGAAAATAAGTACTAAAATTAGGGGAAATCTGCAGAATCATAAATTTAGTCGAAACATGAGAGACGAGTTCCTTGACGGTAGAACAATACTGGTTTTAAAAGAAGCTGGATTGCTACAGGAGAACACTGGAGATATACCAACTGAAGAGAGAGAGAGAGAGAGAGAGAGGTGAATCATGAATGAACCCATAAGTTTCAAATTAATAGGTAATATACAAAACTACGCAGAATCTAATTTAATGATTTGGAATTTCTTTTCAGCCTCTTCTAAACTAAAATCAGCTTCTGCTTGATGCCATCTTTCATGTAACCTGCCATAGACCAAAACCAACTTAGGTTCTTCAGATTGAGTATCATTAACCTTTTTCTTACCAAACAATCTTGATTTTTCATCATTCCAAGCACGGAAATCAATCTTCTCCCATTCTTCGGGTTTCTCAATCCCCAAACGTTTTAATTTAGGAGAATTCAACGGTTCAGGGTCCAAGATTGCGGATTCATTAGGTTTACTGAAATAAATCAACACTAATCTTCGATATTCCTTTTGATCCTCTGGTGGACCAACTACTCTATGAATAGAAGACTTGAAAAATCCACCAGTGATAAATTCCATAGCATCACCAATATTGACAATCAACCCATTAGGAGTATGTCCAACATAACTCCATTCTCCAGTATAATAATCTCTAATCTGTAAAGAAAGAATAGGTTGTGATGTTATAAATGTGAATCCACCACTATCGGAATGACCTCTAAGCCAGGTATTTTCAACTTTTTCAGAATCATCAGGATCCATACCTTCATATAACATAAATCTACCAGCACCTCCACCTGAGGCAGGGATATCTCTTTCAATAACTTTAAAATAGTTCTCATAAAGGAATCCTTCTGGAAGTTCTAAAACAAGATCAGATAAATTAGCCAATTTTCTCAACACCTCAGTATGTAAAAATCTATAGTATTCAGCAACTTCATTTAAATGATCTTTAACGATATCTGGATAATTATTCTTTTCAGTATCAAAAAACAATTGATGCTGCATATTATTAAAATTATAATGAATAATTGAATCTTCAACACCATTTCTCATTGACCAATATCCCTTTGGTTTAAATCCACTTCCTCTTTCAGCACCAACTGATATAGTTCTATCTTCAAGATCCGATTTCAAAGCACCAGCAAGATATTTCTTTTGTTCCTCTAATGGAATTTCCAAGATTCCTTGTGCTAAGGATTTAAGAAATTCTAATTTTGATTCGGGGAATCCATGATTAATAACGGTGATAAATCCATAAGTAGATAAAGATTTTTCAATTTGAGAAGCTAATTGTTTACGAATTGGTAAATTCTCTGGTCCTTCTTTATAAAGAGATAAATCAATAGCTTCCAATTCTAATGGTTTTGTGGATGATGAAGATAATGGTGCTTCAACAAATGGTCTTAAATTGTATTTATCTGTTGCAACTGGCATGATTAGTTGTTTTGTGGTGTCTGTGTCGAATTGGTTTTTTTTTTAAGATCAAGTTTTTAATTCAAGGGGAGGTATATTTATAATTAGTCATATTTACTATTTTTATGTGGAACGGAAAGTAATAATTAAACTGTGGATTCATTGATAAATAACGCAAAAGTTATTGTTCATTTTTTTTTTATATCGCAGCCACAATTCTATATTCATTTGCAGCCGATGGTATAGGAACCAAGAGAGATTTTAAATCGTACGATATGATTTACATTTACAACTTCTATCCAGATGACATACCTACTTATCAAAGTTGTTTTCCAATACCTCTTTTAATCTTTCTTCGAATTCTTCTTTAGTTTCACCCGCTCTCCATCTCAATCCATAAGCAGGATGGTTTGGTTTTAAAAATGTGTTTCCAACACCAAATACATTCTCTCTAAATGTTAAACCTTCTTTTGGATACTCCTTCTGAGCATATCCTCTTTCTTGAAGCACAGGAATCACATATTCCACCAAATCTTCAAAACTACCAGGAGTGATACTATAAATAAAATTAAATCCATCAACTCCAGATATTTCATGCCAACGAATCAACTCATCAGCTACTTCTTCAGGATCACCAACTATTAATATTGCTGGACCCAATTCTAACCTTTCGGCTATTAATGCTCTGGTTTTACGCAAATTTGGTGGATCACCAGGTAATGGAGTTGTCCACAGTTCGGTTGAACTTTTAGAAGCATTACTGTCTACTTTTTCAAGTTCTTCATTCCATTCATATTTACTCAAATCAATTCCTGTCCAACCACCAAATAATGCCTGGGTACCTTCTCTATCAGCATATTGTCTATAATCATTATATTTAGCCACTGCTTCTTCATGAGTGGGGGCAACTATAATGTTCACAATTTGAACAATCTTTACATCTTCTGGATCTCTTCCTGCTTCTTTAACAGCAGTTCGTAATTTATCAATAACATTTTTCAATCCTAATGGAGTGTATCCATGTGCAAATACAACTTCAGCATTTTTAGCAGCATATTCTATACCTCTTTTAGAAGAACCAGCCTGTAAAATAAGAGGCATTCTTTGTGGACTTGGTTCAGTAATCGATGGACCAGGAACAGTATAGTACTTACCTTCGTAGTTAATCTCTCTTACTTTATTTGGATTGGTAAATATTCCATTTTTCAACTCAACAGCATCATCAGCCCAAGATGATAAAAATAACTGATATACAACCTCTAAAAATTCTTGAGCTCTATCATATCTTTCAGCATGAGGAGTTAAATCAGCTCCATTCAATAGATTTCTCGCTGCTGAATCTAAATAAGAACAAACTATATTCCATCCAACTCTACCTTTAGTTAAATGATCTAAAGTAGCCAATCGTCTTGCAAAATGATATGGAGCTTCACTAATAGTACTTGAAGTAACTACAAAACTAAGATTCTTAGTAACAGCCGCCATAGCGGGAATAATTGCATGAGGATCATTTACTGGCCATTGAGCACCACTTCTAGCAACAGCATCTAAATTTCTTGGACCTTTATAAACATCATATCCTCCTAATACATCAGCTATGAATAATGAATTAAATTTCCCACGTTCTAATAATTGAGCTAAATTAGTCCAATATTCAATAGTATTATAATCGCGTGATTTGTCCTTGGGATGTTGCCATAATCCCGGGTTTTGAAGAGAAGGACACATCATATCAAAAGCATTGAGAATGAGATGTTTTGGTTTTGGTTTTGGTTTTGTGGTTGCGCTTGTTGTTCCAGATGATGCAGTATCTAATTTCTGACGTTTATGAGCTGGCATTGTAAATTATAATGTGTGTGCTTTAATTTAAGAAACATCTACATTCAAAGAAGGCGAGAGAGAGAGAGAGAGAGAGAAGACCTCTCTTACTTATAGTTTACCATTCGGGTTAGACAACTCCTTACCATGAATCACGAAACTGTGATAACCAATTTGCCCATTGACCTGTGGTTAGTATTTGGTATAAATTACAAAAACGTGAAAACTGTGGCATCATCCAACTCATGGCAAAGAAAAAAAAAAAAATTAACATTAAGTTGATACTACGGAGTTATCGGAGCGGTGAAGTATGTGCGGGTTTGTGTAACTACTGAGATTATCAAAAGCTTTCCAATATTGAATCAACAGTTCCTCAACGACTCTATGATCCATGGGTTTCTTCACTTGAAAGGTGAATTGCTCAATTTGTATATCTGGGGGGGATTGTCAATGCGAGTAAAGAAAAACTCGCCTCATTGAAATAACTCCGATCGATTTTTATATCTGGGGTAAATCCAGATTCTTTTTTTTTGTTGTTGTTGTCTGCTGGTGTTTAATTCTTGCAACAATAAACAATGTCTGCAAAGTAAGTGATCAACCAAATCAATTCCATCATCATGATCAATCGTGAATATTAACATGATTAAAGCAAACCAAGTTTGAAAAGACAAGAATTACGATCAAAATTACAATTTTCAAATCCTTTTCAACCATTTCAAAACTTCTCACCAATTTCCCAAATCCCAAAAATTCCTCATATTTTAGCTCAAAGTATTATTAAATTTGTAGATTCACAACCATGTAAAAATCCCCTTGATGTAAATATAGTTAATAGTAAAGCTCGTAATCGAATTAAATTTACCAGATTAAACAATGTATCTACTCGTAAGACCATTAGAAAGAGACCAACCATTCATAATAATAGTGATTATGAGTATGATTCAAGTGATGATGAAACCAAACAAGATATCGATAGCACCAGTTCATCAAATGACTACAAAGAAGATAATGCCGAACCAGAACAAGAACAAGCACAAGAAGAGGAAGTTCATTTAGTTTACAATAAATCTAATATGCCAAAATATGTGGGACAATTCCTTAATGTATTTGTTGATAAAAGATTGAAAAGAAAATGTAAGACATGCGGTGCAATGTATACGGATTTAAAAGGGTTTAATCGTCATTATGAGAGCAAGCACTTATGAAACCACTACCATTTACACTTCCAGTGGTAGTACTACTACTTCAACCCTTGACCACAATTAATAAAGCAATTGATACCGGTGATAAACGGTGTTAATAAGCTTTTTTAACTATACTACATATGTGTGCAATAACCAATTTAATCTTTGTGTCATTTCCGACTTTGTAATTTTCGTTCTCTTTTTTTATTTTTTGGAGCCGTATAAGAAACGGAATTGATTCCCTATACAGAGAAACGATACGTATCAGCCTGGTTGTATTATCCTTTCCGATAAACTGCATTTGCTGTTATCATCAATGTGGTTAATTAACCCTTTTTATCTTAATTGCCCCGTTTCATGATACCCAAATATTTTAACCAAGTTGCTGCGGTAGGATAACCTTATTGGGAGCAAGTAGCGGTGGTGATGGTGATGGTGATGGTGATGGTGGGGGCAGGGCGGGGGAAACTAAAATGACTAATAATAACCACACGTAAACAATACCGTTTTCTGAGCAACCAATGAGGCAATCCACAATAATAATCCATGAGTTTTCATGAAAGGCAATATGTTACAACAAGTCAAAACGGGTTTAATTTATAAGGAAAACGGATGAAACAAAAAAATGAATTCGGCTTAGCATTGGTAACTCTTATCCGTCAGTTTATAATTTGTTCTACCACGCACGACTCGTGTGAAAATTTCTTTTTTTTTGTGGCCGCATTGCAATGGGAAATTAGACAAGAGAAAGAAAGAAAAAAAAAAAAAAATCTAAATCCGCTAAACACCGGCAACAATTCCAATCGGGATAATTCCATTGCTGATATAAATGCGAGGCAAGATCAGCCTACATTGATTTTTCACATTAATTTTTAAACAAATTTTCAAATCCATATTTCAAATCCATATTTCAAATATTTTATTAAAGAGATCATATTCAAACAGTGATTCTTCTTTGAGTTATACATTTCACAGATTTATCAAGAACTAAATAGCTTGTTAATTAGCATACAATGAGTTCTGAAAAATCACCTACTCATCTTGAAAATCAGGATGTGTTACAGCGACAAAAGAGATTATTAAGTTTCTTACTATCGAAGAATGTCCCACCAATTCCAACTGAAGATGAAAGAAGACCTTATCCTAGTCGAAGTACCAATATAATTTACAAGATATTCTTTTGGTGGTTATCACCAGTTATGAAAACTGGGTATAAGAGAACCTTACAACCCGAAGATATGTTTTATTTAACTGATGATATAAAAGTACAAACCATGGCTAACCAATTTTATACCTACATGACACATGATATAGACGTGGCAAGACAAAATCATATTGCTGAAAAATGTAAAGAAAGAGGTGAAACTGTCGAAAATTCTTCTGTTAGTCCAGATGATGATTTAGATGATTTCCAATTATCAAAATTCACTACTGTTTGGGCATTAGCCAAGACTTTTAAATGGCAGTATACTTGGGCTTGTATATGTTTAGCATTGAGTAATGTTGGTCAAACTACATTACCATTATTATCTAAGAAATTAATTGCTTATGTTGAAATTAAAGCTATGGGTCATGAACCTGGTATTGGAAGAGGTATTGGATATTCATTTGGTGCAGCAATTCTTGTTTTTGTTATTGGTGTTTTAATTAATCATTTCTTTTATCGTTCCATGCTTACTGGTGCTCAAGCAAAAGCTGTTTTAACTAAGGCTCTTCTAGACAAATCATTCAAATTGGATGCTAAAGCAAAACATAAATTCCCTTCCGGTAAAGTCACTTCCATGTTGGGTACTGATTTAGCAAGAATTGATTTTGCCCTTGGGTTTCAACCTTTTTTGATTGTTTTCCCAATTCCAATTGGTATTGCCATTGGTATTTTATGTGATAATATTGGTGCAGTTTCTTTAATCGGGGTGGCCATTTTAATGGTTTTCATGATTGGTATTGCTTTTTCAACAGGTAAATTATTTGCCTATAGAAAGAAGGCTAATTTTTTCACCGATTCCCGTGTCAATTATATTAAAGAAGTATTGAATAATTTAAAAGTCATCAAATTTTATTCTTGGGAACCACCATATCATGAAAACATTTCTGAAGTTCGTAGAAAAGAAATGAAAATCATTTACAGAATGCAAGTTTTAAGAAATATTGTCACTTCATTTGCCATGTCTTTAACTTTATTTGCATCCATGACTACATTTTTAGTCTTATATGCTATTACATCACATAGTAGAGATCCAGCTTCTATTTTCTCATCCCTTTCATTGTATGGTACTTTAACTCAACAAGTTTTCCTTTTACCAATGGCTCTTGCTAGTGGTGCTGATGCATTTATGGGTATTTCCCGTGTTGGTGAATTTATGGCTCAAGGTGAAATCAATGAATCTGAAAATGCCATTGAAGCTTCTCCTGAAAAGAAAGAAATTATGGAAAAAGAAGGTGTTGCCGTTGAAGTTGACCATGCTGATTTTGAATGGGAAATCTTTGCTCCCGATGAAGAAGAAGAGGAAAACGAAAAGAAATATAACGGCAAGAAGGATGATGATAAAGAAGATGATGGGAATACACATAATCATGAAGAGAAAGATCAAATTGTTACTAGTTCATCACATGCTTATCACAGTGATAAAAGTTCATCTAAAGAGCATGATTCATCAACTACAACTACTGCTGAAGATGAAGTTGTATTCAATGGATTGAGAAATATCGATTTCAAAATTAACAAAGGAGAGTTTGTTGTTATCACTGGTTTAATTGGTTCTGGTAAATCATCATTACTTAGTGCACTTTCTGGATTTATGAAACGTACCGCTGGTTCAGTTGATGTTAATGGTACTTTGTTATTATGTGGTCAACCATGGGTGCAAAATTCTACAGTTAAAGAAAACATTTTATTTGGTCAACCATTTGATGAAGAGAAATATAAAAAAGTTATTTATGCATGTGCATTAGAAGCTGATTTGGAAATTTTACCAGCTGGTGATAGAACTGAAATTGGTGAACGTGGTATCACTTTAAGTGGTGGTCAAAAGGCAAGAATTAATTTAGCTCGTGCTGTTTATGCCGATAGTGAAATTATTCTTTTAGATGATGTTCTTTCTGCTGTTGATGCCAGAGTTGGTAAACATATTGTTGAACATTGTATTTTAGGAATGTTGAAACAACATACTAGAATTCTTGCTACTCATCAATTATCATTAATTGGTGCTGCTGATAGAATTATTTTCCTTAATGGTGATGGATCAGCAGAAGTTGGTACTCTTGATACTTTATATGCATCTAATCATAATTTCAAAAATTTGATGAGTCATACCACTCAAGATAATGAAGAGGAAGAAAATGGCAATGATGCTGTTGTTGATAATAATGATGATATTGAAGATGAAATGGAAGAAGAACGTCAATTGATTCAAAGACAAATAACACAACGTACCGAACCAGAAAATGAAGAAGAAGTTCATCGTGAATTTAATGTTGATGAAAAGGCATCTGGTAAATTAATTGATGATGAAGAACGTGCAGTTAATGCTATTAGTTGGAGAGTTTATCAACAATATATTACTTTAGGTTCTGGTAAATTTACTCCATGGCTTCTTATTCCAGTATTTCTTGCGCTTATGATTTTAGCTACATTTTGTCAAATTTTCTCCAATACTTGGTTATCTTTCTGGACAAGTCATAAATTTGATGAACCAGATAAAGTATACATTGGGGTTTATATCATGTTTACATTCCTTTCATTTTTCCTTTTAACTTTTGAATTTATTGTTTTGGTTTATATTACCAATACTGCATCTGTTATGTTGAATGTTTTAGCGGTCAAGAGAGTTTTACATGCACCAATGAGTTTTATGGATACTACACCAATGGGTAGAATTTTAAATCGTTTCACCAAAGATACTGATACTTTAGATAATGAAATTGGTGATCAATTGAGATTCTTTTTATTTACATTATCCAATATTTGTGGTGTTTTAATCTTGTGTATCGTTTATCTTCCATGGTTTGCTATTGCTATTCCATTTTTAGGAATGATATTTGTTAGTATTGCCAATTACTATCAAGCATCAGCTAGAGAAATCAAACGTCTTGAAGCTATTCAAAGATCATTTGTTTACAACAATTTCAATGAAACTTTAAGTGGTATGAGTACTATTAAAGCATATCGTGCTACTAATAGATTTTTGGAAAAGAATAATTATTTAATTGATAAAATGAATGAAGCTTATTATGTTACTATTGCTAATCAACGTTGGTTAGCTATTCATATGGATTTTCTTGCATGTTTATTTGCTTTATTGATTGCATTACTTTGTGTTAATCGAGTATTTGATATTAATGCATCTTCAGTTGGGTTAATTGTTTCTTATGTTTTCCAAATTGCTGGTCAATTATCCATGTTGATTAGAACTTATACTCAGGTTGAAAATGAAATGAATTCTGCTGAAAGATTATATAGTTATGCTACTAATTTACCTGAAGAAGCACCATATATTATTACTGAAAATACTCCACCACCAAATTGGCCAGATAAAGGTGTTATTGATTTTGATCATGCTTCATTAGCTTATAGACCAGGATTACCATTAGTTTTAAAAGATGTTACATTTGAAACTAAACCTATGGAAAAAATTGGTATTTGTGGTAGAACAGGTGCTGGGAAATCATCAATTATGACTGCTTTATACAGATTATCAGAATTACAATCAGGTAAAATTATTATTGATGGTATTGATATTTCAAAATTAGGTTTAAAAGATTTACGTTCTAAATTATCTATTATTCCTCAAGATCCAGTATTATTTCGTGGTACAATTCGAAAAAATTTAGATCCATTTCATGAACATTCAGATGATAAACTTTGGGATGCATTAAGACGTACAGGATTAATTGAAGAATCAAGATTAGATATAATTAAAAAACAAATTCGTCCAACTGAAGACATTACTACTATTGGTAATAATAACAATGATAGTTCAAATGAAATAACATTACATAAATTTCATTTGGATCAAACAGTTGAAGATGAAGGATCTAATTTTTCCCTTGGTGAAAGACAATTGATTGCATTTGCAAGAGCATTGGTTCGTGATTCTAAAATTTTAATTCTTGATGAAGCTACATCAAGTGTTGATTATGAAACTGATTCTAAGATTCAACATACAATTATTAAAGAATTCAAAGATTGTACTATATTATGTATTGCTCATCGTTTGAAAACTATTATTAATTATGATAGAATTTTGGTTTTAGATAAAGGTGAAATTAAAGAATTTGATACTCCTTGGAATTTATTCAATTTGAAAAATAGTATTTTTCAACAAATGTGTAATCGTTCAAATATTACTGAACAAGATTTCAAAGAAACTGTTTCATTTTAGTATTTATAAGTTAATAGGTATTTATTGATAATGCATAATAATACGGTAATAGAAGAAGAATGACATATCTCCGTTGTCACACAACTGTAGAGAGATCTCAAACATGATGATCTCTTTTTGTAGATTTTTTTTTTTTTTACGAGATATCACACCGTGAGGCAGGTATCTTACATGTCATTGTTACAAGATCACCAACTCAACTTAACTCAACTTAACAAAACACGTATACGTGTATTACATTTATAACCTGTTATATATTAACTTTATCGATAAAAATAGAAAACAAAGGAAGTAAAGAACTAAACAAAACAACAAATACACAATGATCCCAAAAGACATGATAATTATCACAGATATTATCTAACAATACTCCGATCTTTTTTTTCTTTTAACCTCTCTTGTTATATATAAAAAATAAAAAACCCAAATTAAATTCCTGACTTTAGAATATAGCAATAAGCAACAATTCTTTTGATATATATGATGTAGAAACCCTCAAACACACACAAATACGAGAAGGAGTCTAAGAATACTTTAATAAAAAAACCCAAATCCAAACCCTAAACCAAGACCAATCCCTACTAAGAAACTATAAATTGCATTCCAACCATTTAGTAAACCTAAAGGATCATTAAAAGAACTTAAATCTTCTTCTTGTGAACTACGTACAATTATTATCAATTCTGTTCTATTCATAGTTGATCCTTGGAATACTTCTTTAGTAGTAGTTGTTGTTGTAGTAGTAGTTAATGAATTATTATTACCTTGAGAACTAACGGACATTCTCGGCATAATAAATGTATTTTCTTCTCCTTCATCTTCTTTAGTGATCACTACTTCATCATCTTGATCTTGATCTTCTCCTTCTTCTTCGGATTCAAATACCATTACATGAGATTGATTTGTATCTTCGAGATCTAAATCTTCACCTTCGGAATAAGACAAGATACTATCAGGAGGACCTCGAAAATCTATATTTTGCCAGGTACTCATCATACCAACTTGGTCAGGAGTCAACATTCTAGGAAGGTCTTGAATATGTTCAAAAGATGTATTAGGAGGAACAGAAGGGGTTGGTGAATTTGAAGAGATGACATTTAATTCTGGATGATTTAGTAAATCATAAATCAGGGGATGAGGAGGGAATTTTTTTGATGATTTGTTAGATTCAACTAGTTGGGATTTGTGACAAGAAGATGTATAAGATGAATAAGACATCTGGATCTAAAACTGATTACAGACAGACAGAAAGACAAAGAATGTGATTTATAAAGTGGCAAACTTATGGAGATGTTGTTGTTGTATAGAATTGGTTGTCTGATGAAAGAAGCAACCAAAAAAAAAAAAAGAAGAATATCAAGAGGGGAAAAAAACAAACAAATAAATAAATAAAACAATAGTGTAAAGTGTAAAGTGTAGTGTATGATAACAGTCAGTCTGGAGACAGCAAGTAAATTATTTATCTGTGGTAGTGTACAAGTGCACAAATGTGTCTAAGTATCGATAAGGAGAAACAAGTAATAATTTTATTTACATGTTACACAATTTCAAAAGGAGTACCACACTTATCACGCGTGGCAACACACCAAAAAAAAATAAAATATTATGCAACCAAACAGTTTTACCACCACCACTACCAACAGACCATCATCATCATCATCATCATCAGCCATAGGGATTAATCTATTAGTACTGGTGAGACACACACATATAAGTTCACATGAATAAGTAATTACTAAAACTTAAACTTTTCTCATCTTATTTGACATCCGTTACGTAAATTCCAATCAGGAGGGCAGATACCAATAGATTCAAAACCATATAGCCGTATTAAGTTTCCTACTTTACCGTTACCGGGAAATCATTAAAACTACAACTACAACAAAAAACCCAATCTCCTGATGGATTTGTCACGAGTATTTAAACATAATGATATTCTTGTTAATCGTTTATTTTACTGTCTTTTTTTGAAATTATGGTTTGAGGAAATTATGAGTTTAAACTTCATAGCGATATTATTCCTCTTGAGTGTTAATTCTTTCATTGTTGTAGATCATATCTCGTGTCACATGTATCGTAAGTAAATAGTTATCACAACCGAATGTGAATTTATGGTGGGTGATTGTTGTATTAACTGTACGTGTCACATGACAAACACCAAACGCCAAACCCAAAAAAAATTTCAATTTATTTCCCAAAATGAGAAATTAAGCCGCTACTCTGTGTCTGCTCCCCCCACCTCTCAGGGCCAACAAAAAATTCTCTCTCTCTTTTTTTTTTGCATCTACCTTTAAATAAAATTGCACCATTGTGTTAATATTTTTTTTCTTCGTCTCCTATATATTCACATGGCGGGATAAGAGGGATAAGAGGGGGTAAATCAGGTGTTAAAAATTTCACTTAAATATACATAATTTGTTTCTTTCTTATTCAACAACTCTAATACACCACTTCTTCTTCTTCTTGTTTCATCATTGTCGATTAACGAATTACTATTATTTATTATTTATCATCATTATGACAGGCACTCCAAAATATGCATTAATTACTGGTGCTTCATCAGGTATTGGATATAATCTTGCTATTGAATTATCTAAAAAAGGATATAAAGTAATTGGATGTTCACCAGAACCAGTATTATTTGCTCAAAAACCATTAGAAGAAGAATATGGGATTTTTTCAATACCTTTAGATATAACATCAATTGAAAATATTAAAAAAGTTCGAGATCAAGTTGAAGAAATAACTGGTGGTAATTTATCAATTTTATATAATAATGCAGGTATTTCAATTGCAGGTCCAGCTATTGAAATTCCTGAAGATGATTTAAATAAAATATTTCAAATTAATGTTATTGGACATATTAATATGACGAAATATTTTGCACCTTTTATTATTAATTCAAAAGGTACTATTTTATTTACAAGTTCAGTAGCTGCAAGAGTTCCATTAAGTTGGGTTAGTGCATATAATGCAACAAAAGCAGCAATTGATGCTTATGCTTTAACTTTACATGGTGAATTAGCTCCATTTGGTGTTAGAGTTCATAGTGTTATTACTGGTGGAGTAGATACTGCTATTTGTGATGCAAATATGAAATCTTCTTTAGCTGATTCTTATTATGATGTTGAAGGTGTTTATGATTCAATGAATAGTTCTGCTTCAATGAGTCGTGATTTAAATATATCTCCTCAACAATATGCTAAAGAAGTTGTTAATGATATATTAAAATGGAGAGATCCTGGGTTTAATCTTTATCATGGGGCAAGAGCTTATTTCTTACATTGGGTAAGTCGTTTCATTCCTTTATGGTTAACTGAATTGGGTGTTCAAATCCATTTTAAACAACGTAAAGTATTAAATACTATTGCAAAATTAATTAAAGCTAAAAAGAATTTGAAAACAAAAACTGATTAGGGTTTGTATATGTATAAAAACATTCCAAAGACGAACTTTTATTATACTTAATATATATTATTATTATTAATATTATTTTTTTTACAATTAGTATTATTTATATATAACTATACACGTGAAATGAAATACATATAGCTAACAAACCAAAGGACTCTGTAATAATCATCTCCTTTGATTCTCTTTTCATTTCATCAAGTTTAAAAACACACAATTCAGAAAGAAAGAAAGAAAAAAACTAAACTAAACTAAAGCTTATTCAGCTTTTCTTCTTTCTTCTTCTCTTTTATAATTTTGATAAATCATTTGTTTAGCCTTTTCAACAGCTTGAGAAGATCCAGTAATGGTGAAAATTCTTTCATCTTCACCACCATCACTGATTGAAATAGTAGCACCAGTGATTTTACGAACTCCATTAATTCTAGCACCCTGTTTACCAATTAATGCACCAACAATATCATTTGGGAATGTTAAAGTGGCTTTTTTAGTATTAGTACCACCACTACCTGATGATAAGCCACCAGTTGAAGAAGATGAATTACTATTATTATTACTTGAATTACTACCTCTTGGAACATAATAACTAACACCAACAATGGAACTAAAATCTTCCATAAGACATCTTGAAATAACTCTTAAAGAATCATATAAATCATCAACACTTCCTTGTAATTCAACCAATCTTTCATTTGAACCTGGTAAAAATGATTTAGAAGCAATCATGGAAATATTATATTTTGATTGAATTTGTTGAATTCTAGCACCTTTAGATCCAATTAAAGTACCCATTTGAGTATTTGGAATTAATAATCTTAAAATAGTGGTTTCTTCAGTATTTGGAGTACTTGATAATTGTTTCAATGGGAAATAATTATAACTTTCAATATTGGCATTAACTAAAGCTTGAGCAAAATAACTTAAAGCTTTAGCACAATCATCCAATTTACCAGAAACAGTTAAAATTCTTTCATGACTACCTGGAACTAAACGAGAAATACCAGCTTTAGTATTTGTTTCTCCTCTAATTGAGTCAATAACTTGTCCATTGGTACCAATAAGACATCCTGCTTCTTTGGCAGAAACTAAAACACGATAATTAATCAAGGCATCAACATTGGATTTATCTTGTAATGAAGGCAATGATGTAGATTGATCAATTGGTGAGTTTGCACTAGATGATTCAGTGGTGGCACCAGTAGTACCATCATTGGTAGTAGTGCTGGAAGCATTACCAGCACCAGCACCAGTAGTAGCACCAGTAGCAGGAGTAGTGGCAGTGGTAGAAGAAGAAGGTTCTTCAGAACCAGTGGCGGCGATGGATTGATTTTCAGTGGTTGATTCTGGTTTTGGTTCGTTTTCAGAAGTGAAATTTGTATCAAATAAAGATTCAGTCATTGGTAAAAGTAAATATGTTAAGATAAATTAAATTAAAATTGATAAATAATGAATGAATTCTAATAATGGTGAATATACAAAAAAAAAAAAAAATTGGTTTTTGGTTAATATTTGTGGGGAGTTGATGATGTGTGAGTATGATCAAGAATGGGTGTAAATGATAATTTCAAAAAAGAATATGATACTGTGATTGGTGAGATGTTAGTGAAAGGGTGTAGTTGTAAGTTTGGGATGGGATAATGATTCGATGGTATGTATTCTTTTTTTTTTTTGGTTTGAATTGGTGAGTGGGTGATTTCTAGTCTTTGTTGGAATGAATGGTCTGGAATAAAATTGAAAAAAAAAAAAAAACGATTGAGGTTTTTCTTTTATTTGAAAAAAAAAAAAAAAAAAAAAAATCTTTTTCACTCACTAAAAACAACAAGTGAGAGAGAAAGAGAGAGTGTGTGTGTGTGCGAAAAATTGTTTAACAAAAGGGAATCTTTTCCTTCGCTGGTTACACTTACGGCGGGCGGCTCCAAATCAAAGCCTCTGCTTTGCTTAAAAAAATTTTTCTTCTTCTCTTTCTTCTTTTCCTTTTTTTTGTATGCGAGAAATTTTCTCTGTCCTTTTTTCGTTTGTTCGTGGCGGCGATGGCAGTAAAGGTGGCAAGAGCAGGAGCAAGAAGACAGTCCTCGGCTGGCTGCCTGGCTTCCTGGCTGCCTGCCTGCCGAGGTCGATCACTACAAGTGTTTTTTTTTTTTAATTCTTTTGATATTTTCATTAATAGACGATTTTGTAAGGTTGGAAGGATGGAAGAGCTAGTCAAAGACATATTGTTTGTAATGTCATAGATTAAATAACATATTGACTCATGATTAAACTCTGCCTCTATGTCATTTTCAACTTATTCTTTGTTAAAAACAATTAATCTATAAACTTTTGGTATGCATTGTGATACTCATGTTATGTATAACATAATTGTTCCTCTTCTTCCTCTTGTTGTTGTTTTAAACAATAAGGAAACTGATAATCACTTTGGTTGTTTGTTGAGTACAATGTATGGAACACCCTAGACCAAATTTTGTAGACTTCCTAATTGGGTAATTGTATGCAAGATTGATTTCTCACACTTCTTCCTCCTCCCCATCGCAGCTGTTCCTTTTTAATTTATCAGAGTTAAAAAAAAAAAAATTGAAAAATAAATCTCCAGTATAATTGCAACAACATCAAGGAGACAAAAAAAGAAAAATCTCACCGAGTCAATATCACTTTTTTTTTTATTCAATCGTTATCATCAATCACAACCACAACCACTACCACAACCACCACAACTACGACAAACATAATGACTTCAACTAACTTAAACGGTACTTTCCCATTAATTGCTAAAGGTAAAGTCAGAGATATTTATCAAGTTGATGAAAATACTCTTTTATTTGTTGCAACTGATAGAATTTCAGCTTATGATGTTATTATGTCAAATGGTATTCCTCAAAAGGGTAAAATTTTAACTAAATTATCTGAATTTTGGTTTGATTTCTTACCTATTGAAAATCATTTAATTAAAGGTGATATTTTCACTAAATATCCACAATTAGAACCATATCGTGATCAATTAGAAGGTAGATCATTATTAGTTCGTAAATTGAAATTAATTCCATTAGAAGTTATTGTTAGAGGTTATATTACTGGTTCCGGTTGGAAAGAATATACTAAATCTAAAACTGTTCATGGTAAATCTATTGGTGAAGGAATTCTTGAATCTCAAAAACTTGAACCACCTATTTTCACTCCTTCAACTAAAGCTGAACAAGGTGAACATGATGAAAATATTAGTAAAGAACAAGCTGATAAAATTGTTGGTAAAGAATTATGTGATAGAATTGAAAAAATTGCCATTAATTTATATACAAAAGCAAGAGATTATGCTGCTACCAAAGGAATTATTATTGCTGATACTAAATTTGAATTTGGTTTAGATGATAATAACAATATTATTCTTGTTGATGAAGTTTTAACTCCTGATTCTTCAAGATTCTGGAATGCTAGTAAATATGAAATTGGTAAATCTCAAGAATCTTATGATAAACAATTTTTACGTGATTGGTTAACTTCAAATGGTGTTGCTGGTAAAGATGGTGTTGCCATGCCAGAAGATATTGCAACCAAAACTAAAGAAAAATATGTTGAAGCTTATGAATGTTTAACTGGTGATAAATGGGTCGATTAAGAAAACAAATAACTGAAAAAGCAACCAATTAGATAATACATGTAAGAAAAAATAATACTATATATAATGTAAGTGAATGAACTTGTAGTTGTAAAACAATTGGGCTGCAAGTTTAAGCCTTGGTTGTGTGTGATACGCCGTAATAGTTATAAGCAGACGTGTCAGTATAGATCGGCAGGCAATCTTTCTTCCTACACGTGTATTAATCCCTGAAGCATAAGGAATGTAAAATACGCCTTGTTGGAATTTTTGGTTTTAGCAACTGTTGCTCTGGTATAGATAATCTGAATATAAAGAATGTTCTCGCATTGTGGTTGTTGTTTTTCCCAACGAACCCGAGTGGCTTAAGCAAAGTTGCTGCCTTGTTTGTTTGTTTGTCGGCCGTGTCGACTCGTTCCTCGTTCGAGAGAATCGAGAAAGAGATATATGAATAACAACATTCATTCATTTGTTTGTTGTGTTTGATTTGTTATTAATGTTTATCAAGGTAAATATATATAACTCTCTGTATACAAAAAAAAAAATACTGTTCCCCATTTTTTTTGAAAAGTTGACGGGGAGGAGGATTAGATTCCTTCTATCGTTAATTGAAATTCATAGATGCGAGGGAGGTAGGGGAGGGTGCTAGACAATAATTCTTTTTCAAAATCTACCAATATAATCCTTCGCACTAATTGTAGTTGTTGCATAAGATTCTTGATCATTTTCCATTTGATTCATATCTGCAAATGAATAGAAATCAATGGCATTAGTATCAACTTTGTCTTTTGAAATAGGAGTTTGACCAGCATAACTCTTCAGTCGTTTTGCAAGTGGATGGAACGATAATGAAGAAACACCAGTTGAAGAAGTCGAAGAACGAAGATTACCACTACCACTACCACTACCAATAGAATGGGCATGCGGATGTGGATGTGGGGTTGTACTAGTCGAATTATTTTTATGATTTAATGTGGAAATTAAAGATTGAGAAATAATACTTCTAGCTCTTGGACGAATAAAAGGTGGAGTAAAACTCTCTTCATGTTGATGTTGATGATGATGTTGATGATGTTCAGAATCATCCAATTGAGGTCCGGTATAATCTTGTTGTCTATTTTCATCTTCATCTTCATCTTCTGCATTATTGATGTTTTGTTCATCGTCTCTTCCAGCACAACACATTGGTTCATCACCTTCACAGAAACAATTCAAAGTGACTGAATTTAATGGATTATTGGTGATTGTATCTAATATAGGAGAAGTATAATTTTCCAAATTATAATGGGATGGAGTTCTTTTACTATTTAAAATCCCATGGCCTTGACAAGTTCTTTCAAAAATATCACTATCTGAATAGTTTGGAGTAGTAAATGACATTTTATTCAATGATTTTTTAATTGATTTGTGATATTTTTCATTTCTAGATTGTTGACTATTATTTGTACTACTAGTGTGAGTTGGAGAAGGAGGGTCTTCTAAAGATGAAGACAGGGTACTATGCAATTGGAACTTGGCACTAGTTTGTGGTTGAGGTTGTGGTTGTGACATTGGAGAAATAATGATAGCAAAATATGATTAGTAGCAATATTGTGTGGCGGTGGTGGTGGTTGTTGTTGTTGAAATGATGTAATAATAATTAGTGATTTGCTAGATAAATAGATAAAGGATTCTTTTTTTTGTTGTTGTTGCTGTTGTTGTTATTACAGTAGTCTCCTTTGTTAGTTTAGTATGTGACAAAATAAATAAATAGGATGTGAAGATAGATGATGAGTTAAATCAAATAAGAAAATGATATATACAAGTATATATATATATATATAAATAAATCTAAAGAAATTATTGAATCCTAATTACCAAAAAAAAAAAAAGTGAATTAAGAATTGAAAAAAAAAAAATGACAAAAGACAGAAAAAGCAGTTGAATGAGGTTTTCAACAAAACAAAATAATAAATAAATACAGAAAACAAAAAATCAAGAAGAACAAGAATAAGAGAAATTTTTATTGAGATATATAATGTTTAAACCATGTATTACAAAAGACTACATGAAAGATGTACATAAAGCACAGGGTGAAAAATGATATAAAAAAGAGAAAAGTGCCTGGTTTTCTTTTCTTTCTTTTTGCGTTATTTTCAGTAAAATAACCTAATCATTAATTTTTATAAATGTTTGACTTACTAATTTTAGTAATGTTGTACACGACCACTAAAAAAATGTGAGTATCAATAATATATGCTCTCTCGCGTGGTGATATATTTTACTTGTTGGTTAAATTTGATGACCATTTTTTCTTTTCTTTCGTGGTTACTATTAAATTAAATTAGATTACCTGGGATTACATAATACACACACTCACACTCACACTCACACCATACTGTGTATGATTAAATAAATAAATAGCTTTCAAATGTTTCAAAGCAATTTTTTTTCCTTTTCAAAATTTAAATCAGCATTCAGTTATCCTTCCATGATCATTGATTCCAATAGTTTAATATCTTATCTTATTTACATGTTGGTTTGTCAATTCTCGATGTCGTTGATGTTTTCAGCCTCTCTTGTCTCTTGTCTCTAGTCTCTCTTTCTTTTGTTTTCACTAGATGCAAGTGAATATCTGTTGTTCTGTACATTGTTACTCGTTCCATATCTCGTTATGATTACATAAGACTTCTATTCTATTCTGTGCCATTCCCGGCCGTTAACGCACTTTATACGTGATTGAGATACATTCATGGAAGGGAACGGGTCGGAAACTAAGCCAATCACTGCGTCCGCCTTTCTCTGCCCACGGCCAGTTAGAGAAAAAGAAAAATCGACCTATTTTTTTTTTCCAATGCTTGTCTTGAAAATAACCCGGTTTTCTGTGCATGAATACACGAACACAAAATGCCTAAATTTAATCTCTTCTATTATCAGTGAAAGCAAATTTGTAAGGTAATATAAACTATTCATTACAGTCATTCTTATTTTGTACATAACCTCTCCCCATAGGTACACAAACCATATGTTTATTTATAACGTGATTATTATTTTTTTTTCTTTCCCTTTTCCTTTTAATCTTAAATTATATCATGGAATGTCAACTTTATATCCCATATCAGTAAGTCAGGTTTGATATTCTCCCGATGGCTTGTATATTACACAATACATCTTGGGGGCGGGACGGTGTGATATTGTTTGATAGATGAATGGAAAATTGCTTGTTTTATCTTTTTATTCAACAACTTTATATCCCTCCTCTTTTTATGCCATCCCCCCAAATGTCTCTGTTCCAAGGATCGGAATTTCTGTTGGGTAAAACTAATTCATCTGCAACAGTGATACACACACACACACACAGTGACAATATTGTACAAACTAAAAATTATCGTGTTATCCTTTTTCCATGCAGATTAATTTAAATTACTCCACCACAGGGTACAAAAGTGGAATAATAATTTTTTATTATTATTATTTTCTTTGACTCTCTCCTTCGTTTAGAAGCCCTTCTGTCTGGTATTATTTTTCGTCCGCTTACGCGCGCTCGTGCGCACGAGATTTCACGTTATTGGTGGGAGGCATTTTGATCTCCTTTTCCCCTTAATCACACCCCAATGATATATAGCGTCACGCATTTTAATTTATTGATTAGATTGATACAAAAGAACATGAAATTCCACTACAATGATCGATCACTTATTAACATACGTGTCACTTCTCCATATCCCCACCATCTTTCCTTCCTTCAAAAATATGAAACATGAAGAACAAGAAAAGATCTCTACGATTAGTTTATTTTATCCTTTTTAATGTTATAAGTTCTGGGGTACATTATACTTTGTTACATTCAAGTTGATGATGATGATGATGATCACGAGGAATATGAGGGGAAGTAAATCATAGCAATTATGATAAATACACGTCTTGATTATCAAACTCTATCTCTATCTCTGTTGGCTTTTACTTTCTTTTCTTTTCTTTTTTTTTTTTAATTCACACAACTGTGGATTATAGAACGGAAATCAAATCAAAGATAAGATTATTACAGATATCCGATTCATCCTTGCTTTCTCATTGGTCAATTCTTTCGCGCAGTTGAGAAAACAAGTGATTTGTAATTTTTTTTTCCCGCTGCCTCGTGGGAAAAGGCACTAGATTCGCGGCGGTGTTGATCGTATTAAGTTAATTTATGCGAATATTGGTGTTTACATATATATATATACTGTATCTTCTTACTTAACTGGTTGTTTAATCTTTCAATAACTTGGTTAGTTCATGCATTGATCTTTCTTCTTCTTCTCCTCCTCATTCCCCCTTTATTTTCTTCTTCTTGCTTAATTCTTCTTTTCTTTTAGTTATTTATAATTATTTTCGAGCCACAGGTAATTTCACTATCACGAAAAAGAAAAGATAGCGTCATCAATATCAACAACAGATAAGATAAACCAACTCAAAAAAAAAAACTGAAGCCATATAGATTCATGTTTCATATGGACAACAAAAGTAAAAAAAAAAAAGAATAGTGTTCACATGATCATTATGAGTTAATCTTTCTCTTCAAGTGATTGTTATCATGGTAAAGATGACGTAAAAACAAAATTGATAAGATAAGGTTAGCAATACTGTACAATTGTCCAGGCTCGTTATTCTCTCTTCTCCAGACTATTTTGCTATTGTTTATTTTTGGCTGGATGAATAATGTGAGGAACAGCAATAACATTGTGTAGCAAGAACAGGAGGAGGAGAAGAAGAAGAAGAAGATGGAATGACTAGAAGTGTATAATCAATAGATATAAAATTGCGCTATTGTTGCTTTGTTGCTCATACTTTTTGGGTTAATTTTTATGTCCGTCGGTGCTAATAAACCTAATTATTATCTTTTTGTGGTGGTGGTGGTGATGGTATTCGTAGTAGTCGTGGCGGCTACAGCTGTGGTGTTGGTGGTGGTACAGGAGGGGGGAGGATTTCCGTCGAGGCATTAGCACCAAGTTGCGGTGGTGGTAATTTTTATTATTCTACTGATCAGTGTTCGCATGAGTGCGGGTGAAAAATTCTTTATAAATAACACAAAATAAACTCTATATAAACAAAAGATAAGAAGCGAGCAAGTTTCTTTCATTATCTATTCTTTACTACAATTTTCAGAATAATATTTATATCGAAGTGAATTCAGGATTATTTCATCCAGTTCAGTTCCTCATTCCTTTATTACTATCCCCGGCCTTCACTATCACTTATTATTACAATCATGAAAAGACAATCATCACTGTGTGAATCTTCATCAACTAAAAGATTAAGATTAGAATATGAAATATTCTCCACATCAATTCAAGATATAGAAAAGATGTTTACGGAAGAAATACTAACATCACCAACTAATAACAGTCGACATCCTTATAATCCAGATTCTTGTCAATACTTAGATACTGTTGTTCCTTCTACTGATTTTAAATATGATTGTATAAATATGGCATTCCTAGTAGAAGAAAAGAAAAATCATCACAATAAATTTATACCTAGTCATGGTGGTAGCGACATCAATGGAAGGAATGGAGGCGGGCCGAAATTTTCACCACCGGAAAAATCAATGTATCTTGATCTAGATAATAATGAAGAATATGATGAATTGCAGAATTATAAACCTTCTATAAATCAAGACCTATTAATGATCGATAGACTTATTTCATTTAATCACTAAGACAGTTTATATCCTTAAGACATTCTTTGTTTTTTTTTATTATCTTTAATATACATTATGCATTTCTCAATATATCTCAACAGGTATCGCTGTAGACTTGTTCGTGTTCCTGTTCGTGTTCCTGTTCGTGTTGGTGTTCGTGCGCGAATGCACAAATAAATCGAAGCCAAAAAAAAAAAAAAAAAATTTCAAACTGAAAACAAAACTCTCTCTATTCTTGTTGTCAACAATTATACTTAATCAATGGCAACAACAACAGTATATGGTGGTGATGAAATCAATGCAATCATCCTAGATGCAGGATCATACACTACAAGAATAGGTTATGCAGGTGATGATTTCCCAAAAGTCATCACATCATCTTATTATGGAGAGATTAAAGCTGAAGAAGAAGAAGAAGAAGGTGGAAAACCAAAGAAAATCTTTGGAGAATCAATTAATGTCCCACGTAAAAATTGTGAAATTAAACCAATTTTAAAAGAATCTATAATTACAGATTGGGATGCAGCACTTGAACAATATCAATATTTTTTTGATCAATTAAAAATACTGCAACCTGATCAACCTATTTTGGTAACGGAACCTATTTGGGGTGAAGCATCATATAGAGAGAAATTAGTTGAAAATTTTTACGAAACATTTGATTTTGCTGGATTATATTTAGCTAAAACACCTACTTGTGTTTCATTTCAACAAGGGAGACCAAATTGTCTTGTTGTTGATGTTGGACATGATTCAGTGTCTGTTACTCCAGTTATTGATGGTATTTGTTTAGTTAAAAGTTCAATGAAGACAAATTATGGTGGGAGATTTTTATCTAATGAAATTCAAGATTATCTTGAACATCAAAAAATAGTAGTAGAACCAAGTTTTAATATTAAATCAAAAACTGCTACAAAATTCCCTGAACCCGCTAAATTTGAAACTAAAAATATCACCACAACTCAATCATTTATGGATTATCAAAAACAAAAAATATATCATCAATTTAAAGAAATTCTAGAAGTACCAGAAAAGAATTCTACTAAGGAATCCCCAAGAACATTTGAATTGCCTACAGGTCAATCGATTACAATAGACCGTTTTAAAATTGCTGATTCAATATTTGATCCAACTGTTTATAAATTTAATAATGAAAAATTATCTTTCCCGGCATGTAATGGTGAAATTGAAATTAATCAAGCAAACGAATATCGTCCACTTAAAAGAGTACGTAAAAATGATTCAAATCAATCTACACCAGCACCAGAAGTTGATGTGCGAGGTTTAACTCAATTAATCTGCCATACATTATCAAGTATAGATATTGATTTAAGAGCCTCATTAGCTAATAATATTATTGTTACTGGTGGGGTATCTCTTGTTTCTCAATTGACAGATCGTCTTTATCTTGAATTATCCAATAATAATCCGGGATTGAAAATTAGATTACATGCTGTGGGTAATTCAAGTGAAAGAATTAATCAAGCATGGATTGGGGGTAGTGTATTGGCTTCATTGGGTACATTTCATCAAATGTGGGTAACAAAAGAAGAATATAAAGAAGCAGGAGTAGATAGAATATTAAATCAAAGATTTAGATGAAATATATACGTTTGAACTAATATTCTCGTGTGTACGTGTGTGTGTATATGTAATTATTATTATTTTGGTCATTTATTAATAATGGGTGGGCCACAAAAAACAAAATATATATTACTTACTAAAACAAAAAGAAAAATTGCAAAAAAAAAAACCACAAACTTTTGGGTGGGAAGAAACCATACAAAGAAGGTTACAAATTAAACACAACAAGAACAAACGTGTGTATATTCTAATGTGTTGTCCTTGGTATGTGTGTGTGTGTGTTTATTCTTTTTATTTGTGTAGAATGTAACAAGGTGTAAGAAAAGTGGAGGTATAATAATACGACTATAAATAATCGCCTTACATTTATAAGGTAAAAATCCTATTATTTCGGAATAAATTGAAACGAGATTGGGCCGAAATGAATAAAGAAATATTAAATCATACAGAGAGAGTGGACGAATTGACCTCAATACGATTGAATTCATATACAACGAAATACACTGGAAGGGCAAAAGAATAGAATAAATATTAACGCAGCAAACTAAATAGAAAAGTGGGCTGGATTAATTTTCATTTTAGTAAAAGGTTTATTTTATTTTATATTTTTTTTGCATTCCAGCACCACAATATTGCTAGGCGTGCGTGCGTTCGTTCGTACGAGAGTGCGTCGATTGATTGAATGGGTGATACCAGTGCGCCCACATAATTTCTAAATTAATTTTGGCCCCGAACATTGATAACACAAACCCCCTCGAATTTTTTTGCTGTACTGAGTTTCCTTCTTTTACTCCGATCACTGTACCGTCCACCCTTTTCCTCTCTCTCTCTCTCTCCTGTCCTCCTTCCCCCCTCTAATTAATTTTCTCCTTGAAAAATTTCTACCACCTAAATTTAGCTTTCTTTTTGATTTTTATATAAAACCTGATATATCACCACTTACATTAATTTACATTCGATATTTTTTGTTTTCTTTTTGGTCAATTTCCTTTTTTTTTTTGTTGTTGTTGTTTTCTTGCTCAATTTGTGCCCAATTTTAAACAATGTCAAAAGATTTAATTAAAGGGGTTTTAAATGTGGATCCATGGTTAGAACCATTCTCTCAACAATTGATTGATAGACAAGTAAGATTCCAAGATTGGTATGATAAATTGACTAAATCTGAAGGTTCTTTAATCAATTTTGCAAATAGTTATAAGAATTATGGTTTACATTCTTTACCTGATGGAAATTATAAAATTGTTGAATATATCCCTAATGTTGAATCTGTTTCCTTGGTTGGTGATTTCAATAATTGGAATACTGAATCTCATCCTTTGAAAAAATCTAATGATTTTGGATTATGGGAATTGACTATTCCTGCTAAAACTATTCCAATTGATTCAAAATATAAAATTGCTATGAAATTATCTAGTGGTGAATGGATTTATCGTTTAGATCCTTGGGTTCATAGAGCTACTTATTCAGAAGAAACTACTCAATATGAAGGTCGTTTCTGGGAAGATAATTATATATTTAAAAATCCTCGTCCTAAAAATGCTGCTGGTAATGAAATTAAAATTTATGAAGCTCATATTGGTATTTCTACTCCTGATCCAAAAGTTGGTTCCTATAAAAATTTCACTCAAAATATTTTACCTATTATTAAAGATCTTGGCTATAATACTATCCAATTGATGGCTATTATGGAACATGCTTATTATGCTTCTTTTGGTTATCAAGTTACTAGTTTTTTCGCAGCTTCTTCAAGATTTGGTACTCCTGATGAATTGAAAGAATTGATTGATACTGCTCATGGAATGGGTATTCAAGTTTTATTAGATGTTGTTCATTCTCATAGTTCAAAAAATGTTGATGATGGTTTGAATATGTTTAATGGTACTGATCATTATTTATTCCATGGTGGTGGCAGAGGTATGCATGATTTATGGGATTCTCGTTTATTTAATTACACCAATTATGAAACTTTAAGATTCTTGTTGTCTAATTTGAAATACTACATTGATGTCTTCCAATTTGATGGTTTCAGATTTGATGGTGTTACCAGTATGTTGTATAAACATCATGGTTTATCTTATGGTTTCAGTGGTAATTATCATGAATATTTTGGTGAAGGAGTTGATGATGAAGCTTTGGTGTATTTGATGTTGGCTCATAAATTAATGGATGATATTTCCAAGACTGAAAACATCACTTTGACTTCAATTGCCGAAGATGTTTCCGGTATGCCAACGCTATGCCGACCAATTACTGATGGTGGTATTGGTTTTGATTATAGATTATCCATGGCCATTCCTGATATGTGGATTAAAGTTTTAAAACATTTGAGTGATGAACAATGGGATTTGGGTAATATTGTTCACACTTTATGTAACCGTAGATATGGTGAGAAAGTTGTGGTTTATTGTGAAAGTCATGATCAAGCTTTAGTTGGTGATAAAACCATTGCCTTTTGGTTGATGGATGCAGAAATGTACACCAACATGAGTGTTTTAACCGAATTAACTCCAGTTATTGATCGTGGTATTGCTTTACATAAAATGATTAGACTTATTACTTATGGTTTGGGTGGTGAAGGTTATTTGAATTTCGAAGGTAATGAATTTGGTCATCCAGAATGGTTGGATTTCCCAAGAGTTGGTAACGGTGAATCTTATCATTACTCAAGAAGACAATTCAACTTAATTAAAGATGATTTACTTAGATATAAATTTTTATATGCATTTGATAAAGCCATGTTGAAATTAGATGTCACTGGTCCAGAATATGTTTCCCTTAAACATGAAGGTGATAAAGTTTTAGTCTTTGAAAAGGGAGACTTACTTTTCATTTTTAATTTCAATTCTTCCCAATCATTTGTTGATTATAAAATTGGTGTTGAGCATCCAGGTAAATATAAAGTGGTCTTGGACTCCGATGCTGAAGAATTTGGTGGACATCAAAGACTTGATGATCTGCAAGTTTACTTCACTTCTGATGAACCTTGGAATCATAGAAAGAATTCTATGCAAGTTTATATTCCTACTAGAACAGCCCTTGTATTACAATTGGCCAAAGACTAATTTAGGACTTTACATATATATATATATATACATATATAACTGGGGTTTTTTTATTTTACCTTTCTTGAACAAAAAGAATATACAAATGATTTGACATTATTGTTTTGAATATCGGATATATATGCAAGTGAAGTAAAGACAAAAAATTGTAGTTGGTGGCTTTTTTTTTTAAAGTTTTGTCACGATTAGATGAAATGTGTATATTCCTGAGCCGACAAAACTATAACTTTATCGTTGGTCTAGTGTTGTGAATCCACCATCTCTCTTTCTTGATGATATCCATCATGATAATAAGGCCCAATTTTACCAACACCATACATTTACTGTTGTCAGAATTTTTGACCATCTTTGCACGTCCTTTGGTTTTCCTTTGGCTGTCCCCTTAGCTGTCCTACGTTTCATGCGACCGCAATTTTCATAACCAAGCAACCAAACACACTCATATCTTTCATGGACAACAACAACACCAACACCACCATATCAGCCCTTTGTAATCTACTAATATGGATATGGATGGTATGAACATGAATGGTATCAATGACAATTTCTTATTGCAATTGTCTCCAAGTGAAGAACATTTCCTTAAAAAGTTCTTACTAGAAGAACAACTATCCAAAGAATTACATTCGTTTAGTAAATCCAATTGTTGTGATTTATTGGGATATCCATTCGATTCAAAGATATATAATTCTAATGAATTAAGTCATGAATTACCAATGTTATCGTATTTTTTTCGTCATTTTTTATCTACTTTCCCATTCATTACTAATAATTCAATTAAAGATCAACAAGATTTTTGGCAAGGTACATTACAACCATTTATAGAAAGTTTCAATTCAAAACCAATTAGTGGGTCAGAAGAAAGAGAAGAACATGTAACTAAAAGAAGACAAGTTAATAAAAAGATATTATCGGGATTATTGTTATTTTATAATTCGGTAATTATAACTAATCAAGAATTGGATTATTTATCTAAAAATCATTTAAAACCTTCAGATACTAGTAAAATTGAAAAATTTCAAACAAGTAAAAGAATAATTCCAAATTTAAATCAATTGAACAAATTAAATATAATTGGTGTAAGAAAAATTGATCATACGTTAAATGGAAATCGTAATAATAATAATAATAATAATAATAGTTGGTTTTCATTTAGAAAAGTTAAACGATCAAATTATCAATTTATAATAGAATATAATAATTCAGAATTATTGGTGAAAACATATCATCAATTTTCAATGTTACACAATGAGTTGAAAAATCAATTCCCAGGGATTATGAGTGAAATAGCCCTTCCAAGAAAACATAAAAATGATGAAGGAATGGAGAATATGGATATTAATGGTACACGATATTCTCAAGAATCAGATAGAGAATCAGAAATTGTTCAATTAAATTCTAAAGTATTAATAAGAGAAAAGTTAAGATTAGCATTAAGAGGGTATTTAACTGCATTGATTAAAAATCCAGAAATTGAACATTGTTTGGTATTTGAAAAATTCTTAACTACAGATAAAATAACTTTAACAGTTGAGGATGAATTAGATATTAAACAAAGACTTGAACATGAAGAACTCATGAAAGAAACTCAAATTGAATTCCAACAACAAACAACCAAAGTAATGATGCAATTAACTAAAGATTTCGATGATTTTAAAGCTAAAATGGTTATGAATCCTGATATGATTTCAAATGTATTTGCTGAATTAGGAACTAATCCAGATATCAAACAATTATCACCAGTTTTACAAACTTTTAATGAATGGTGTAAAGTTGAAATTGCTGCTACAATTTATCAAACTTTTATAAGCCAAGATAATTCTCAAGAATGGTTTAATAAAGTGAAGAAATTCCATCGACTTTTCCCATATGGTATATTATATCAAATGTTACGAGTTATCAATCCAGCAACAATAATTTCAAAAGTTATAAATTTATTTTTGGTTGAACTTCCTTCGTTTCCATGGAGTAATAGTAAACGTGGTTCATTATTATCAATGATATTCATCATGTTATTAAATGAAGATTTGAGCGATTTCCACAAAGAGTTGACAGATTTGGAATCTAAACTAAAAGGGTATGAAAAGTATCTAGAAAGAATTCAAAATTATACTAAATTACTGATTGATGCTATCAACACTATAAGAGATGAGGCAGTTGAAGGTGGTGAAGATAATATGTTGATGAGTATTCTTTCGACTAATGTTTTAGCTCCAGAGGTAACAGATGAGGATTTTGCAACTACATTCACCGATATTGAAACTTCATATATACATTACCAAGAAATATCCGAAAAGAAAGACCTTGCAAGATCGGAATTATACATGAATTTAAAACAATACTGGCAAATACAAGTAAGATGTCGAGATAAAGATTTACTTAAACAGTTATGGCAGGAACCAGAACTTACAGAATTGATCAAGAAATTCTTGACGATTTTCTATCAACCTTTAATGACGATTTTTGCTAAAAGTGATATTCATATTGCATTTAGAGGATTACAAAAATTCATGGATGATTTAGTAACCACAGTATCTAAAATTAATGAAGAGGAGATATATTACATGAATACTTTTGAAATTTACAATCGATTAAAATCATTAATGGATAGAAATGAATCAGTAATTTGGGAATTCATTCATAAAGTTTATCTTAAAGATGATAAACATCTTTTCTTACATTTAATTCAATGGTTTGAAAAATTCCTAGCCTTGATGAGACTTAAATTTGTCAATCCAGAATCAGTCAAGATTAATTTTCCAAGACCTGATAAAACCATTAATCAGGAGTTATTCATGAAACAATTAGATTCCCATGTCAATAAAACCATTACTAAAAGAAGATTATTTAAAGAATATCTTGAAGCTAAAGCTAATGCGAAAAATCAAATTGACGCTGATTGGGAAGATATCAATGATCAAATTTTCACTAATGCTGATGCAAGTGACTTTGGTGTAGCAAGTGAAGATTTAGAAGAGTTCAATAACCTTAATTGGGAAGATGATTTACGTGATTTAAGTAAACAAACTAATCTTGAAATTGAATTACTTAAAAAATTACAAGATTTAGAAAAATTAAATTCCGGTACTGATGAATTACTTAAACTTGATATAAAATCCGAATTTATACGTTTATTGGAAAATATATAAAACATTTCAACTAGATAGAATACGATCCTTCAAAACAAGTAACTGCATGACCACCAACATGAATACTTATTCCTTCGTTGTTGTCATCATCTTTAATTTGAACTTTAATTTTAGCATCTCTATTAATTGGAGTACCTTGAGTAATTTCAAATGAAGAAATTCCTGAATTTGAATGAGCTGAACTTAAGTATACTCCAACAGCACCTGAACCACTACCACAAGCAGGATCTTCAGGTACACCAGTTATTGGAGCTATATTTCTTAATTCATATAATCCGGTATCTTTATGTTTACCAAATACTCCAATACCTGTCCAATTATTAATTTTACTAATTTTTTCAATTTTATTTAAATCAATATTTAAATTTAATACATCATTACCTGATTCAAATTCAAATACTGCCCATTTAGGTCCATCATCAATAAGTATTGGATTACCAATTGATTTTTTCCCCAAAATTAATTCAACTTCATTTTTAACATCATTCAGAATTGATGTTATTTTATAAAATGGTAATTGAAAAGATAATGATTTATCAATTTCAGAAATTGTAATTTCAACTAATCCAGCTTTACATTCTTGATAAATTTTACCATTTTTAGGAATAATTTTCCCATCTTCTAATAAAGCAAATGCTGAACCTAATGTAGGATGACCAGCAAATGTTAATTCTTCAGTTGGAGTAAATATACGTAATCCATAATTTGCATTTATTGTTGATTTTGGTTTAATTATAAATGTAGTCTCTGATAAATTTGTCCATCTTGCAATATCTTGCATTTGTGAATCAGTTAATTCATCTGCATCATAAATTACAGCTACTGGATTTCCAAAATATTTAACTTTGGTAAATACATCAACTTGTTTAAATCTAGGCATTGGTTATATCAATTGATGGAAAAAAAAAATTAATTAAATTCCTGGTATGGATATTTCAACGAGGAATCGTTCAATTATTTATACTCTACTTAGAAGATATAACGGGGGGCATGGGGGGAAGGGGGTTAACTATTGTAATATGACTCATGGAAATATGGCGGGGGAATTTAATGTGCGAGAAGACAATATTCCCGAGAAATTCGCAACTTTGGAACGGTGTATCTGTCGCGAAGTAACAAACTATCTTGTCAATATGCCGGATTTAGTTTGTTTTCGAACAAGGGAATTGTGCAGTAATGGATATTGATTTATGCAATATACTGCAAATTGGAAAGTTTTGTTTATTATTGTTTGAAATGTTATTTGTTATGAAATCGGTCGATTTTCATTAGTTTGGTTTAAAGTATTATCGATCCACTTGGACGAATAGTCATTGGATTAAATATAAATGAGAGAAAAGTAGTAAATGTTTTATTTGTTATAATTATATAGTATCGATGTTTAAGTGAATATAAGGAACTAATTGAAAGAAGAAATAGACTTAAACTAAGTCGCTCCCAGAAACCTGGTTATCTTTAGATCACTCGCTGTATTTTAATAAGAGAAGTATTGAGTTCATTAGTGGCGTATTCACTGCTGCGTTATACTCTAGAAATTAATTCATTTGAGTTAAATTAGTTTCAGAGTCGTCCGAGGTTTTAGTGCGAAGTAATTTCACTTACCGACAGTATCTCCGTATGGGATGGAAACAAATCTGTTTTTTTATAATACCACGAATACTTATATCTATACAGCATATTTATTAAATTTATCTTGCCAGGACAAGATTCTTTCAGTGAGTTTTTCCATTTGAAGTAAATTCTCATCAAATGTAGCCTTCAACTCTAGTGTATCCTTCTGTGCTGATTCCTTTTGTTTACCATCTTCATTATCATCACCAATGAATGAAAATAACTGTAGTTTTTGTTGTTTCTCTTCTTCAAGCTCTAATTGAGAACGACCAAGCCATTCCAATATAGCCATTGTTCGTTTACGTAACTCATAAATTGACGAGTTATCATTAACATATCTTGGTTTTGATGGTTGTTGGATTAATTCTTCTTTTGTAAGAGTAGGAACTGCATTGTTTTCAACAGATGATTCTCGAGATTTCTTGGTGCTAGGTTTAGCTGATGATCCACGTGGTGGGGTTCTTTTCTTTCGTTTAACTGTTCGTGATTGATTAGAATTTGTTGTTATTTCTTCTTCTTCCTTTTCTTTCCCTTCTGTTGTTACTTCCTCTTCTTCCTTTGGTTTAACCTCTCCTACTTCGACATTGGATTCATTAACAGGAGAACTCTTTTGATTGGATTTTTCTGATTTAATACGTTTTGAGTCTTGATCATCAGAATCATTTGATCTTCTCTTCTTTAAAGAATCTGAACTGTCATCACCGCTTTTCTTAGTTGATCTTTTGGTGGTTTGTTCCTGTTCAAGTTTAACCTCATTGGTCTTGGTACTATTATCGTTGGCGTCTGATTCACTGACTTTCATTCCTGATTCTCTTGCACTTTCTCTCAAAGCTTTCTTTAATTGCTCATCATATTCCTCATCATCCTCACTATTATAAGGATGGTGATGGTGATGATGTCTTCTTTCCTTTCTTTTATCCTTATGTCCTCCTGCACCTTGTGGAGATGACCTCTCGTTCTTTGCTTTTCTCTTTGGTACTCCACTATCAACAGTTTCATTAAATGTCATTTGTTCTAATTTCTTTCTTTTATCATTAACTGGTTTGTACAAAGTTCTCTTGGAATATCCATCATATTTCACTAATATGTGTAATTCAGGTTTACACAATTCACACCAATATTTATCAGGAACATCATTGTTTTCAAATAACCCCACACAATATCCATGTTGCCAAACTGAACAATTTTCACACAGAATGAAAAGTCCTTGATCAATATCAATCTTATAATGTTTCTTTAAAAATGATGCTAATTCTTTGTTGATTGAATCATTAGTTAATTCATCATTTCCACAAATACATCTAGTTACTTCATTTTCGTCTTCTTCTTCCTCTTCAACAAGATCTTCTTCTTCATCTTCAATAATTATATCATCCTCCTGTGATGCATTTGTTGTAGTATCTGAAGTATACCCTCTTCTTCCTGCTCTTCGTGACATGATTCCTAAGTATAAATTTGTTGATTGTTTTTGGCAAATGTGAAAATTGTGTAATTGTTTTTTTTTATCGTTCACCATTTTTTTTTTGTTAGCTTTACTTCAGCCTGATTAAAGAGAAAAAAGAATCACGCTTATAATATCACGTGATAGTACTGCATATTGACCATTGATTGGTGTTAACCGATATTGAGCCAGTACATCTCTCTCTCTCCCTCCCTCCCTGACAACAGGAATTCTAATAGTAGACAATACGTGATAAGAAAATAACCCATATTATTCATCTTAGTTGTTGGCATGGCATTATCGTGTGTGTTTCATGTACTCGGGTATTCAAGTTCCGACCTTTTTTCCTCACCCCTGGAATTACTCTCGGATAATATAAACTCAAACACTATTTTTAAAACAATGAAAAATGATTTCATTCTTTATTAACGTGCCTTTCATGATTGGGTAGGTCATCAATTACTTCCAGCATATCATATTATATCATATCATCCGGATCAGCCTCAAACGTTATGGGTTGGAGTACATGCTTGGTTTTTGATGTACCGAAATGGTCCGTAAATACGTTTCTCCCCTTCCTCTTCTCTTGTTGTACCCTACTCCACTGTGCAGCAATTGTTTCTTTTCTTTTCTTGTCTTTACTTCAGGTCCATTTGGCGGCTTAAGTAAGTTTATTCTTTCTTTAGCTAGAGTTTTTGCGGTATGTTCGGTCTGTTGGATGAAAGCTTCTTGTAGACATTAAAGTCAAATTACCTTGAACAGCAAAACGATTAAGCCTCTATTCCTCCTCCTCCACCCCCCCCCCATCCTCCATGATACGTAAATTAAAGTTGCTGTGTATTTTCATATGGAAAGGATTTGCGGGATATTCTTGTCTTCTTTGTTTTCGTTATCAGAGCTTTGTGAGCTGAAATTTGATTACCCTTTAATTCCGTTCTCGTAGTTTCGCAAAACTGTGTTCCCTTCGGATATATTGGTCCATCGAGTTTTTCTTCATTTTCAAGATGTTTCATGCCAAATCATAACCACATTTATATTGGGCGAATTTCTTTAAATTGTTCATTCGTTTTTTGTTTTATTATTTTGGAAGATTTGTTCATTAATTACTTTCTTTAATTATCAATGCCTAGAAGGTTCCAAATTTTAAGAAAGTTTGTCAAGTATACCGTTTCAGGAATTGCGCTCACCGCGGTAGGTGCAACCTCGTTCCTCGGATACAAAATCTATCAAGAATCAAGACCAGTCCATCAAATAAAACAATCACCAACTTTTCCTAATGGTGAAAAGAAAAAATCATTAGTAATATTGGGTTCTGGTTGGGGTGCCATATCATTATTGAAAAATTTGGATACTACATTATATAATGTTGTTCTTGTATCTCCAAGAAACTATTTTCTTTTCACTCCATTGTTACCAAGTGTACCAACAGGAACCATTGATATGAGATCTATTATCGAACCAGTTAGAGCAATCACAAGTAGATGTCCAGGAGAAGTCTTATATTTAGAAGCAGAAGCAATTGATATTGATCCGACTCAAAACAAATTGACAGTACAACAATCAACTACCGTACATTCGGGTCATAGTGGTCAAAGTACCTCTTCAACATGTACTCGTATTGGTCAAGAACATGGAATGGACACTATCACCACTGATTTGAATTATGATTACTTGGTTGTTTCCATTGGTGCACAGCCATCTACTTTTGGTATCCCCGGTGTGGCTGAAAACTCGATATTTGTTAAAGAAGTAAATGATTCAGTTAAGATTAAAAAGAAATTGATTGATTTAGTAGAAGCTGCTAATCTATTACCTGAAAATGATCCTGAAAGAAAAAGATTATTACAAGTTTTAGTTTGTGGTGGTGGTCCAACTGGGGTTGAAACTGCTGGTGAGATCCAAGATTATATTGATCAAGATCTTAAAAAATGGATGCCTCAAATTGCCAAAGATATGAAAGTTACTTTAGTTGAAAGTCAACCTGTTGTTTTACATACATTTAGTCCTAAATTAGTTGATTTTACTAATCATATTTTCAAAGATACCAATATTAATTTGATTACTAATTCTAGAATTGTCGAAGTTGATAACACTCATGCTTCTATTTTTAACAAGAAAGATCATACAACCACCCCTATGCCATATGGGATGCTTATATGGGCAACAGGTAATTCTACTAGAAATTTTGTCCTGCGTTTAATCGAAACAATTCCTGAACAAACTAATAGAAGAGGATTTTTGGTAAATGGAAAATTAAAACTTAATGGGTCTCTGAATATTTTTGCATTAGGTGATTGTACAATAACTAAATATCCAGCAACAGCTCAAGTTGCATTCCAACAAGGTTGTTTCTTAGCTAAATATTTTGGTAAATTGCAAAAAGTGGAATCATTACGTTACAAGATGCAACATGATCAATCACAACAACCTCCAAGTGAATTCTCCTTAAAGAGATTACATAAATTAGAAAAGGCTTTACCGGAATTTGTTTACAATTACAGAGGTTCCTTAGCATATATTGGATCAGAAAAAGCCGTTGCTGATGTTGCTGTTGGTTCTTGGTCAAATGTCGCTGCTGGAGGAAATTTGACATATTTATTCTGGAGATCAGCTTACGTTATGATGTGTTTATCTATAAAGAATCAAGTATTGGTCTGTTTTGATTGGATCAAAGTATATCTCTTTGGAAGAGACTGTTCTAGAGAGTAGGACTTTATACATTTTATTTCATAGACTTTTTTTTTTATTTATATAAATGTATTAACTAGAGAATATATCATTACATTAGATTTACTGTATCGATGTTGCTATGTAAGTGGAAGTATGTTAGATTTAGAAGTGTATTTCACTTGAGCCAAGGAGATCTTTTTATCTTCCAAATCATACACTATGTAAGCTGATCTTAAAAAGTTATTACCAAGAATGTTAGCACTACTTGTTAAGATACTGAGTTGACATTTAGGATACAATTCTCCATTGATGGTATATAATTTAACAGCAAACTCAGAACTTGGTACGGAAATCTTTGAACTATTGGAAAATTCAAAATCAATGTTTCCTGGTAAGTCACAATCAACAAGATGTAAGGGATTACCTAAAGCATCATGAATTAGTTGTCCATTAAATTTGTCAACAACATGTTGCAATACATCTTGTTGAAGATATGTAAAAGTAGTACCTGAATCCAAAAGAACATCCATTGAAGCAGAAATATTTGTCACACCAATAGTAAGACTATTTAAATAGATTCTTAATTCTCTATTGGAAGTAACAGGCAAGTCGATTAATTTACCAGTATATTTAGCATTGTCAACCCCACCAAAAATTATCTCACCAGTTGTTGAATCTGATGAATTTAGGTAAAGTGAATAGGCACTTTTGGAAATTATCCCTTGTTTTTTCAAAGTGATGGGAACATTATCATAAGTAACATTAGAAGCTTCATTTGTTTTGAATCCAATTCCCATGACTCCCTGAGCAACAGAAGTCGATTTGACATTTGCAAATTGTTGGTTAGTAATAGTAATCCCACCAATCTTAATAGTATCCTTATACCAATTTCCCAGAGAATTGGTTTTATCTCCATAGCTAATATCAAAAACTGTTCCTAATTTTTTAGCAGAACTAGATGTAATTGGATCATACGTTCCATTTGCTTTACAAAAATCTTGCACTTGTTGTTCAAATCTACGAACACACGTGGCATTTTTGTCAACTACCCATAAATCAGAGGATCCAGTATCAATAATAACTGTTTGTTTCTGGTTATTTGAACCAATAGTTATCTCGGCCGCATAAGCTATTTGTTCCTTTATCAAAGTTACAGGAACTGGTTGTCTTTTAGAAACAATGATATTCTCATTGGGAACGATATTCTTTTGCGTTTTAATAATGTCAAAGTCTAGTGCAATGAAACCAGGAGGTGAAGTTATAGGAGAAGCAGTGACAAGTAATCCAAACACAAGGGAAACTACCAACTGTGATAAAAACATGTCAACGACTAGATGAGGAATAATAAAACCGTAGAATCATCAACATTGAAGAAATATTAACCTGTTTATATATATAGTGGTCAACAATACATTCCAATGGGTATTGGATCGACAAAACGAAAAAGGATCAACGTGTTAAAGAATACATATTTTTGGAAAAATCAACCAATGGATGGATATTAATCATTGAATCCTTTCGAACAAAGGGAGAATGAATGCATGTATGTGTGTCAATTTGTAGGCGATTGTTTTGACATGGAATTAGTTTGACAGATTAGACTGTAGTCATATGCGTGTGTGTGCGATTTGTTGGCAGTAAATTTTGATATTAAATTAACTATAATCATTCTTCAACTACTGTAATATATACCAAATCCGTCATAGTGTAAGTGATTATTCGAGTGCAAGCTGACAGAGACCATTTCTCGATCTCATTTCAACTTTTAATTTTTTTCGGAAAATTTCGCAGTAAAACGCAGCCAAAATAATACGTCATACAAATCTCCAACCACGATTTCTACAATTGTTTTTAGTCAACACTGATTTTTCTTTAATAAATATATATAAAAATATAACATATATGAAACTAATAGACAATGAAGTAAAAGTTAAAAAAAAAGGGGAGAACGCATAAATGATGAAAAAAAGAATAATAATAACCTTATCGTTTCTAATGACCGACAGTCAACGTACCATCTCTATCATAAATACCTGCATTTCTAATATATGGATCTAATTGAATATAATTTTTGGAGATTGCCACATTTAAATCAATCTTATCTCTCAAGTATTTTTCAGATACTTGAGGGTTTGTAGATTCAATCCATCTCTTGGTAGTTTCAACAAATCTAACAAACAATTCATCCCTTTCTCTTCTTAATCTAACAAATTCAGCATCCTTTTGTTTTGGTGGAAATTCGTCTTTTGGTTCAGGAATTGGATAGAATCCACGGGTAGTATCTTCACCACCCAAATAATCTGGAATCAAAGTTGGATCAATGAATTTAGACAATTCTTTAGAATCTTTGGTGAAATGGATCTTGGAGGCAACAACTGGATCTAACCAACCTTTAATGATGTTCCAAACAGTAGAGAAAATCCATGGAGCATTGTGAATCAAAATGAAACCAAGAGTTTCTGGATAATGGGCTTCAAAAACATCAGCCAAAAACTTGATGGTGGAGTAATCGGCATTCTTAAGTGAGAAACCAGTCAAATCAAAGACAATGGTACAAGTATCAACAGATTCACTAACTTCTCTTAAAAACAATCTAACCCATTCAATAGTAACAATGGCATATCTTTGGTTTTGTTCCAATGGAGAATCAGCAGTGAAATGCTTCTTGGCTTGAAACATGAAAATTGGGTTATTGTTCTTATCTCTGCCTTTGATCCAGGATTTTTCAGTGGTGAAATTATGAACAAACCCTTTATTAGTTCCGTTAAGATAGGATGGGGCATCACCTTCCATGGCCCAGATATCAGCTGGGAAATCAGTACTTCTCCAATGCAAGGATTTGGACATCATCTCAATGGCTCTTTCACTATCCCACTTTCTTGCTCTGATAAAACGTAATAGAAGATTATCAATTAAATCGTTACGAGGAACTCTGCAAATAGCTTGATGCTGTTCCTTTGGATTGTATTGATTAAGGAAAGTAAGTGGACTGCGGCCAGTATTGACATGAACAGGATAGTTAAGGGTAGCTTCATGAAGAGAACGTCCTCCAGATGATGAGAATCCTGATTGTTGGTATTGCTGCTGCTGTTGCTGCTGTTGTTTACCAGGGTGACCAATTCTACCACCATATGTATTACCATTGGCTCTTCCATTGTTCTTAAAAATCAGAGCTGGCAAATCATCATAATCAGTTAAGGAAGTAGAAGCAGTAACAAAAGTTTCCATAGAGTTGATTGATGCAGCATCATCATTTCCATAGTATCCATTACCATTGGAGTAACCACCACCACCGACAGCAGAATCCAAACTTGGGTCATAATCATCGGAATATTCATAACTTGCCTTGAAATGGTGAGCATAGATAGCAAAGAATTCTTCACTTGGTCTGTCTACTGGGACATATCTTTCTGAAGATGATTGTGATTGGATTTGCATCATTCTTTTGGAATTTGCTGGTGGAGTACCAGTCAGTTGGTTACTGACACTGGCATTCATGGCCGATGCGGATGATTTCTTGGAACCAAACAAACCTCTCTTCTTTTTGGATGCAGTGCTTGTTGTAGAATTAATTGAACCTCTAGTGTTTGTCTTTGATAAACCTAATGTTGGAATAGCTTGTGATTCATCAAAATTGGCAGTTGAAGTAGAAGCAACAAAACATTGTTTATAAGCCAAATCTTGATCCGAAATATCAATTGGATAACCGTAGAACTTCAAAAAGTATGCCCAGACTTGTTTCAAGGTAACTTCTTGTTCACCATTAAGGGTTTGAATTCTCTGTAAACGGTATTTAACGTTTTCAGAAGTCATTGTGGGTGGTCGATATAGTTATTCTAAAGTGCCAATTATTAAAGAACAGCTGTTGTTGTAAATTTAATTTTTTTTTTTACCTCCTTGATTTGAAAAGGACCAACTTTAAATTTTCGTTAATAATTTTTTTTTGTTGTGTAGTTTTTTTTTTGCTGTTGCTTATGAAATTTTTTTTTCCACCAAATCTTGAAGAATTATCAAAAGGGGAAAAAGTTTAGATTTCGTAGGCGGAGCAAGAAAATGCAAAAAAAAATCAAAATTTAAATCAATGGGAGGAAATGATTAATTTGTAAGTCAATTGGTTGGGTTTCTATTTTTTCACTTTAATCAATTGTGTTGTTATTGTTGTTGTGAGTAGTGTTTCAGGTAGTGAAGTGCAGATTTAAGGTCAGATGATTTAATCAGTCGTTTAGGTAGGTTGATTATTTGTATTCCGAATTAACCACAATGTAAGTAGAATTCCAAAATCTGAGAAATGAAAAATATAAAAGGAGATGTTTCTTTTGATAAGAAGAGTGATAAACTAAAAGAAGTATGTTTATTTATTATCTTTACAACTGGAGAGTTTGTGGTGGTATTTATATATCAACAAGATTTACCGTTTATCAATTTACAAAAATTGAGGAGCAAGTTGGAGACGGAACGATAATTATCACATTCTCAAGTTAAAAATCTATTAAACCCAAAAAAAAAAAATAAAAATTCCAAAAAAGTGAAAATCCATATTTCATTTCTTTTTTGCTTTTGTCTATTTTTGTTCATTAGTTAGGGGGTGGTTATTGACTAACGCAACAACAATATAATTATACAACATAAGAATTAATAGGCAAAAAAAATTCATTACCTAATTAAGGAAATCTTATGTCACGAGTACGTAGTTTGTATACAGGATGTTGGGATTATCTCTTGAAATAGGTGGGTATGCTTATTGTTTGCTAGTTTATTTCTCCACATTTCATTCACCATAACCATCAAGTGTTATTGCTAGAACTTTTGATACACATGAAAGTTCCAACAGCATCAAACGTGTATCAGATATGTGTAGTCTAATTGACGATTTCGTCACAATTGCTTGTATTATCATCATTCACGTGGTTTGCGTGCTAGCAAAAGTATATATATATGAAACAAGCGAAACCCCCTCTATATTATACAATGACTTTTCTTTTCCTATTCTTGTGACCATTATAGAAACTCTACTCATTGATATTCTAGAATTACTATAATGTTGGTGCTCACTAATCGTCGCACGCCTTGTAATACATTATTACTTGCAGTTTTAATAATAATAGCAATCAATAATAAATGGTTGTTCCTACGTTATATTTCGTTCATTTCCTATTTGGGAAATCAAGGTTGGATTGTCTTTTTTTTATTTTTTCTTTTTTTAACCTTGTCAATTGGTATACATCCCGCGGTCCATATTCATCTCTCTCATTTTTGTTTGTTTGTTTGTTTTATATTACTGTAAGCACCTATACGTATTATCTCCTAGTGTTGCATATTATAATCTGTCTTTTTATATGACACTCATTTCATGTTTCCAAAGTTTGTGGCGTACAAAATACGTGTGTCATGATAAATTTGCCTTTTCGAGAGTTTGTGTTTATATCAGACCTATTGATGTTAAATTATAGATGCAAATTCAATTGATATCAAGGGTTAATGGACACAATATCTACTTACTTGCTCATGTCCATAACCTTATTCTACGTTTACCCACGTGATATCATTCACGTGTTATTGATGAGAGAAAATTGATATTTTTGCACAAAATTAAAATGACACATGTAAATTATTTCTCTCTATGTGTGTGTGTATGTGTGTGCCTGTTTAACACCGATACTCTCCACCTTCGATAAACCCCACTTTTTCAGAGACTCAATCGGAAATAAGCCATGCATGTCGGCATTCATTTCTAAAACAACATAGTATTATAATACAGTATAAAATGTTCTATACAAACTAAAAAGAAAACATATCTATCCACCTTGACTCCTCATTATCTTCTTCTAGATCTTGGTTGGATAATTCTACGTGGATTCACCACTGGTGTAGGGACACCACCATTGATAGTTGGAGCACCATTAGCACCACCAAATGTAAATGAGTTATTTGCAGGATTACTAGTAGCACCAAACATGTTTGGCTGTTGTTGTGGCTGTGTCTGTGGTTGTGCTTGTTGACCAAACATATTATTGTTCATAGTATTACCGAATGGGGTGGAACTAGCACTTCTATTGGCATTATGTTGACCAAAAATAGTTGCAGGATCAGGTGTAGATTCTTTGCTACCTGTAAAATTAAACAGCGGCACTCCACTTGGTAATGGAGCAGGCATTGCAGGATTAGTGCTACCAGCAGGATTGGTTGCACCTCCAAAGTTAAATGTAGGTGTTGCAGGTCTACTTCCAAATGCAGTATTAGCAGGACCTGTTGTTATATTTGTAGCCAGTTTACTACCAAACATATTACTAGATTGACCAAAAGTGTTGTTATTGCTTGATGACGACTGCCCAAAGACACTAGGTGGAGCAGATTGTCCAAATGCGCCTCCTGCATTGTTAGATTGTCCAAATGCACCTCCTGTATTGTTAGATTGACCAAATGCTGGACTTGCGCTAGTAGCACTTCCACCAAAAGCAGGTGTTTGGCCGAATCCACCAAATGTTGGTGTAGATGAACTGGCTGGTGCGCTGAAATTGAACAGTGGCTTGGCTCCAGATGGTGGTGTGATTCCAGCTGCAAATTTAAAGTTTGGATTTCCTACTGGTGGAGGAGTTGGTTTACTTGCAGTATTGAAGGAAAAGGCTCCCACATTTGGAGCATTGGTAGCGTTATTTGTAAGTGTAGACCCTGGCCCTGACCCTGACCCAGGAGCAGGAGCAGGAGTTGATGTAGCAACAGATGGAGTGCTTGGAGTACTAGTATTCTTTTCAGTGGTGTTGGCTCCCAAATTAAATGCAGGCTTCGAATTACTACTAGTGGCACTGCCAAATGAAAACAGAATTGGCTGTGGGGTGGTCGATGCTGGTGTTTCAAAATCAACCTTTTTGGTAACAGATTGTTGGTTTTCATTCTTGTCCTTCTTTTCGGTTTCAGTTTTTGCATTATCATCGTCAAGTTGACGTTTTTGGGATTTGTCATTACTAGTTCCAAACTTGAATGTGCTTCCTGCCAGAGTTGCCGTGTCGGTTTTACTTTGAGGAAGTGAGAATAACCCTGATTTTGGTTGTTCATCCTTTTTGTCATCTTTCGCTTGGACACCAAAAGAAAATGGAGTTGGTGATGCTGTATTTGGTATAGATGGCGTTGAATCTTTTGATGTGGCACCGCTGAATGAAAATAATGGTTTTGCTTCATCTAGTTTAGGCTTTTCTTCTTCCTTCTTGTTAGCAGTCAACGAAAAAGATATACTTGGAGTATCTTTTTTGTCATCAAGAGATGCAGGAGTGGATTCTTTCTTTCCACCAAATGAAAATGTAGGTGCTGTTCCAGCATCTTTCTTTGGTCCACCAAAACTGAATAATGGTTTTTCCGATTCTGAATCCTTCTTGTCTCCAAATAAAACTTGTTTTGGTGCATCTGTTGTTTTCTTCTCTTCTGTTGAACCAAAACTAAACAAGCTTGATGTTTTTGGTTCCTCTGATTTTTCCTTGTTATTATTAAGCAATAACTTTGGTTCTTCGGGAGTAGCTGTCTTTCCAAAAGAAAATTTAGGGGCTTCTTTTGTCTGGGCTGGTTGTCCTCCAAATGAAATTTTGGGTGGTTCTTTGCTATCATTATCAGATTTGGTGAATAACGAAGGTTGCTCTGGTTTCTTGGATCCACCAAACAGGAACAGCGGCTTTGAGTCGTTACTGAACAAACTTGTCTTTTCTTCTGGTTTCTTTTCCTCAAACAAACCACTTTTGGTTGATTTAGTATTTTCAAGCATTTTGTCGTTTTCTTTTCTTGCATCCAAAACTTCTTTAAAGTCATCTTTCTTAATGTTGAATTTAAATCCAGAAGATGGACCAACAGAAACTTTCTTTGTCTTATTTGTCTCTTCCAAATTATCTTTGAGCTTGATGATATCCGATATCGAATCAGTTTGTTTGATATAATTATCATCCAATTTCAAAGTACTAGTATCCTCTCTGCCAAATAAATCACGGTTACCAGTTCCGCTTGGTTTGGCAAACTTTTTCGAAATTGGTTCTTCATCTTCTCTGGGGATAATACGAGTTATTTTCTTGTCTTCAACAATAGTCAGATCTTTAAATTTAGGTTTACTGACTTCACCTAAAACTCCATTCAAAGAAGAAGTAGAAACAACTGGTTCTTTGGGCGTAATATCATATTCTAAAACTGGCATTGCAAATCCTCTACGCTTTTGTTTCTTCAAGGGACGTTGTTGAATTAAACTATGAGGTTCGGATTTCCTTTTGAAACTTAACTTTGTATTCAAATAATCAATGTCATGAGTTTGAGTCGAAGTTTCAACTTTGTTAGTTCCTTTGATCTTCCTGCTTTGTGTCTCATTAGGATTCACCATATACTTTATTCTACTTTGTAAAGCTTCTGATGTTTCAATAGAACGTTTTAACTGTAACAACTGGTATCTTTCTCTTGGGTCCAAATTAATGAACGGTGGACGAACAATATTCCCACTTTCATCTTGGTACAATGGGGCATACTCAATCACTTCTTGGAATTCTGCAACATTTCCATTATCATCTTTCTCTTCTTCAACTGCTACTTTCTCATCAATTTCACCACCTCCAAGAATGATATCAGAATTTGGTGCCGGAGGCAAGTCCAACAAAGGAGAATCATCACGGTCGTTGGTGCTACTTTGTAATTCTTTGGCTGTAACTCTAACCTCCAAATCATTGTTCAATTCCTCTTCGTTTGTCTTAACCCCATTGTAGATGATCAGGTATGATCTTTGACGAGGCAAGAATTGTGCACTATAAGCAACAGAAGATCTTGGGATTTGCTGAGGAGAAGGATGCCCCTGGATAGATAATCTTCTTCTTTTATCTGATGGTGTGAAATTAGTTAAAGAATCATTATCAATATTAACCTCAGCTGGTGATTCATTTGGTTGTGAATCGTTATCTTTAGTTTCTGCAGTTGGAGATGGGGATAAGAACGATTGTTTAAATTTTGAAAAATATGATGAAAGTGTGGATCTTTTCTGTTCATCAGAACCATCTTTTGTGAAAGATGACTCTGTATTTGGACTAAGAGATCTTTTCCTATTAATTGGCATTGATGCGTGGTTTATAAAATTGGTAAATGGTATACCTGGTAATAATGATGATCCTGATCGATTTTGTTGATGATGACGATGACGATGACGATGATGATGATCTCTATAATTTTTTTTTTTTTTTTTCGTTCTTTATTTTGCTTTCCCATTTTGTTTTTTGTCTTTTTTTTTGTTGTTGTTGTTGTCTCTTCATTGCTTTCCATCAACTTTTCTTTGGCCGGTTGGGTGAACGATTCCTCCCGCGCGCGTTAAATTCCTACCAGTAATGAGAATTTTCAATTCCCAACATCCATCAAGACTCGTTGAAGATTCAATCCTAGATATCCACACTTTGTAGGACACACCACACTAATATCGCAGCAATGATACGACGCTCACCACTAAGGAGATCAACACTATGTCATATTAAATATGTCTCCACTGTCCTGTCAAAGACTATAGAATTTCCAAAATTGGATGAAAAATGGAAAAATGCATGGAAGGAACAATCCCCAACAAATTCACTCCACCCAACCAAGCACTTGATTCCTAGTGATGCTGAGACTTTTTATTCTTTGTCAATGTTTCCATACCCTTCAGGGGTTCTTCATTTAGGTCACCTTCGTGTGTATACAATCAGTGATGTGGTGGCTAGATTCAAAAGATTAAATGGATATAACGTGATTCATCCAATGGGATGGGATGCCTTCGGATTACCAGCAGAAAATGCTGCAGTTGAAAGAAATATCAATCCAGCAGAATGGACAGAAATGAATATTGCAAAAATGAAACAACAAACGGAAATTTTCCTTGCGGATTTTGATTGGGAAAGAGAAGTTAATACATCATCTCCAGAATATTATAAATGGACCCAGAAGATTTTCTTGATGTTATTTGAAAGAGGTTTAGCTTATCGTAACTATTCGGAAATTAATTGGGATCCTGTTGATCAAACTGTTCTTGCAAATGAACAAGTTGATGCCGATGGAAGATCATGGAGAAGTGGTGCAATTGTTGAGAAGAAATTTTTGAAACAATGGTTCATTCGTATTACTGAGTATGCTAAGGAATTGAATCATGATTTGAAATATTTGAATAATTGGCCAAGTAAAGTGAAGACTATGCAAAAGAATTGGATTGGTGAATCGACTGGTACTGAAATTGTCATTCCTTTAGATTCTGGATTTGGTGATGTTAAAGTGTTTACTTCTAGACCAGATACATTGTTTAGTTTACAATTTGTTGCTTTAGCTTTGAATCATCCAATTGTGGAAAAATTGGCATCTGAAGATCCGGAATTGGCAAAATTCATTGAAGAAGCAAAACAAATAGATGATCCAACTTCAAAGATTGGATATAAATTGAAAGGGGTAAAAGCATCTATTCCAATTGATGTGAACAACCAAGCTCAAAAGAAGTTTGATATTCCAATCTACACTGCTCCTTATGTCTTGGGTGACTATGGACATGGTGCAGTGATGGGGTGTCCTGGTCATGACGAACGTGATTTTGAATTTTGGAAATTGCACGAACCTGAAACCCCAGCTACTCAGATAGTGGCTCCTAAAAAATCTGATGACTCTAGTTATCCATATGTTGAAAAAGTTGGTACTTTACAAGATAGTACTGTTTTGCCCCATGGTTTGAAAACAATTGGGGATTATAAAGGGAAGTCTGTGAAAGAAGCTATGAAATTGATCACAAAGAATTTAGAATACCATGGTTTGGGTAAATCATCGACCCAATTCAGAATTAGAGACTGGTTGATAAGTAGACAAAGATACTGGGGTGCACCAATTCCTATTGTTCATTGTGATGATTGTGGACCTGTTGCAGTTCCAGATGAACAATTACCTGTCTTGCTTCCAACAATTAAAGGTCAACATTTTGGTAAAGGTAACCCATTAGAGAAAATTGAAGAATTTGTAAATACTGAATGTCCTTCCTGTGGAAAACCAGGAAAACGTGAAACTGATACCATGGATACATTTATGGACTCCTCGTGGTACTTTTTCCGTTACTTGGATCCTAAAAACAAAAAATCGTTACTTGACCCAGCCGCTGCAAAGAATATGCCAGTTGACCTTTACATTGGTGGTGTTGAGCATGCAATTTTACATTTGTTGTATTCAAGATTTGTTAGTAAGTTTTTAAGTGACTGTGGTATTTGGAATGGTGAACCTCATCACAAAGAACCTTTCCAAAAATTAGTCACCCAAGGTATGGTTCACGGTAGAACATTTACTGATCCAACTAATGGTAGATTTTTAAAACCAAATGAACTTGACGTCACTGATCCACAAAATCCAGTCATCAAGTCAACTGGTGAAGTACCAAATGTGTCGTTTGAAAAAATGTCCAAATCAAAATACAATGGGGTTGATCCAGCTGAATGTATTGGAAAATATGGTGCTGATGTAGTTAGAGCACAAATGTTATTCCTGGCTCCAGTTTCAGATACACTTAATTGGCAAGAAGAACAAATTGCTGGTACCGACAGATGGTTACGCAGAGTAATTCAATTGAGTGATAATATTGTTGGGGCTACCTACAAATTAGATGAGCAAACGGCTCCTCATTCGTTCATGGGACTCACTCTCAATGGTAAAACTTATGATAATATCAAATTTACCTCTGAAGAATTGAAGCTTTATAATGAAATTCAATCTTATGTTCAGTCAATTACCAAATCCATAGAAGTTGACTTTTCATTGAATACAGTCATTTCAGATCTTATGAAGATGACAAATGCCATTTCAAATGCTGTCAAGTCACCAGAGCAGTTCAATCAAGACTTGGTCTTTGATTGTTACAAGAAATTATTGGTATGCATGGCCCCAGTTACTCCTGCAACATCAGAGGAGTGTTGGGAAAGGTTTTCAATTAATCAAGGTATAAGTCAACCAAAATCCATTTTCTATGAAAAATATCCAAATGATAAACCAATTGAATCTAACTTGATATCATTCAATATCTTCATTAATGGTAAACATCGTGGAACTATTGAATCTGATAAATCATTAATTGCTAAGACAGATGATGAAATTATTAATGAAATTTCACAGATTGAACAATTTTCCAACTTTATCAACGGAAAACCATTTAGAAAACTTATTAAAAAGCCTGGTATGATAAGTATCGTCTTGTAAATATTATTTTATGTGTATGTGTATATATTATTAATCATTATTAAACAAACATTACAAACATCTATATCATTGTATCATATTTTCATATTTTCATATTTTCTGTTTTTTAAACAATTCTAACTATTTACATGGTATTGAAAGGTAACTCTATTACAAATTCTTTAGTAGCCTCTCTTCATTACATATTTTTTATAATCGTTACTTTTTATTTTACCGTGATGTTTAACTTGGTTACTTTGAGCAATTTTTCTAACGGCAGCTGCCAATTCTGAACTTCCAAGATTTATAGCAGCGGTATTAAGTGGAACCAATTGTTTCCAACCCCATGGGAACCTGTCAACAGACAGTAGTACTACTGAATAGGCATCTTCTATCAAATTCATCTTGACATAACAATAGACTAATTTCTCAGCAAATTGGAAATCTTGTTTAGTTTGCTCCTTTGATGATAATTTTTTAAACATGTTTGATTTTCTAAACTGACCTCTTTCTTTGATTATTTCTTGTGCAAAATCAAATTTCTTAAACTTGCCAGCGGCGTCAAGTGCGATTTGATAAATCATAGAATCTCTTGGTGCTTTATGTCTGTTGTCTTTGAGATGTCCCAGTAATTTATTAAGAATTGGTGACTTAACAAGGCCTGTATCATTTTCATTAGGTTCAACAACCTGTAATTCTGAATCTGGTGACTCGGTCTCTTCATTTGGTTCAATAATTTCAATTTCTCTGACTTTAGGAATACCTTCATCATTCAAATAAGTGCTCTCATTCAACCTATCTTTGAAGTCATTGAATTCACCAAGTTCGTAAGCAATGTTCAAGTATGGAGCAGCAACATGGGGATTATTAACAAAACTTGGATTATGCATTATAGTATACGCCCAAATGGCACTTGACTCGGCCAATATGAATTTACCATCTGGAATTCTTGATGTTGGTAAAAATGGGAACCCGTGAATGGGTTTGCTAAAATCAACATTGGCCATAATATTTTGCTTGAATAGTCTACCATTTTCAGTCAAGGAAACCAAGAATGGTTCAGTTCTTGATGTAGGGGATTGGTAATTTGCATAGGCTAGCATCAATGAGATAAAGGCACTAGGAGTAACCGAATTGGTTTCCAACATTTTGTAGAAAAGGGCTCTAGTCAACTCAACATCACCATCTTTAGCAGAAATATAAAGCATATGTTCAAAGGTTTGCAAAGTAGGCGTCCATCCATATTCGTAAATTTGGAATAAATGGTTCCAAGCCTGAAACTTGTGTTGTCGACTTCTAGCACATCCTTTAGCCAAGGCAGATAAAATGCTTTGATTAGGTTTGACATTATTATCTCTCATTTCTTGTAATAAATCCAATCCCTTATCAATGTCATCATTCATCATACAGGAAATAATAATCTGAGCGTAAACTTTTGCATCTGGTTTGGTTGACTCGGATAAAAACTTCATTGAGTCAAAGACTTCTATAGCCCGACGGTGATCCTTAGTATAGTAAACATAACTTGATAAAATTGACTTGTATATTGACTTCAGAAGTGGCAAATTTTTAGCTTTCATGACTCCTAAGACCTCTTCGATTTTTTTCTTGTTCTTGTTTTTAACATATACGGCAATCTTTGTTTCATAATGATCCATTTTCAACTCTGTTTGTTTTTCAATTTCATTGAAATAACCTTCAATAACTTGTATCTGTGTATCTGAGATCGAAGCTCCTAATGACAATGCTCTAATAAACGAGTAATAAGTATTGTAATGCACTGACACCCCTGCCTCATGGTACATATTTTCGATAAAAGGGATTAGATTTCTTAAAGATCGTAATGGAATCTTATTCACAAACAGTCTTATATCTACTTCTGACAACTCTTTGAATCCACCAGCTGCATTCAACTGTGTCAATAAAATATTCCATTTATCGTTTCGAGTCTTTTCTGGTAAATTAGAAGTGGATTCTCTCAGAACCAATAAATCCGAGACCAAGCCTAATCTTTGATTGATTTTCTCTGGGAATGATAAACTAGGTGGTAATGCTTTTGGATGTTTCTTCATTTTGCCCTTCAGATCAGAAATTTCTTGAAATATATCTTCCGTAGCCTCATCGATATCAATAGGTGGCAATTCCGTTGAGATCTTCTTCGTTGTTGTTAAAGAGTCAATATCTTTTGGCTCGATATACTCTGACACATCTTTTGCTAAACTTCGAAGTTCCCTTAAATCTTTCTTTGCCTTTGCAATAAGTGATTTATCAATTTGTGGTTTCTTTTGATGAGCTTCATCTTCCATAATCTTAGGTGTAGACTTTACTCTTGGCTTGGCTCGTATCACATTCTTTTTCTTTGAATCAGTAAAACTGTTACTAGGCACAAATAAATAACGCCTTGGTATTATCAGTAAACATTTGTTTCTGGTGTGCCTTAGCATTGTTCTTGTAGTTGTAAGATTCAAATAACTCTATCTGCAAAATCAACTGAAAAAAAAAAAAAAAAAAAAAAAAAAAAAAAATTTTCAATGTGCGCTGCACCATCAATATGAAATCAGTACAAGTAGGTTGGAGGGATGGCATTAAATTTTACGCTCAAGGGTAACATTGCATTGAGGATTACTTCTTTGTCAATGAACATAACATAATGAAATATTGTCTTATTTGTGTTCTAAGATTATATTAACCTTACATGACATTGCTCAAACGAACTCATAGAAGCTTGTATGTAGATGTAGATTACGTAAGAATGTATGCCCTGCCATAGTAAAAAAAAACCCTGGTGTAGTGTAGTGTTTGTTTTTGGCTTTTGTTGACGCAATAGACAAATAATACGAGACGAGAATTTTTTTTTTCTACGTCCTTAAAAGAAAATCAAAAAAAAAAAAACTGGAAATGAAAATGAAAATGAAAAATGAAAACAAATACTTAAATTGCCCAACCCAATACAAGACCATAAACTGTTTGGACAAGACTGCAATACCAGCTTATGCTATTACAATTCACTATTTAGATGTCTCATTCAAGTAGCAATAATAATTTAAAGATACCGCCGGTGTCGTCGTCAAACCAGGCAGCCAATCTGTCGTCCGACCATCATCATCATGATCACCATAGACAACGTTCCATTTCAGCTGCCACGATAAATCCAGAAACAGGTACATTGATGAACAATGAACAGATGGTTTCTAACTCATCTACCAATATAACTTCAAATTTGAGAACAGCGGCTACTACTAATGTTGATATTCCTCCAGACATGGCCATTCTATTGCAAAAATTGGACGAAGACTTTTTGGTCAACAAAGTTATTGACCAATGGACATTTATAAACAGAAGAGAAGAAATCATGCAATCAATCAATCGATTACACCAGAAACTGCAGCAAGATGAATTTTTACAACTTGATCCCACACAGCTAGAACGTCCTTTAAATCCACGAAAAGCAACCAGCGAATGGCAGGAATTGAGTCCTCATAGTTTGATGGATATATTGGCCTATAGAGGAACAATCTATAAAACAGACTTGGCTTTCATAGTTTTGGACTCTAAAGGTAAGGAAGTCAATTCTATAAGTTGGGAGAAGTTATACTTGAAAGCAGTTAAAGTGGCTTATGAAATTCAACACAAAATGAGTATGAAGAATTCAGATACAGTGGTTTTATTGTACAAGGATGGTGAAGTCGCTGAATTTGTGGTTGCTTTATTTGGTTGTTTTATGGCCGGAGTAACTGCCATTCCAATCCATCAAGATATATCGTTGAGTGAGGTGTTGAACATCATAAACTTGACTTCGTCCAAATTATTGCTTTACTCAGAAACTGTTGCAAAGGAATTGGATAGATTGACTACTCAAAATCTGAGAATTTCTTGGCCATCAAAGCTCACCCGATGGAGAACAACTGACTTTGGGTCAGCCAAGAAGTCTGAAGTGTCCCATTGGAATTCTAAACAACAAAAATTGAAAAAAGAAAACAAAAGTGCCAATGATTCCAATTTGGCTTATGTGGAGTTTTCCAGATCGCCGGTGGGTGAGTTGAGAGGGATAGCCTTGAGTCATAGAACAATACATCATCAAATGCATTGCCTTGATGCAACGCTTCTGTCTCTACCGAATTCGGGAGGTGGTCTTCAAAGAAGCTACAAGAAATACCAGGCGGATAAAAAAGTGGTGTTGGCTACGCTAGATATAAGGTTCTCTATTGGTATTATTCTCGGGGTGTTGTTTGCTGTGTATTCTGGTAATGTTCATATCTGGGCGCCTCAAAGGGTAATGGAAGTCCAAGGGTTATATGCCAACTTAATTTCAAGATGCAAAGCGTCATTGTTGTTGGCTGATTACTTTGGTTTGAAACGAGTAACATATGATTACCAGCAATCACCAAGTGCCACGAGATATTTTTCAAAGACCCAACGTGTTGATTTTTCGTCTGTCAAGTGGGTTTTAGTGAATGCATTAACTATAGACGGGGAATTTATGGAAATCTTGTCACAAAGATATTTGCGTCCCTTAGGATGCCAACGTCCAGATAATGCCATTATCCCTATGTTAACTTTGAGTGAATATGGTGGTATGGTAATTTCACTTAGAGATTGGATTGGAGGTAAAGACAAGTTGGGAATTCCTATTCGCGATGAAGAGTCTAGTGATCTTTCGTCTGTTTTGATAGATAAAGATGCACTTTCGCGAAACATTGTCAAAATTGTTGAAACCAACCCTTCGGCAAACGACGATATTGCACCGGATCTTTTAAGAGTCGATGCATTTGGGTATCCGTTACCAGACGCTACATTAGCTGTTGTGAACCCCGAGCTGTCCATTTTGGTGAACAAAGGTGAATTGGGAGAAATTTGGATTGACAGTCCTTGTTTATCGGGTGGTTTTTATGGTTTGAGAAAGGAATCGAAGCTGATTTTCCATGCAAAATGCCGTGGGGCCAATGGTTTCTTGGATATGGATTTTTTGAGAACCGGTTTGTTGGGGTTTACTTATAATGGGAAAGTGTACGTTCTTGGATTGTATGAAGATAGAATACGACAAAGAGTTAGTTGGATTGATCAAGCATTGTATCAGAAAATGAATAAAGAGTTTGTTATTGGGACCGGATCACGATACCATTATTCATCACATTTGTTAGCAACATTGGCAAGTGAAGTGAAGCAAGTTTATGATTGTACCATTTTTGATATTTTCATTGGTAATGAATATTTACCGATTGCAATTGTTGAAGCTGAAGTTGTTAGAAAACAGGTTGCTGAAGATGCAAGCACAACCGATGTTTCCACTTCAGGAGGTGCAAAATCCAGACTTGAGCTGGATTATGTTGGTGGGGTTCCGCTTAATGAATCTGTATTGAATGCCATTGCCCAAAAGTGTTTTGATGCGTTGTACAGAAGACACTTTTTGCGATTATATTGTGTGTTGGTTGTTGATTGTGATACTTTACCCAAGATCATGAGAAGTGGGGGTCGAGAAATTGCCAACATGTTGTGTAAGAAAAAATTCCTCGAAGGATCTTTGAGAGCTGATTTTGTTAAATTCTTTATAAGAAACTCGATTAGTATGATACCTCATGGTGAAGATATTATCGGCGGTATTTGGTCACCAATTGTTTCAGACATACGAGACACGACACTTACAACTTTTCCTGACCAATATTCCACCATTGACTATAGAGAAAAATCTATTGACGACAAAACGGGTGCTCCTTTAACTGATTTCAAAACCATTATTGATATCTTGAAATTTAGGGTTGCTAAATCCGGTGATTCAATTGCATTCCACAATGTTGACAATAATGGGAAATCCAAACCTTTAACGTGGAAAAAATTTGAAACGCGTGTTTACGCCGTGTGTCAATATTTAATTGAAAAGGCAAACATAAAAGCTGGTCAATATGTTATCCTTATGTATTCTCTTTCCGAAGAGTTTGTGATTGCGGTATATGCCTGTTTGATGTGTGGTATTATCCCAGTTCCAATGTTGCCATTTGATTCCAACAGAATTGGAGAGGATTTCCCGGCGTTTGTTGGTGTGATCAGAGATTTCGATGTGTCGGAAATTTTGGTTAATGATGAGGTGGAAAAATTCTTGAAGAATGGTCCTGTTGCAGATTCATTAAAGAAAATCGCTCACAAGAGAGTCAAGTCATTGAAGATAAAAAATACTGTAAAGCTATCGAAAGTGTCTAATTTGGCTTCATTAAACTCCAAGATTGCTAGCTATCAAGCTGCCGTGAATTTCAGAGACGACAACACTACTGCGATGGTTTGGTTAAATTTCACTTCAGACCATTATCGTGTGGGTGCAACTTTGAGTAACAAGAACATCATTGGGGTGTGTAAGGTATTTAAGGAAACCTGCAACTTGAGTTCCCAGTCTTCAATTGTGGGATGTGTTCGACACGCTTCTGGAATTGGGTTTGTACAGGCCTGTTTGTTGGGGGTCTTTTTGGGCACAACTACATATTTGAGTTCGCCAGTTAGTTACGCTGAGAATCCATTGCAGTTCTTTTTGACTCTTGCAAAGTATAAAGTGAAGGATGTTTTTGTCACCGAACAAATGCTTAAATATGCAGCAATCAAGTTTAATCCAAAGGGATTCAATTTGTCAAACTTGAAGAATATGATGATCAGTACAGAGAATAGAGTCGAAATCGATTTATTGAGAAAGATTTCCAAAGTATTTCAACCTACGAAACTTAGTGCTGCTGCTATGTCAACGGTTCACAGTCATTATTTCAACCCAATGATAGCAACCAGATCATACATGACAGTTGCTCCGGTTGATCTTTTCTTGGACCCAATTGCCCTTCGTCAAGGTTATATTTCTGTTGTCAATCAAGCTGAAGTTCCAAACGCGTTGCATATTCAAGATTCGGGAATGGTACCTGTTTGTACTGAAATTGCTATTGTCAACCCCGAAACTAGAAAAATCTGTAAAGAAGGTGAATTTGGGGAGATTTGGGTTTGTTCAGAAGCAAATTTGACATCATTCACAAATGGGCCAAAGGGTCCAGTTGATCATTTTGCCCAGACTCAGTTCAGAGGTGTTATTGCCAATGGTAATCCGGATGTTACGTATTTGCGTACTGGTGATCTAGGGTTCTTGCATAATGTTTCAGTGACCAAGAACAATGCTAAAGAGAGTGACAATGAAATTTCCACTTTCCAGCCACTATTTGTTTTGGGTAAAATTGCTGATACCTTTGAAGTTATGGGATTACATCATTTCCCAATAGATATTGAAAACACTATTGAATCATGTCACTCGGATATTTACAAGAACGGTTCATGTGTGTTTAAATGTTCTGATTATACCATTGTTGTATGTGAGTCAAAACGTACTAAATATTATGCTTCGTTGGTTCCACTTATTGTCAACACCATATTAAGTAAGCACCATGTGGTTATTGATATAGTTGCTTTCATTAAAAAGGGTGAATTCCCAATTTCAAGATTGGGTACTAAACAAAGAGCAAGAATTGTTGATGCTTGGGTACAAGGAGTTATTCCGATTAGTGCCTCCTATGGTGTTAATTATGGTGAGAATAGTATGATAAAGCTTGTGCAAGAGATTGATATTGTGGCAAGAGATGATCCAATTACAGGGTTAAAGAACCCAGCCGCTGCATATTACGATGCTGCAGATGATGATGATGTATTTGATACTAACAGGCCGGCACTAGTCTTGAATGATGGCGAATATGCACCATTTGGCCAAAAGGCAGAATTTTCCCTTGGAAATTATAGTAATAGCTTGGTATCAGAATAGGAAATGAGTGGTGCAAACTTTTATGTAATATATAATTATTGTATATTTTAGGACTATATTAAAGACATTGATTCAAGATAATCTCTTGTCTGATAGGCTTTTTAAGGAATTGAACAATAAATCACCTATTCCTTTGAATTTTCCGTGGTGAGCCGTGTCTAAATTCCGAAGAATTGTCACTTTCAATTCTTCAAACGTTATATTCAACCATATTTTGTCAGAATCTATTCTTATTCTTTCTAAACTATCCCTAGAAACTGGTCCTTCATGTCGAGTATTTATCTCTTCGGTTTTATCTTCTATATCCCAAATTAATTTCGTAATAATAAATGACAATGCTGGATTGTAAAACAATTCACCAATTGATTGGAAAACTATAGAAAGTTGATCAGACAGATGTAAAGTGCTTAACTTTCTTGTGAATTCAGGATTTAAATAGAACCCCTTTGCTGAAGAATTGCTAATATTTGGTTCTTGTTTCAAAAACCGTTCTTTCCATAACATATTCACAGAGTCCATTATGAATGAATTCTCAAAATCTCTCCAATTAGAATTATTATAATTGTGTTCCTTGCAAATATAAATATGCTCACAGATGGTTGCTAAAACTAATGGATCGTAACTTAACAAACAAGAATAAATTAATGATCGTGGTGGTAATAATACATTGTCATTAAGATCTTCCAAAATATGTTCATCAAGTTCATGAATAAACCTAAGGGTTTCTCTGGTTAGCCATTCTTGATTTGTTTTGCAATATTGAATAAACATGTATAATTTAGGTATTATTAAATTCAATGCTTGGATAAAGTCCTCATATTTTTCAGAATTCCACAGCTTAAGCAAATATAATACACTTTCAACATATTGTGTACATGGAGCGGCATGGACAGTCAGATCCGAATAATAAATCTCTTTCAAATCAATGGCATCTCTTTTGATCATATCAGCTATTCTAGTTGGTGAAACGTTGATAAAATATCGTATCAATAATGATCTATATTCCATTTCTTTAAATGGGTTGTTCTTCAGAATACCAGTGGTGAGTATATAATCTTCGACTGCACTCAAATGGATTGCACCTCCACTAAATTGATAAATTTTTGACAATTTCCTTAAAAGTGAGATTCTATCATATTCCTCATTCACAGTTCCGTCAAGACTAGCTTTGATATATAAATTTATTTTCCTGTTGAAATCTGAATGACCTGCCTGAAGTAATATCACAATCAACTGTGCACTATTATCATTATTAAAAGAACTTCGTAATATTTTGTATGCATTGAGTTTATGAATTTGATCAAGTGCTTGAATGCCATAGATGTCATCACCATTTGATCTACCCATACGTTTTTGCCTTTTTGATAACCCTGAATCAACCGTATTTGATTCGTCCCATCGGTATAGTTGATCTGGATTACTTATAAGCTTATTCAACATTGGGTAGTTATCTGGGGAGTATATAATGTAATCCAAGTCTGGTACAACAACCTTGAAAAATGCTAATAATTCAGATAAATAGATATCAAGTGGGAATTTGTTGTATAGATCAACCACTTGTTGAATATGATGATTTTTTAATAGTCTAATATTATGATAAATCTCACTATTGTAAAATGTTTTAAATTGAGTTGAGTTGTTCAGACTTAATATAATGATGATCAATTGAGAAATCACGGCTCGGGAAAATTCATACGCTAGATTCTTAACCAATATTGACAAAACGAATGTCCCTGATGTGGTAAGACTCTTTTCAAAATATTTGAAATTATCAATCATCCATTTAAGTAAACTGATTTGAAATTCTGTTGATGGTTTCTTAGTCTTAAGCTTCCTGTTGCCTTGATAATACACCCGTGTTGCACCAATTCCACTTATTACTTTTAGAAAAATACTCACAGGTAACTCCAGTCTTGGCAATAAACAATTGTCAAGAAGATACCTCTTTGTAGAGTGTGAAACGACTCTCTTTGTTTCAAGTATTAGATCAAGCAAAGTCATCAAAACTGGTTCATCAACACCTTCATTTGCCAATTCCTCTATCAATGTTAGCGTGGCATCAATATCTTCTTTGCTCTTTTCCTTCTTAAGTCTATCTAACAAGACTATTATCTCTTGGCTGTGTGACATTATTGTGATCAATATCCAAAGATCAATCACGCGTGTGTTTTTTTGTTTACAGTTTTAATTTTTTTCAATCTTTGCTCCGTCTCGCCTTTATTTTTTTCTCCGAAGTGTCACATGTCTGGGAGTCAGCTGAGTTTTGTCCCTTGCTGTTTTTTTTTGTCAATCGGTTGCTCAGCAACATATGCCGTCAGACAATGGTTGAAAAAAAAAAAAAAATTAGTAAAAACACCTCCGATCCACATTATTCTTTACACCCAAATAGATCCTAGATCCTACGTGCCCAATGTCTTTATCTGATAACTTTTACGAAACTTTGTCTTCAAAATATGATTCTGCTGTAAAAGGCGAACATGTTCTTTTCAATGGTGAATCAGCTGTCAATAAAATTGAAAAGGCTACTGCTGGAAATACTACCATTGATGTTCAATTAACCTTGTTAAAATCATTGGCAAAACGTCCAGAAAACGGAAAGAAAGATGAAAACCCATTTGAAAAACCTGAGCCAGAATTGACTATCGTTGATACTTATGGTGCTTCAGACGAGTTCAAGATTGTTTTCAATAAATTCCCAGTTGTTCCAAAACACTTTATGTTGGTCACTAAAGAATTCAAATCACAAAACACCCCATTATCCCCAAGCGAATTGTTGTCTACTTATGAAGTCTTGAACGCTTTGGATAAACAAAAATCAGACTACAATGAAGAATGGTTTGCCTTTTATAACTGTGGGCCAGAAAGTGGTGCCTCTCAACCTCACAAGCATATTCAATTCATGACTTTACCTCCTAAAGCTGATTTCAAACCTTATGCAGAAACTTTGGAAAAGGTATTGGATCCAAGACAAATCCAAGCTCCATCACAAAACAAAGATTTGCCATTTGCCCATTATGGTGTGCAAATTTCAGATAATGTTGAAGGTGAACGTGAATTGGCCGAATTATTTGTCACCATTTTACAAAGAACCTTAACTGAATTAAGAGAAAATGATCAAAACCACATTTCTTACAATTTCATCATGACCAAGAAATACATGCTTATGGTTCCACGATCAAAGGGTCAGTATGATGGAAAATTGGGTATTAATTCATGTGGTTTCCAAGGTTTGTTCTTATGTAAAAATGAAGAATTGCTTGATTTGGTTAATTCAGTAGGTCCATTGAATATTCTTAGTGAAGTTGGGTTGCCAAATACTGCTGGTAAGAAATCAACTGAATACGATTATTAGTTGTTGAGGTGTTTTATTTTTTTACGCGCTTTAGATTCATAGATACAATTGATATACGCTGTAGCTGTAATATATTTCCCAATTAGGAATTCATAATTTTCTATCCAATGAAAGCAAACAGAAAACTAATTTTTTTTTTTTGGCTTCACTCTCAATCTCATAGAGATTTTTTTTTTTTTCACATATAGAATTCGACTTGTTACTCTGCACCACTTGCAAATAATCAACAACAACTATTCAACAATGCAATCTTACACTTCTATTGTCAAGGCTGCCAACTTCATTTTGTCAAGACCAACCTTGGCTAAAGTTGTCACCCCACTTGCCAACAAATTCGTATCCTTTGCTGGTTACAGAGAAATGGGTTTGAAATTCAACGATATACTTCTTGAAGAAACCCCAATTATGCAAACTGCCATTAGAAGATTACCAGCCGACTTGAGTTACTCCAGAAACTACAGAATCCTTACTGCCCATCAATTAGCTTTGTCTCACCAATTATTGCCAGCTGAAAAAGCTGTCAAGCCAGAAGAAGATGATCACTATTTGATTCCATACATTTTGGAAGCTGAAAAGGAAGCTTTTGAAAAAGCTGAATTGGATAACATTGAAGTTAAAGCTTAATGATGTAACGGAAAAAGATGTTATAATTATTCCTATAAATACACGATATGTTTCTTGATTTGATTTTTTGTATTTTTTTTTTTTTGGAGATGATTAAATAATATATAAACATGAATCGTCTTAAATAATTAAAACATCCTGTTCACTGAGGACAATGATGGCAATTGAGTTAGGAATTTTTTTGTTATTGATACATTTCTTGACCTCATGAGCTACTCTCTTTACAAATTCCAACATTGATATTTAGCTGATACTTGTAAATATGTCTCTTTTATCAATCTATTATTACATTTGTCTATTAAAACTGTCTATCTATTAAATGCTACCTAGGTTATTGAGTATTATGTTTGTATTTATTGTAGAACTGTCTCAATTGTTCAAGAACAAGGAAAGTAACAATTGTATGAGGTCCTAATCTGATAAAAGAAGGCAACCAACCTCTGAACATGAAACCGACACCTTCATTCTTTAAAGCATTCTTTAAAATTGACACACCGCTTTCACCAGTTGCACCACCAGACATAAGTCTGGTTTTAACAACATCTGCTGGAGAACAAACAGTAGTTGCAACACCACCGGCTATGAATGCAGCAGTGAAATGTGTACTTTGAGTAGATGGATCCCAGTGCAATTTATCAACTAACAAACTTTTAGCAACATCATAACTGACAACTTGTGAACTTGTCATCAAAACCCCACGAATCAAGTTTGCTCCCAATCCACTGAACAAAGAGCCTGGACCTTCATTCTTAATGATTTTGTAGATACCATCAAATGCATTCTTATAGTTCTTTCTCTGTTCGATAGGCAAAGTGGAATCATTTTGCATTCTGATATTAACAACATCAGATGGGTTTCCTACTAAACCACCCAATGCACCGGAAACCATAGAAATTGGCAATAAAACTGCAGTGCTAGGCTTATGATTGTTTGTTTTTTCAATATAGGTTTCCTTTAAGAATTCATAAACACCAAATCTTGTTGTGGAATAAGTTGCTTGTCTCAAAAGAGATGCCGTTAAACCGGAGTAGATCTTGAAAAAACCTTCTTTTGTAATGATTTGATAGATCATTGAAAACAAGGATTGACCTGGTTTTGAGGCTGTTTGTAGTCTCACTTTGGCCAAATCTAAAGGATGTGTTACCAAACAAGCAGCCATACTTGAAGCTCCTCCGAACCAGAATCTAAAAGTCGATAAGCTGTTAGTCTCATGAATGCCAATGTCAAATAATTAATGTGCGATCTGGAAATTGACACTACTAAAATACATACGGATATTGTATCTTATTGGACATTTTCTAGTGTTTCAATGGGTGGTAGGTAGACAATTGTCCAATTGTGAATATTCAATCAAAAAACTAGAAAACAAACAAACAAAAAAAATGAAAGTTGATTTTCAATGTCTGAGATTGTATTGGGTTTAAATTTCTTTTTCGTTCCCGATGAACTAAAAATTTTTTTTTTTTTCCTTATTAAATTGACCTGGTTAACAAGTTGTAATTTTCTATTATATTTTGTGAGTGAATAAAGAGCCGTCTTCTAATAATATCTCAACGGATAACAGCACGAGAAGAGAGGGGAAAGTTTTGTGGTTTTTTATTCAAAATTTGGGCCCCGAGATTTTCCGCTACCGGGATCCTCACCAACCCATTTGAATTTGAGCGCAACTCCGATACACAATGAAACACACATCTTATCAAAATAGGCTAATTGAGGGGAGAAAGAAAATGGTTTTACTGAAAATCTTATCATAATGATGGCCTATGTTGGGTAGGGGGAATTATGCTAGTATAAACCCCCCGCAATGTTGGATATACCATGTTGGGTGCAAAAGTAAAGAAACAAAAGGCTGTATTCGATCCTCGAGTTGAATTTTGACTTTACAGCACAAAACTATGTCACTTGTTGATTTATCATCTGTGAGTGCCATGTCCTGAAATGTACCCTCAGGTAAGGGCATGGTTTATTATTTTATTTGGTAGAACTTTCTTGTTTTACTTGTGAATCTAGACAAAATTTTTTAGAGAAGAGAATTATAATTGGCACTGCCGTTCCACCTGTGCGAAAATAATTCCAAACAAAACTACAAATACATTTGTCTGCATCTTCTAACCAAATAATATCTCATAAACTATAAATTATATTTTACACGGTACATTCTCTGTCTCAATTACAAATGTAACTGATCATTATATAAAAAACCAACCAACGGGTTGACTGGTTTTGGTTTACCTCCTAATTTATGACTCTTTCTGAATTGCTCGTGGTTTAGAACCAACTCCCCACTTGGGTAACCATCTGGAACAGGATTATTCAAACGTTTAGATACTTCATGGAATAACTCGTCTTTATCAGCTGTCTTAATCTCACCATGTAATTGCTCAATAGTTTTTGCTAAATCCTTGTGGTCTTCAAACTCCTTTACCAACCCTTGAATGAACTCGTGGTCAACGGTGATTCCATGGCGGTATAAATAGTTGACTATAGCGGATTGTAACCTCTTTGACACCGTGAACTCGATTGGGTTTTGTGATTTGAGGAACGTGATCAATTTACCAGTCTTGTCGTTTCTAGCAATATACAGATTGAAAAACTCAATGAACTCAGCCTTGGTTATGTCCTCCAATACTTCGACCTGTCTCGTTCTTCCATCAAAGTCATAGTAACCATCCACAATACTCGACCAGAGACGACCAGTCTCTTCACTCAAATGCTTCAATTTGGTCAACTTGATATTCTTCAATGCATGTTTGAACTTGATGAAATCCTCGGTCGTCAATTCGTTGTTGACAAAGTTTCCAAAACTGTTCAAGAACTCTTCAATACGGTATTGCAAATAATCACACGTTCTCTCTGACTGAATCAAGATTCTAAAACCAAGGGATGTTCTGCCCAAATGGATTCCCGAAAATACGACATATCCCAATTGCTCTTTTGTTCGCAACTGATCAAAACAAGGTTCCTTGATGACTGTACAGAACAAGTCTGTCAACACACGCAATTTCAAATCATCTGCATTTGGTGCGATCTGGATATAGTACTCAATGCACGAATTGATATTTGCTTCATCCTTCAATGACATCTCATAGCGGATCACCTCCTCTGGTTCAAAGACATAACCTTCCAAGTGGAATTTCTCTTCATCGTACTCTTCCATCCATGGCTTGATGTGTTTTATAGAATCATTTATGGTGTCTTTGATTGCTCTTGCTTTGGTAATGTCAAAATTCCCATGCACCAATACCTCTGCAAAAACACCTTCTTCCCAGATGGTGTCTCTGAAGTGACGTTGAAGCTGCTCGAATGTCACTCCTTCCAATGCCTTGATCTTGTCATCTTGGAAGTATAGCTTGTCATTGAGCAAGTGAAGAATTTGAACTCCAATTTGACGGAATGGATCTTTGAACAAGAAAGTCTTCCAATTATTAAGCAACTTATATTTGATCGACTCAAAGCTTGATTCCGATGGTTTGAATGCAAACAATTCAGAAAGAACGTGTTCCAACAAAACATCGAGCTTGTCGTTGTAACCAGACACCTTGATAACGAATCCGTCTCTCCATGTGTGAACCGTGGCCCTCATACCCACCAATTGTGCATAATAATTGACATCATTAATGGCTTCATTGAACAACTCAATGCTCAAACTAGTCAATACAGAAGTCAAGACATCGCTGTTGGAGCTTGGCAAATGTGCCGCGATCTGAATCGTACCCTTTGGAACTTTGAACGTTTGATCCTGTTTGAACCACACGTTCATTTTGTTGGTGGTGCTGATCACATGCGGAGCAACAGCGGTGCTGCCATGGCCCAGCGCCAAAACTTTGAAATCTGTTGGGATGAACTCATTTGCATCAGGGTAATGGAAGTCGATCTTAGAACTCACCGGAGTAAGCAACTCAGCTGGGATCGGCTCCACCGCATACTTGGTCTTGTACCATTTTTCAACCTTGTGCAATCCAGTTAATGTTTGTGAAACCAAACTAACTCTGAGATTATCCGCAGTAAGATACTGACCATACTTTTTAATAGCTTCGGGAGCAAATGTTCTCGTAATAGAATCACTTAAAAGGTATTTTGGAGGAATTAACCTATCAAACTTGTACAACTTGCTGCTCAACCCAGAAACAGTGGATGAAGCCTCGGCCTTCTGTTTGAACCTGAAGTTAATCTGTGCCATTTCTTCGATCTCTTTCCATATCCATTTTTGTGGTTTGTCTTCGGTGACAAATCTCACGTTTTCCAAGGTACACTTGATAATATCTTCCCATTGTTCCAAACCCTTTGGAGTTAATTGGATTTCAATATAAAACAAAGAACATCCTTGACAAATCTTCATACCACCTGCGGACAACTCAGTGCACAACCCCTTCTGCTTCAAATAGTATGCCAATGAACCTTTAGATTCATGACCCAATAAATGAGAGAAATACTTTTGTGGTTTGCTATCCCAATATGTCTCCATGTCGTCTGGTATCATGAAGCTTAACTCCAATTTGTGGTCATCATTTATTGGAGCAGCTTTTATCAACTGACCCAACTGTTCTGGTTTGTATATCAATTCGCCATTGTAATTTGCACCAGGATAGTCCTTGTTTGGAATATCCGAAAACTTCTCAATAGCCCAATCTGAAAGGGTATCCAAATCCTCTTTTCCCAATATAACCAAATTCATTAAATTGGCAGAATAGTGTTGGGTGTAGAACTCAATTAATATCTCTCTTACATCCAAGCCTCTGCTAAGTGGGTCGACATGTAAAGTCTCGAAATTACCTGTTGAAAACCCATTATACGGATGTGATGGGTTACTAGTAGCTTTATCCAACTGGAATAGTCTCCAATTATCATTTTGTAAATTCTTTTTGTTCTCTGAATCAACAGCATTGATTTCACGGTCCTGACAGGTTTTGCTAAACAATGGACTGATGAAAAATTGGGCAAATCTGTCCAATGCTCCTTCCAAGTAATCGGACCCCACTTGAAAATAGTAATTAGTGTGCTCGGCAGCCGTGTAGGCATTGGAATGGCCAGAATGCTTGGATAAATAATTGGAATATTCGTTCTCCTTGGGATACTTTTCGGTCCCCATAAATAATAAATGTTCACAGAAATGAGCCAAACCGGAGATACCATATTGCTTATCAGCAAAAGAACCCACACGAACATCTAAAGATGCAGCTGATTTGTCTGCAGTTGGGTCGCTAATCAATAACACCGTCAAGTTGTTGTCCTTGAGTTTGACTAGTCTGTATGAACGATCATCAAGTAAAGGTTTTTCAATCACCGGATTGTCTGCCAATACAGTAAACTGGTTTGTCATGGTGGCTAGTTTGTGCAGTTGTCTTGTTATATGAATGAATACGTTGGCTGTTCTTGAAGAAAATCTCCAATAATTTGCAAAATTCAACAACAAAACAATCTTAAATATAATTTTTGAAAAAACTGAAGTTCTAAATAAAGCACAGGGAAATGGTTGTTGAGGTTGTGGATATGAATTTTCACAACTTGTTCTTTTTTTTTAATCTTTATAGTTAATCTTTAGCTGTGGCGGCCGATAGTCCGGAAAAAGGTAAATTTGGACAGACAAAAAAAAAATCTTCGACGAAAAGGAGAAGCAAATGCAGGTGACAAAATGTTTTACCCATTGTTACTATGACACTATCTTACTGGCTGTACAAATAATTATGTCAGAGGCACAAACTTTTTTTTAACAAAAATGGTTATCAGTTTATAATTCTAAACAATTACGTGGAAAAATGCTTTTTAGTTACCATAACTGTAGTAGAAAATTGTGATAGATTTCATGGATCAAAACATGAACAACCCTGGAGGTTACCAACTTTGATTTGCATGCGATGATACAGTTGCTTGCAAAAAGTACATAATTTTTTTTTTCAAACTCTAAAGGTAATGTACTGGATAATAAATGTGTAAATAAGATTAGTTAAAAGAGTTCATGTATAACCCAGTTGGGATAGAGATAGATGTGGTTGTTGTTTCGCCAGATTACTTTTGTAAATTCTGCACAGAAAAACACATAATCGTAAGCACTACCAATACTGTCTGGAATTATAATTACATAAGAGCTATGTAGTTTATACCATGTGTATAAATTGCAGCTGGTTCTTTGCAAGACGGTAAGTATAAAACAGGAGATAAAAGCTCGTCAGGAAATCAATTGGTTTATTCTACCAGTTTTTGATTTGGTTTACACATGAAAAGATCAGAATTTCTTAATATAATTTTCTGTCTATCTAGAAAATGATATAAACGTTGTGCTTCAGAGTTGAAGAGCAGCTATCAATATATTGCTTTTCCTAATTATCTAATATAAGTTTAAAAAAGTTGCAGAAGAAGCTTTATACCACTTAGACAATTTTATTGGTAGTTGGTTGTTTATTATATTACCAAATAGCTCTTAATCATCAAATATACTTTTGAAGTTCATGTTGAATTTCTTCTTGTAGCAACAATTTTCTATAATTATTAACTATCATCCAGCTATTTCGGTGCAATATTGGATGATATCATAATGTAGTAACTGTATTTCTTGAAAGTTAGTTTCAATTAACCGAAATTCCGCAGAAAGTTACCTACATGATGTATTTATTTACATCTCAGTGTGACATAATGACCGGTGAGCTTTTGTCCAATAATACTAAACATTGCCAGTTATAATTAAAAAAAACCATTTCCCGAAACAAGTTACCTGTACTTCTCTATGAAATAGTTGACCTATCTTCTATAGTACTCGTAACAAAATATATTCAGTTCCACGCGATATAAAGTGTTTATGATATTATGGATGTTCGTTATTTGTACCACCTGGAACAACGACATATTCTTCCGTTGGGATAACTAATCAACAATAGAGCTACCACTTTTTTGAGATGTGGACCAGCTTTACTGAATACCACAATGATTCGAATCCAGCTCGTATATCAAGAGCCTTGGCATCTAACTAGATATTAATGCTTTCCTTCTTACCCCTAAATTTGTATGATTTAGATTGATAAAAATTGAGAACTATTCATGATCACTTCAAAAATTACTCTCTGATGCTGTTAAATTAGATAGTCAAGTGACCAATATTTTGTGCAATATTCAATACAAAAGTACTGTTATTGTCCAAAATGTATCAATTGACAAATTCATTAGTATTCTCTTTCGTTTCATGTTAGCCAAATTTTGATAAATGGTGCTTTTGGCCAAATACGATGATTTGGACAAATTCAGGTGTTATTGTGGATTCATAGTGTTCTCGTGAGAAGAAATCTCTGAACCTACCATCATTTGAAAGATAAGGTAGATTAACGCCAATATGAATTGATTTCAATGCATTTCCTAATGATATACCATCAACTGTAGCCAAAAATTACTTTGGCGAAATCAAAACACCTTTTTTATCGGGAATTATGATTTATGTAACTTAATCAATAATTGTGCTAGTTATACAGCTGAAAATTATATCAGCATAATATTCATATTTTTACCATCACATTAAGATAATTAAATATTGATCATTCACAATATTGGTGTATATAGTGTTTCTAAATGGATTCACTATGATCTCAAGTGGATTATTTCCGTAATTTTTATTTTGATATAGACACGAAAATAGACTTGAATCTTACTTCACCATACAAAATGTAACAACTGCTATAATTTTGACAAATTAGACTAAATAGAAGTGAATAATGATAGAAATCACTATAAATATCAATATTCTAAAATAATTAATCAAAGAATCAAGATTATCTTTTTAAAATTATGATCAGATTAAACTTTTCTATTGAGTGAATCGGATTAGTAAATTTGTTATGTTGCGAGTATAGTTCATATTTTTGCAATGATACAGAAAAAATGAAAGCATTTTAGACACTCTTGAACAATTTCTTTTTGACATATTTTATCTAATCTATTCCAATATAATGGGAATCAATCAAGATAATCAATTTGACACAATTCTGAATAAGGAAAGACACATAACATTAGATTATAGTCATCAATTTGATGGCGCTAACTTATAAATCTACATTCCGAAAATAAATATATATATATATTCAAATATTCCATCCTTGAAACCATATTTTTCAATGTCACTTTTTGTTGTACATGCATATGTTCCAGTGGGTGCGCCATATATCTGTATGTCACAATGTTCCGTCCATTAAATCATTGATTTGAATGTTCCTGATTTGGTGCGCATTTGTATGTAGATATTTTCCCTCCATATATACATATATTGAAATGTTCCATCCATATATCCATAGATTTAAATGTCCGTTCCATAGATCCATAGATTTGTATGTTCCAAATTTGTGGAATATTTGGATATTCTAGAAAAAAGTAACATTGTGATCTCTGTTTTCTATGGTCGTCACAGTGCGACATGCAAATGTTCCACGATCTGCAACATTTGTCACTTCTAGTACGAGTTTTGCAATTTTGAAAATGGTATATGATTTGTAGTGATAAATTATGTTATATAAGTTTATTCTGAGCCAATGGGATAAGTATTGGAGGAGTTAGATGTAAATCTTACTCTTGGAATTTCAAACAATCTTTTTTTTATCGGGAATAATAATCTTTCTAAATAACTCACTAAACATGAGTTTGGCCCCGCAGAAAATGGTTGGATTGAAATATCCATATAGATTAGTACATATTTATATGCATGCGAGCTAGTAATCCCTGTTGTTGGTGTATCTAGTGGTTTCAAAGGGGTTCATCAGGGATTCGATTGACTTATTCCCATGATTTTCAAATCGGTTTGTACACGAAAAAATACCAAAATGACTTGAATCTCTTTTCGCCATACAAAATGTAACTGGTGTTATATTTTCAGTTGTATTTGTTGGAAACATGTTTCATTATAGGTTCTATGCATTTGACTCAATAATATAATAAAAGAATAACATAATATATGGTTCTGGTAAATACTAGGAGTGGAATCACTGATTCAGAAACTGATTTATACATTATATATGTCATTCCTTTCGATACTTGAATTATTTTTCTTCGGATTCTTTCGTGCGAACCATGGACCTAGAATTGAGAATCCACAGGATTTGTACGTCGATATTAGGTTGAGCATAACAAATAACCAATTTTAATCTGTAAGTATTTATAATGCTAATTTAATTCATACCATTGACTGGTAATAGTTTATTCAACTGGTAAATTTTTTCTTTCAAATCCACTTACAGTTCACCTCTTTGGAGAATGAAGTATAGGCCGGATTTTTATACCGATACAGTATTATTTCATTAATTGCCGCTGATGTGTATTTGCCAATATTTTATATATAATGATATCCTATCCGAGTATTCATGGTATTGCGATGTATTGTTTATCGATATTGTTGTCTAACAAAAATATGATGAAAGCTGTTACCAATCAATTGATGTTGTTGCAAGATTTTGGAAAAACAGGTGTATTTATAAAGTTGCGGAAGACTTTGAAAAATAACCTAAAGTGAGAAACCGCAGTCTTCCTTTTAGATTGTTGAAAACCTCATTATGTTGCTGAAAAATAGTAACATTATAAGGTTGCCCAAAGGTTGCCAAAAGGTGGAAAATTAGAAACCTCATTAATTTTTAGAGAATTTCCAAAAATGCGACGACAGGAAATTATTCTCCTTATTCTATAAACTAAAGTAATTTCATAAAGTTGCACGTGTTTTGCTAGATCTATCAATTCTAGCTCGATTATCGTCATTTTGACAACATGATGTTATTTATATCTGTGTTTAATAGTGTCACATCCAATCCTGGGTGAATTTGTTAACAATTGGTGGAGTTAATGGTCAATTCTTACTCTTGGAAATTCAAACAATCTTTTTTTTATCGGGAATTATGGTTTTCCTAAATAAGTCAATAATTATGTGTCTGACCTAGGTGAAACTACATTAATTAAAATATTCATATTGTTGGTATTCCTTTCATATCATTATTATATTCATTTTCTAACTTTTAGTATATCTGGTATTTCCAAAGGGGTTGATCAGCAATTCAATTGGTTTATTTCCGTAATTTGCAAATCGGTTCACGCACGAAAAAATACCAAAAATGACTTGAAACTCTTTTCCCCATACAAAATTCAACTGAAGGTATATTTTCAGTTGTACTAGTATGATATCATCAATTTATTGTCACTTAAATCTATTGTGACGGTCATCAAAGGTGAATATATTCTTCTAGTAGAGTTTACGTATCCCTAAAACTATTAATAGTGTTAAACTTGTACATTTGTATCATTATAGCATTTTTATAATTTATTTCAATATTTTTTGAATTTTGCAATTTTTTTGCGGTAATT